CTTGGTATCCTTGGGCGCCGCCGGCCAGTGTTTGCCCTGCCCCATGGCGGCTCATTCAGGGGGAGGGGAGCAAAACATGCCTTGCCCCCCCCCCCCACTTTGAGAACTGGGGGCAAGCGCCCCTCCTAAACCCCTGGTTGGTACGCCCATGAACCAGCTGGTTCTGTCTGGATCTAAAATTGGGACACCAGTTTGTATCCTGTCTGGAACTGCGCGGTTCCAGGCTGGATATAAACTGGTGCCCCAATTTCAGATCCAGGCGGAACCGGCTGGTTCCAGTGGTTCTCCAGAGCCACTGGTACCACGCGGTACAAACCGGTGCCCCAATTTCAGACCCAGGTGATGCGCCGCCGGAATTCCCGCTGCGTTCAGCACTGGACACTTGTATTTCGCGCGATGCCCTTAGCCGTTGCAAGCAAGAAATCATCGTGATTTCAGACCCAGGTGGAACAGCCTGGGTCTGAAATCGTGACGATCTCTCGCTTGTAGCGGCTAAGGGCATCGCGCGAAATACTTATGTAGGGTTCAGTGGTGACCGCAGCAGGAATTCCGGTGGTGCACAGGGTCGTCCAGGCGTCGTAACCAAACACGGTGCACAGAACACACACGCAGCACGTACAAGTGCAGTATCCAGTGTTGAGCGCACCGGGAAGTTCCGGAGGGCAAGCGGTATCCGAGTTGTCCGAGTATTGTCACCAAGCACACCAGCGCCAAGCACATCCAGGTGCCTAGCCAAAGTGCAATGGGTCGGCAGCTTCATACATACTATATGAAGATTCAAAGCCGAGGTCAGGGGGTATCCATCCAGGGAAACAATGGGTGCGTCAGTATCTGTGCATCCGCACCGCGAACGTCGCCCCGGACGAGCGCCGGCCGACAGTCCGACGAGAGCGGAGAACCGAAACTATCGGACTGCACCAGACAAAGCGAGGCGCGGGCGTAAAATGGCCGCTCGCAGCGCCTGCATAGCGGATGCGACTGTCCCTAACACGCGACCTGCAAGAAGCCGTGGGGAAGAGTGGGAGTTCCCCGCCAACCCCCCCCCCCCTCCCCCCCCTCCTCCTCCTCCAGTCACGCATGTGCGCGCCCGCTGGCAGGGAGCAGACCCTACTGGAGCTAAGGGGAACGGATCGGATCCACCCATCACCGTGCGGTTCCAGTGCGCTGCGTCTCACTGGATCCGCCTGGTTACACCCAGAACCGCGCGGTACCAGATCGTATCCGCGCGGATCTGAACTGTCACAAGTTTAGAACCGCGCGGATCCAAACTGGAACCCCTCCGATCTGACATTTTCGTACGGGACATGAGGGGTCCAGGGTTATTCCAAGAAATCTATACCTTCGGACGTACGGAACTTTTTCGACAATTATGGTAATGGGGTATCGGTGCATGCACTTGCGGGAAAATGTAATTGCAGCTGACTTGGAAGTTGATATCTGAAGTCCATATTCCGCAAGATATTCATAAATTACTTTAAGAGCACTCTGAAGTCTTGCCCGTATCTGTGAACGTACGACACCGGTCACCCAGATACAATTATCGTCAGCATAGATGGATGTGTGTGCCGTGCTCGTTAATGCCCAGGCAAGATTGATAAGGGCCACATTGAATAAAATTGGGCTTAGTACACCGCCCTACGGTATTCCTCTTGCGAGATTCTGAGAACCTTATTTCCCTCAACAGTTGATCTGTAAATAGATCTGTTCAACAGGTAACTCTCTATCCAAGCGTACAAGCGCCCACCAATGCCAACTTGTTCTAGCACATTGAGAATGGCCTAGTAAGTGACGTCATGCGCACCCTTCACATCAAGGAATACAGTGGTGGTTATCCGTCGCTGGGCCTCATGCTGTTCCACGAATGCGACGAGATCGATAACACTGTCCAGAAACTTCTTCCATGTCAAAAACCGCATTATTTCCAGATAGCTGTCGTCATTTTCCAGGTTCCCTTCTAGGCGGAAATTAATCATTCTCTCCATCAGCTTTTTTATGCAATTCAATAAAGTTATTGGCCTATAAGAGTCAATATCATAAAAGATTTTCCTGGTTTTAAAATGGGTAATATGCACCCAGCCTTCCATGGTGTGGGTATTTTCCCATGTCCCAGGAATTGTCAAAACAAATCAAGTAGCCGTTTTTGACCGCAAAAGCCCAGGCTGGCTTTTGCGGTCCTGGATTGAGGGTCGCTTCACCGTTGCCAGAGCAGCCTGAAGCTAATCTTGCCTAAAGGGCAGAGTCATTCTGTCGTTGGAGAACGTTGGTACATTTCCTTGCACGAGACCGGGCGGCGAGTTAATAGCAACAGGTATCTGCAGAGCTCTTTCGCAACATTAACTTTGGACGTATTACGGAACGGGCATCTTTGTTGTTGGGCTGTTCGTTTGCCACGTGCCATGCGCCAAACTCTCACAAGTGGTTTCCTTGGGTCAAGTTTTGCACAATTTGTTCTTAACAATGTTTGTATGAACCATGTTGGGTCTGTTGCAGGCGCTGACCGTTTATTTGCAAACATGCAATATTTGGGGTTATCTGCCGATCTGGGGCTTCGTTCACCCTGAAGGCTGTTGTGTCCTTGTCATTATTGCCAGCGCAACTTTTGTTTGAGCTTGCATGATGTTGGTTTTGCATACCTAGCGGAGGAAAGTACTCGCTAGTTGGGCCTTGCTCAAGAGTATTGTTGGCTGTCCCTTGAGCTGTTTTTCAGTCCAGCTTGTCTTGTTGTCGTAGTCAACGTATTTCCAGTTCATGTTTCCATTTCATGCACAGATGTGATGTCACTTCATGTTCGTTGCCACAATTATAGCAGCGGACAGCTGTTGTTTGGGCATCACAGGTAGCTCGATGGTGTGGTCCAGAACAACGAAAGTATACTGGAGAATTCCCGCAGGTAGATTTGATGTGCCCAAATGGCGCAACAGATATGGCATTGGATTGGCGTTTCTATGAATGGTTCCACTTTGTGCCATACTAAAACAAGAAAAACATACCCAGGAAGTCTCAATGAAAATGTAGTTATGGCTACTCTAGTGGATGTACCCATCCTACAAACAGATGTGGTTGTGTCGTTGCCGGTCTTTTAACTCCATGTATCTTGGAAGTGTCGATGTAAGTGTCAACTCCTCTGATGACTCCGGTTGCTTGGGGTTGGGAATGGGACCCAGAGGATTTGACAGCAATTCCCAGCAGAGATGTCACCTTCAGAAGAGACGAGTCCTTCAGCATTTCATGCACTGACAGAGATCAGGCCGAGTCTGCAGTTCAGGCGGATTTAAACTATGAAGGCGGGTGCTTTCGATTCAAGTGGCTGTCAGTTTTAGTTTGGCTCACACCCAATGTTGGTTTAATTTGGTAATCAGCTTTGTCTCATCTACTGGATTGAGTTGAGGTCGGGCCAAAACAGATATGATTGTACCGCTTGAAGACTCACTCTTGGCTTGTTGACATCATTTCTTTGCTTTTCTTGATAGCTTCAAAGTGCAGCCCTCGTCGTCCATTGTAGTTGCATTATCAGTGTCTGTAATGCTGGAAAAATGCTGCCCAGCGGTCAGGGAATCAATGCACATTTTCGTTTCAGGCATTAAAGAACTGTCTGCATTTGTGTACTTGCCATTTGGCAGTGCTGTTCGTTCGGCTTGTCCTTGGAATGCCGCTGCTGAGTGGGTCGGTCTATTGGTAGAAGCCGTCTGGAGTTAAAAATTTTTAAATTGGGGGGTTTTACGTGCCAAACCAACGACAGGCATCTGGCACGCCGCAGCATTGGACCGAGGATTAATTTCGACCACCTGTGGATCTGTTGACGTGCAACCGAAAGCTCGGTTACACAGCACCTCCTTTGCAATAAGCCTGAGTCAGATTGCGGGCACCTCGGCCGGGATTTGAACCTGCCAACTGGGGATCCATAGGCCGGCGCTTTGCCTCGGAGCCAACGAGGTGGCTAACCGTCTGGAGTTGTGGGAGTGATGGGCCCCCGTCTTGGAAGGCCATGCCGGGGTCGATGAACGGCGACTCTAGCAGCAGAGGGCGCTTTGGCGTGAAAACACTTCGTCGTCTTCTTCAAGAAGAGTGTAAACAAATGAAGAACAAATAAAACCCTAAGCCCCCGCGTTTTTTTTTCTTTTCTCGCCAGTCTTTTGCTTTTTTTTTTTTTAGGGTGGGCACACTTTTTTTACGTACGGCCGTGTTTTTGACCAATATCTTTTTTTTACTTTTAGCATTGTCATGGCGAGATTGCACTTCGTTTTCCATTTTCTCCGAACCGGACCGATGAAAATGTTAGCATTTTCTTCACTATTTAAAAAATGCGCCATTGAAGGCATTGTCCGACACCATGCCTTTTTCTCTGACCCCCTCCCCCCCTCCCCACACAATTAACATCTAAAAAAAAAGCGGCTTCTGGTATTTTGGGGAGGGGGGGAGCGGCCCCCCTCCTCCTCGGTTGGTACGCCCAAGCCAACATCTATCGAGTAAACACAAGCATACAAAAAGCCACCAATGTCCATCTAGTGCAGGGGTGGCCAGGCTGACCCGGACTAAGAGCCGCAAAGAAAACCACAAAACTTCCAAAAGCCACAAAAAAAAAGGGGGGGGGGGGGGGGGGGCAGCAAACGTTTGTCCAACTGTACATAAGGTAGCAGTAGCTCAAGACTACCAAATCGCAACCTGTCTTTAGATTCAGAACGTGTTCCATATCTCTTTTGGGGGAAGTGTTCGTGTGACCGGGAAGGAGGCGGGAAAGGGGGGGGGTAGGGGAGGGAGCCGCGAACCGCACTTTAACACACGAAGAGCCGCAGCTTGGCCACCCCTGATCTAGTGGAACACAAGCAGAACATGTCGCCACCAAAAACAGAAGTATAAAGTACCCCGAAGATGCAATAATACAAAATGTGTCTAAAGTTTTGAAACCATGTGCTGCTTCTAAAGCAAAGATATAAACTTAAAAGTTGGTAGTAACCTGCAAGATGTGACTTCAGTGTGCAGTAAAAACATAAAAAAACAGGTTGAGACAAAACAATCTTCATATCTAACGCCGAAAAAATTAACAGTTTGTATTGGCACCATATTCCTGAAAATCAAACCAAAGACCTGCAGGAACAAACAAAATAACATCTCCAAAAAGCAAGCATTCCAACATTTCCATTGTGAGGCTATGAAACCCTTAGCAATAAGCAATCTCCACTGAGGTCATCAACACAAGATAAAAATAACTCCAGCTTGAAACACACAACATGGATTTTCACCCAATGTTCTTTCACTTAGCGTAGCAGAGAAAAAAATAAATGCAACCCCTTGCGAACGAGCAGGTCCCCAGAGTTCTTGAAATTGCACATATTTCACTTGAGTTATCTCAGAGGTTCACCTGTTGCATTGGCTTGAGTTTGGGCGATACCTGTAAAAAAAAAGATTATATTAAAAACTTCTTCAGTCAATTTTTCACGGAATTGTCACTTTTCTTCTTTTTTTTCTTTACGTTATGTTACATTTACAGTTAACACATACTGCATGATGTTTTTAACATATACTGAAGGAAACAGTTTGCACAGTAACTTGTTTAAGGGGGGACATGGCCTCGGAAATCCAAATTTTCAGGAAAAATGTTTTTTTCAAAAATTACATGTTTATGTTTATTAACTTCCAAAGAATGGTTTCAGAAAATTTCATTTATAAACATGCAGGATTTATCTCACAATAAATTATTTTCGACATGTCGGCAGCCCTCTGCGTCAGCTGGGAGCAAGTTTTTTGTGTTTTTTATTTAGTACTGCTTCATACTCGTTTAACATAGCCAGAACGTCTCACCCTCATTGGAAACGCCATTTACTCTGGATTTAGCCCGTAGAAGCTTTCAAAGTTTAAAAGTATTAATGCCCAGGGGAACCCTTTACATCCAAACAGAAGAAATCCTGAAAATTTGGTATGAGCAATCTAATTGGTTGAGACCTGAAACAGGGTTTACAATTGGTCCTGCCCGGCGACGTGATATTGTGTCATCTTCAGTAACACCCTTTCACAGTATCTTCCACTTCAGATCATATTCCTGCCTTGCTGCTCTTCCTTAGTAAGATTTGCCTCTTAGTTATTGCCAGTTTATCTGTCAAGGAATACCTGCTACAAAAGTTAGCTTGCCTGCAAATGACACAAACTGGTAGCTATTGCTAGGAGAACAATGAAGTCTCAAAGAGGAAGGTACTAACGATGCCCCAGGTAAGTTTCGCCTAACTCGGGCTCATAGAAAAGAAAGAAACCTAAAGTTGAAACTTCAGATGCATTTTTCTCAGTTCCACTTTTCGGCAGGAAATGTGGTATGAGGAAATGTATCATTTGACATTTTGAAAGTTTAATAATTTCATTCAGTGGCATCCCGGACTGAAATTTCCTGAGGAACAAGTTAAGGTACTCATACTCTGAAAAAGCTAACTTCTTCATGACAAAAACTGAATATTCTAAAACACAAAAATTTGTTAAAATCTTTTGCACTTTTTGGGTGTTATTGTTTTTCTCTCGAATTGCATTTTCTACAATTAATTTTTTGCTTAACTTGCACTATGGGTATTCTACTTCACATTATAACAAATGTTTTGTGGATTGCAATTATTATATTTTTTAGATACATTTCCTACTGAAGTCACTTTTTTCTGGAGCTTTTTAAGCATTGTGTGTAGTGGAATTGGCCTACGAGACTGAAACCTTAGATGTCATCAATCCTAATTGGGATCAATGCACCCTGAAAGTTTGAATCTATTTAAGGGAGCGGTTCAAAAGTTGACCCTCCCAGGCCATGTCCCCCCTTAACATATGCTGTGTGACATAGTAAGTATAAATACATTGGTGTTTTTTTTACAGTTTTTTAGTTGCATGTCATGAGAACAAGAAATATTTGCAATTGCATGTTTTACCTTAGCTATAAAGAAAATAAAAAAATAAAAAATCTGCAATAGCATGCAGCAATTAATATAGCGTAGCACCCTGTGCCCACCTTCATTAAATCACCCTTTTCAGACTTCGGTGCAGGCATATTCTAGCTAAGAAACCTTGAAGGACGATAGAAATATAGAAAAAGGATCGTCCAGTGTGGAATGTCACAGCGTACATCAGAGAAGCCAAGCAGAAAAGTTTAGAAGTCTCCACGGGGTGGTACTATTTTGATAGAATGATCCAAAATATATACAGTGTAAATAATATTACGTTCAACAAACGATATAATTCGAAGCACATAAAATTAAATAAAGCTAATGCAAAAAAAAAAAATTAAATAAATTAGTCTAGATGTTTTTATTTTGAACCCTACCTCAAATGGACATGCTGTACTGTTGGTTATGTCCTCCAACTTGAGGCCTTCCGCAATTTCAGTCAATGTCAAGCCTTTCTCCTCGCACACCTCAAAAACACACTGCAAAAGAACAGAGAAATTGCACAGGCTTCCAAAAATACGTTATGTTCCAATCAAACCCAAGCCATTCCTGAAAACTAGAAGCTTCGAATTGCGATTGTCAACAATTCATGAAGCTGGAAAGGATAATACACAAATTACGACATGTAAAGTTCTCTGTCGTCATTCATGTGAAAGGAAAAACCACTCACACTAAGGTGAAAAGCGCATATAGCATGATCGAAGGTTTTACTTTCAATGGCTCGAGGCACATTAAATGCCAATGTTACCCAATTCTACCACAGGCTTTCAGGTTGATTAAGCACCAGATTTGCTTGTGCACAATCTCAATAATAAAGTGCAAAGTTCAATTGACACAATAAATGCTGTTTTCTTCCAAATACATGATTGAATGGAGCAGATTGCCAGCATTAGCGACAAATTCAATCTTTAGACTTCTTCACAGATGATGTCACCGTTTTCTAATTAGATTGCATTTTAATCACATCACGACTACAAACATTAATTCTTCTAACTGCTTTGTGTTGGGTGTTAACATTGCATAATGTCTGGAAACCAGTTTTCCATCTTTTTTTTGCTCCAATTTTTGTCATGTTGTGTTTCTCCTCTCATACTACAATCCTGTTCGGGCCAGGTAGTATCATGAAGTAAATAAATGAACTACTCTAAGAGCTTTCGTTTCTTTGTTCACAAGGGGTGGCTTCTTTATAACTTGGAAGATCGGCAAACGCACCTTCTCGGTGATGATGAGGTCAACACAGCGCTGACCCGTCAGCGGCAGCGTGCAGTCCTTCATGATCTTGGGCTTGCCAGCCTTGGAGCAGTGTTCCATAGTAACCACCACCCTGGTTCCGGCAGCCTTGCTGGACACAAGGTCCATGGCCCCACCCATTCCCTTGACCAGCTTGCCCTGAAACGCAATGTTCGTTCAACGCTGAGGAAATTCCAAGAACATTTCGAGACCTTCAACACTTCAGACCATACTCACAAATGACAACTTTTGTGACTTGCTTTGAAAAGCGGGCACGCCCAAGCTGACCCTATGCTTTTAGCATACTGTTAGCCTCTACGTGTGCATTTTGCAACAGTATGTGAGGCAGGAGCTTTACTGTGCTTGGGGTGAAGGTGATCCCTTTACCCCAAGTACAGAACCCCCGAGTGTTTTTTCAACCTGAGCCAAACTCAAGAGATTGGTTGTCCTTGCCATTTCTGCATATTTTAGAGGGCAAGCAGCGTGCAAACAGCTAAGAGAAGGAGACCCCCAAGAATGGATTGAAATAGCTTCGAAAAGGCAACTGTCAACCGGCATCAGGTTTTCAATATATGAGCTCATAAAGAAATACTCATTCCTGTGATTCTGCTAATACCAATGTACAGCTATCCAACTCTGATAAATTGGTTTACTTGGGCTGAAGCTTTCATAACCTGTGCCCTAAATGGTAGCACACAAGATTTTCAAAAGAAGTAAAGGAATTTAGCATCTTTCCTTGAGGCATGGGTACAAACACTAATAGATGCCAAGGTAGCAAACTCACAGGAATCATCCAGTTGGCCAGGTCTCCATATTGCGACACCTCCATTGCACCCAGCATTGTGAGGTCAACGTGCCCCCTAAAATAGATTGCAAAGTAAAAAAAGCAAAATCTTTCACTCCTGACAGGCATGGAGAGAAATGTTACCACAGTCAATAGCTAGCTTTAACAAAGGCAATTGGTAACACTGCATAACTATGTTCCCTAGAAGTGCCAATACTGTGGCACCAGTGAAACCAGAGTCAAAAAGTAATCATAAAAAAGTAAGCTAAGACCCGCATATTCCCGATCGTCAACTTGTGTTCATTGGTCCTTTGAATGAAAAAATTGAGTTTTGAAGTGTAAAATTGTATTTCCAAATTTGGACTACTGTCATACACCTTTTGTTATATGCTGTCATAAAGCCACCGCAACTTTTTTTTTTTTCGTCCAATAAGTTTGCAAGCAGTGTTAAATTAGCAATGAACTTGTTTAGATTGTAACTTCTATGTGAATTGGTGCAGCTTGTGCAATGTGTTTTTGTTCTTTGCTGATTCATTCTATGTATATGAACATCAGGTGGCTATATTTTATGCAACTGTATCCACCCTCTCCACATTAATAATGCCTCTGGCACTGTGGGGCAACCTGGAATAAAAATAAATAATAAACTGCTGGTCTACACATACCTTACAAGGTGGGTTCTGTTTGCTGCCAACTGTTCACAGAGGTCTGAAGTAGGAGGCAGGTCTATTTACTAATCAATACATGATCTCTAATTCTTGAGGCAAAATGAAACTATTTTCAGCATCAATGTGGAGCTGACTCTATATAAAGTTGTCAGTATAAATACAAAAATAATGCAATGTCTTCACCCAAGAAACAGATCCTCAGGTAGCAAATAAAAAAAAAAATGTACAGCAAAAAAAAATCTTTCACAAATTATACCAGGTTTTCATGACACAAGTTGCTGAAATTCAAACCTCTACCTTGCATTCTTGCTGCCAAAAGAGTGTGGCCTTTGAGGGATTCAATACACAATTTGTTGCATCCACCAGAAAAACAAAGCTAAATGCGGCAGTTTTACGAAGTTATTGTCAAAACTAACAACACCCTTTACTTTGAACCAAACTGTTTTTTTTTTTTTTTTTCTCCAAATGAAAGTGTTTGTTGTCATTTATGCTCACCCCCTGATCATTGCGAAGGACTCGTCGCTTCCAAAGTAGGATGCTCCTGGCAAAGCGGTGACAGTCTCTTTGCCGGCGTTGATGAGGTCGGGGTCAACTTCCTCCTCCGTCGGGTATGGTCCCTGCGTTCATGGCCACACCCTGCTATTACTCTGGGTTTAGTAAGCGGGCTCTGGAGAGCCAATAATTTCCACAGAAAACCCAAGCATACATGTTCCCTCGGTTACTATAACACTTTCCCACTGCTACCAGAAGACTCAAAAACTAAAAACACTAAATGCATTCACTTAAAGGGACACTGACAGGGTATTTATGCTCGCCGAGGTTTTTAGTTGTACGTGACATATGAGAGCTCAACTACCCAGAACAGAATTTGCGGCTCAAAATCGGGTTTTTTTCCGCCCGAGAACCGCCGATCAAGAACTGGCCGGTTCGAGTCTCGCTCACTCTCTTTTCCGCGGTCACGGGCCGTTTTCTAAGGTATCGATGCGACCACCAAATTTAATCAAAGTCGTGGGTCACTGAAAGCACACACTCAATATTAAAAATAGAAAAAAATATGAAACCCATTTTTTGTGGTTTCTAAAAAGCTGCAAATACGTTGATTGAAAAAAAAGTTCCACAGACAACCGGAAGCATTCTGTGCGTGCGTCGTTTCACGTATCGTGGGACTCGCAGGGACGGCGATGGCAGTGGACAACGGGCGTGGGACCTCTATTTCAGAACTGTCGTTCGCGGTACCGGCGAATTTTGTCTGCCTTTAAAAGAGAAATTCGGGACTGGTCAAAAGAATTGGTATTTATCCCGTACGACACGCCCCACCACCAAGCCGCTTTGCACGAAGGCGTCGCCGAGCCGTCGCTCCCTTCTTGTGGCTGAAGACATCGCTCGCGCAAACGTCAAGCGCGCCGTGTCTACTTCGAGTTGAATATGCACGCGTACGATTTCTTTACTAGGTGAGAATGTCGCCAATGCGTGGTGCATCCCGACTTCGACCCGGGAGTGCTTTTGCTAGAAGAAAATCGGCAGCAAACTTTCCAACTTAGTTTATCGGCTGAATTATTACTAAGAAAAGAGATACCCTATATTCGATATGCCCCAGTAGCTCAGTGGGAAAGACGTCCCCTTCACACGCGGTAGGACCGAGTTCAATACCCCGTAAAACCTTTTTTTTTTTTTTTTTCAAATATTTTTTGATGTCTACATTTGTTTTTTTACAATTATTACTTAAGAAACAAAAAAAATATAAGAAACAAATGTTGTGGACGACACGTCGCTGAATTAAATGGTATGGGATTTCCTTTTTGACACCTGCGAACTCAATGTAATCACTTTCCACAAAATGCAAGGAGCATATAAATCAGGTAGCGTCCGCTTTCCGAGGTGCCCGTAAATGGTCTACAGGAATCGCAGCCAGCCATTGGTCCCGATCCCGTTGATCTTTCGGAAACTCTGTCGCACAATGCCATTTCTGTTTCGGACGCGGGACATGTGAGCCAGCTCTTCACGCAACATCTTGGGTGTATTCTTTTCGGAGCCGATCAAAATTCACCATGGGCACTCACTACTCATCTCCAACTCCTCAATGTACAAAACAACTCATCTTGGAGTACAGAACAACGAGCGGAACATACATAACTGCAAAAGAATCCCACGGCGAACAGTTCCCAAATGCCGCATGTCGTCTGCTACCGAAAAGGAGAAGAAAAAAAAAAAAAAAACACGGTCGGGTGTAGCCACGTGACTTCCGCCACTCACTCTCTTCTCTCCACTTCTCCGACCTCCGTCGGGTTTCGGTTTCGGTTTCGAGCAGTTGCGTCTTTTGGCTTTATTAAAAAAATACTCTACTCTGTTGCAAAATATTAATTGGGTAGTCCTCCGACACCATAATGAAGCGCCTGGCAAAAAATTTTTAAAAAATTTTGGGGGGTGTCAGTGTTCCTTTAAACAAAAAATATTAATAAAAACACGGAGTATAATAGTGGATGGGTACTGGGCTACATGTGCAACATGGGTTAGGTATCGGAACAATATTTACTGATAATAACACTCGTTCCAAGCTAAACAAATAAGCCGCTTGTCTGTGGATTGGTGCGATCATCGGTGTAGCAACAGACTGAGCAAAACCGCCGAGTCGAAGTCTTTACCTTTAGCCACACAAAATGAAGCACCTCACACCAACGAGCTTCAGGAATATAAAGGCGACCGAAAACTCACCACCCCAAGGATCCCATTCTCGCTGTGAAGCACGACGCTGATTCCCTTGGGGATGTAGTTGCTGGCCAGCACTGGGATGCCAATGCCCAGGTTCACTTTGAACTTCCGTCAAGGACACGACGACTCTCTGAGGCAGCACGCGAGCGAGAAAAAGGGGTCCCACCTTTAAAAGGTGAGCGCCTCCTAAAGGATACCGTACATGCCGTCTTCGAATTCCAGGGCCGCCCTTCTGATGATGCGGCTCCGGGTGTCGTCCTTGGCAGCGCCCTCCGCCTTCGACCGCGTTTTCCTTTTCTAAAAGGAAACAGAAGATGCACGCAAAGATATTCAACCTCTTGAAAACCCCGAGTTCGCCAGCTCTCCTGCATGTTCTCTGTTATTTCTACCAGTGAGACATTCCTTTTTATTAACCAGGGTTTTACCTGGAGCTTCTGAGGACACTTCTTTTCAGCTACCGTAAGTACCCGATTCTAACGTGCACATTTTTTCAAGAAAAATACAGCTAGAAATGGCATGCGCGTTACAATCGGATACTAAACCGAAACAAAAACCGAAATCACGCTACCGGCAAGTCTCACTGTCATCGCTATTACAAGAAGCAGCGTAGCCTCTGCGCAACAGCGCAACACACGTGGTCTCGTGATCGCAATCACGTCTTGAATTTCGCAACCTGAGGAGCTGCTCTAGCGATTTGCCTTGTCAGTTGTCAACGTCGCCGAGACAGACAACTCGTACTCGCGGAGCTGAAATGGCCGCCGCACCAGCTAAGGCGCGGCGTTTTCATTACGAGGCCGGCCTTAAGAAGAAAGTTTGTTTATTTGCAGAGACGAACGGCAACAGAGCCGCTTCGCGCACTTTCGGTGTGCCGAAAACTTGTGTTCGCGACTGGCGAAAGCAGAGAGAAAAGATCTTCGCAAGCAAGTCGACCCGGAAAGGGTTCAACGGGCCACGGACAGGGCGGTTCTTTGTCGTCGAAGATGCCCTGGCCGACTACGTGAAGAAGCTGAGAGCCGACCAGATGCCGGTGACAACTGAGATATTGAAAGTCAAAGCTCTCGAGCTAGCTCGCCACCGAGGCATACCCAGAAGCACCTTCAAGGCCAGCAGAAACTGGATAACAAAGTTCATGAAAAGGAAAGGGTTTTCTCTTCAGAGGCGGACTGGAATCTGCCAGAAGCTGCCTGAAGCTTACGAAGAGAAGCTTGTACCCTTCCAGCGGTTCGTAATATCAGTGCGCCAGAAGCATGGGTATCTGCTGGGACAAATCGGAAATGCAGACCAGACACCGATGTACTTCGACATGCCCGCCAACACGACAGTGGAGGTGAAGGGAGCTAAACAAGTTTGCGTGCTGTCCTCTGGACACGAGAAGACGCGGGTGACGGCAATGCTCTGTTGCACTGCGGACGGTCACAAGTTGCCTCAATATTTGATCTTTAAAGGGCAACTCCGCTTCATTTTTGGTTTTGAAAAAACAATGCAGTCCTCTTCAGTATCACCTAGGAAGACCAAACGTGAAATCTTACGACGCAGTTCTGTCTAAATGTTTCTTCAACGGTCCGGCAAACTTTGCAACTCGCCAAGTTGCCGAAACCAGCTGACTTGAGCGGGCGAATTCAGGTGCAACCAACAGCGCAGTCAAGGCTACGGCATGGGCGGGGCCAACATTGAGCTAAACGCCATCTACATGGCCCCCTTTTGCTTGTTTTCACTTCTCCGGGCGAGCGTAGCGCATGACGTCAGCAACGTTGCCTCTCGGCGCTCAGCAATGTCCACGTGATTGGCGTAACGCGCCTGCGCAGCGCGTTTCTTGGGAGCCGTTTGGCCGCCCGCCGTGGCCCCGCCGTTACCGTCGTCTTCTGCGTCACAACCGCCGTCATCGTCTCACCGATTGTGATTATTGTCTCTCGGAGTTTCGTCCACACTACGGACACCACGTGCGCGCACTTATGCCGCAGTCGTGCAGACGTCGTCGAATGCCGTAGACACCAAAACGTGGCGAAGAGTGCGGTGCAGACGACACTCGCGCCTGCCACACGCCCGCCCCAATCCCGCCCGTCGTTGGGCCGAGGATCACGTGACATCTCGTACCACGTGATGGCCATGTACTTGGTGACCCGAGGCCAATGTTGCCGGGCGGAGCCGAAGTTTCGGTTTCGATTTCTGCTCGTGTTTAAAATCAGATTTAAAAATATATACCCCATTTTTCACGAAGCAAACGACGTAGTGTGTTTTACTAGGGCTTTTTAATTCGAAATCAATCATTATCCCGAAATCTTCGGAATTGAGCGGAGTTGCCCTTTAAGCGGAAGACGCTTCCGAAAGACGTGACATTTCCTCGAAACGTCATTGTGCGAGCCAACGAAAAAGGGTGGATGGACACCAATCTGGTCATCGATTGGATAAACTGTGTGTGGCGGAAAAGGCCCGGCGCCGACCTGGGAGTGCGTGCGATGCTTGTGCTCGACGCATTCAAGTGCCACCTCGACCAGCGCGTGAAGGATAAACTTGCCGCGTGCAACACGGACCTTGTCGTCATCCCAGGCGGCATGACCTCCCAGCTTCAGCCACTGGATGTGTGCCTCAACAAACCCGTGAAGGGCCGGGTGCGGGCACTCTACAATGAGTGACTGATTAACGGCCCTCACACGTTCATGCCCGCCAAAAGACTGAAGCGCGCGTCTCTAGAAGAGATGGCTGGATGGCTTTTTGAGGCATGGAGCACAATCCCATCTGCTATGGTGGAGTGCGCGTTCAAGAAGTGCGGAATTTCGAACGTGATGGACGGCAACGAGGACGAGTGTGAGTGATGGTGCTTACGAGCACAGTGCTTACTGATAAATAAACTTCGCTTGTTCTTTTTGCACAAACACTGATTTTTGTTGCTCATGAAAACCGGGTGCGCGTTAGAATTGTGGGCATGTTAGAATCCTCATTTTTGGGTATGAAAATGGGGTGCACGTTAGAATCGGGGGCGCGTTAGAATCGGGTAATTACGGTAGTTACAACCGGAGTCGTAACTTGCAGTCCCAAATGACTGAATTCCAAAAAATGTATTGCGGTATTTTGCAAAGAAGTAAAGAATATTTCTAATGTGGAAGTTCTTGTAAAGAATGAAGGTGACAAAACAAAAGAAACCGGAGCCTCAGGCAAATGACAAAATGATACAGACAAAAAAACTTGATAATAGTAGATGACGTGGGTATAATGCACATGCTTTGAGCAAAGATTACTTCTCTCACCACAATTGATTTCAGCTTATAAGGGGTTTATGGAAGCCATACAACCTCAAAGCCTGTGAATGAGGGTTTCATTTACCGTGCGACTAACACAGTTGATCGGCATAACCATATAAAATCAACTGAGTTCCAGGACTAGGATTCTAATCAGCAACAAAATGTGAACCAGGAATCACGCACCTCAATCCTCTTCTCGAAGCTCTTTCCCTTGAAGATGCCATCGACGTAGATGCTAGGAATGTGAATCTGGTCTGCTGGAATGTCTCCGACTTCACACACCTCTTCCACCTTAGCCATGCAAGGGAACAAAAGCAAGGCATTAAAGTAAAAGAGCCACATAGGGGGGGGGAGCAAATCCTGTTTGTTCTCTTAGCTCGGTAGGCCACATGGCACTGTCTACAATATTTCACAAAAGTGAGCTAGGACTGCTGAAGAAAGTTTTCAACAAACTTTCTTCTGCAGTCTCCTGGTATGCCCTTGGCACACCAGTTCTAGCGTATCATAGGTTTCAACATCCGAGATGCTGCATCTGTAATAATTCTGAACGTTGACAAGGAAACTCCTGCGAAATAAACCTAGAAATTTCTTATATAATCACCTACAATTACATCACACTTCACTCCTCTTTCTAGATCTATTGTAAATCAATTACTAGGTTATGTGACGTCTCATAGTGGTTTTCTTACTTACACAAGGCTGTCACAAAACCCAAGAAAAACACTCACAAATCCTATCAGAACAACCAAAAGGAACTCTTGAATAAAGATCAAACAATGTTGCACAACTAGACCTCAGAGCACGAATGTTACCGTATTCACTCGAGTAATAGCCGCACTGTTTATGAAAAAAAACCTCAGGGCTCGCTTTCCTGCGGAGCACGCGAATTGCCAATCACCGCGATCGACAGCATGACTCTAGCTGTTTACAAGACAGAGATAACGTCTTCGAGCGAAGATACCATCTGTGAAGATTGCATTTGTATGGAGAATCGTGTTCTCGATCTAGTTATTCGCTATGTACTCATTTATGCGCAACACGATGATTGGGTGTATACGTTTTGCGGGAAAGCAGATGCAAGGGCCTTGTTCATAAATAGTGCGGCTATTACTTGAGTAAATACGGTACTCTTGACTGTACTGCCAGTTAGAGTGAGATGTAAAATCTCTCATGGCTCCTCTCTTTTTTAGGTACCCAAATTACAAGAGACTTAATCTAAAGCACCAACAGTCATCACCTGGCAACCGTGTAAAGTGCTAAAAAATGGTGTGCTATAAAAGTTACTGTACTAGCCCAAACCCTGGAAATTTGAATACCGCTAACAATCGTTAATGCACTAACACGGTTCAATGCAAAGGAAAAAAAAATGACTAACCTCTGCAATTGTATACTTTGCCGCCTTGCACATGACTGGGTTAAAATTCGAAGCTGTCTTCCTGCAAAGACAACACTGTAAATTACCTTCTGCAAAAACCAAAGGTTAATTTCTTACAATACACTCAGCATCTGAACTTTCATCCTTACTTCAGTGTTTCAGTATTTCGTGTTTGCAGTCCAATAATGATACCCAATAAATGATACAATGTACATGGAAAAGCACTGGCAAAGTATCGAGCATATAGTTATCAGAACTACCTACTTAAACTCCCCAATACAGCAGAAAGTGACCAACAGCTACACCACAAGTGGTGCTATGGAGTTGCAAACATACCAAAAGCAGGATCAACAAAAAATAAAAAAAATAGAGTGTTGGCATTTGTGAAAGTATGAGAGCCAGAAGCCGTTATCTGCGTCGCAATTTGAAATATGAAAAAGTGCCTTACCTAAACACAAGGTTGCCGGCCTTGTCGGCTTTCCAGGCCTTGACCAATGCAAAGTCTCCGGTGATGGCATGCTCCAGAATGTAGTTCTTGCCATTGAACACTTGGTGCTGCGAACATATTTGTAGAGGCGCAGAAATGCAGTACATCAACTGACATTTACACGAATTGCTTCCACAAAAAAATCGCAGGAGTACCAGCAGGAAATTTTTCTCATTAAGTCATATTTTCCCCCCTCCCACTATGGCGCTCTCACTCCGTCCCACCAGGTATAAGCTCTCCGTCGCAGTAAGCATCGGTTGAGTGTCTATCTGTCGGTTACCAACTGAAACTAGCGTTTGCCTAGAATTTCGTATTCAGCTAGATTACAATTTGGCCTCAACTAAAATGTCAACAGAGTTGCGAGTTTCAGAAATTTTCCGTCATCAATCAGCATTCTGTGGTCACCGACGGCTTAATGAATGCGGGGTTTGGCTTGTTATGTCGACCTTCTTGCTACACAATTCGTCCATTGGCATTTTTTGCATTCATTGACGCAATATCATTGGCCGTGGAGCAATAACGAGATGTTAGATAATCGCCACTCCCCGCATTGCTTACGTCGGCGGTGGCTATGGCATGCAAAGCATTAGAGTAAGGAGCTATTTCCCTTTTCATTATGCGATTACAGAGCTAAGAATGACTACTTTTAAAGTTCCATAAAAAAAAAAAAAAGCTAGAAACAATGTTTTCTTACAAAACTAGTACAGTATCTACCTTAGTGCTGTTCAGAGCATCTCTTACTCACTGGTCTGGGCTCACTAGTGATTGCAACATTGCCGTTACTGTCGTAGCAGATTGGAGCGCCGCCCTTGTGGATGAGGGTGCCGTAGGCTGTCGGTGTGAAGAATGCTGGAATGCCTGCGCCACCTGCCCTCAGTCTTTCTGCCAAGGTGCCCTGGCATCGGAGGAACAACGCTCATTTTACCACCGACAAAAAGTATTACCTTCAGTGACGGCACTTTTGGAACCCTGCGCATTTAACTATAATTGCAGTTCTCCTCTCCTGCGTCGTATAGACATCCACTCTAAGAAAGGAGCCCACCCAGCCAAAAAGTCTGGCATTTCTTTTTGCTTCATCTAGAATCATAAAAATTTTCACATCTGGGTAGCTCGGCTGAACTTTACGTGAAATTTTGGCTCGCTAGACAAGAGGAATTAGGCGTGAAATGCTCATCTGAAAAAGAACAAACGAAAAGGCACAAATAATACATGTAGTGCTGAAGGCTGTGTATGCACTAAAAGCAGTGACCTGCGTCGACTGACTGAGCGTGACATTCGCCCGCTCGGTAACAAGCATGCATTGCACTTCAATTCAAGCGTCGCCTGTGCCTGATCATGTGTCGATCTTTTACAAATTGACACAATGAAGTCCTTGTACAGCCTGTACAAAAGCAGAGGTAAGCCAATTTTTTCGTGAAAAAAACTGCCATCATCAGAATGAACTGCAAGCAATACCACATTAACTTTGCACGTCGCCCAACCAGCATTGTATGTGGCATGTTCTCGGCGCTAAATTGGCTCCAATGGCTGGCAGTGTCCACCATGGTTATTTTAGGATGAAATGCAGTAGTGTAAGAGATTTTCAAAAAGTGAAAGCCATTTACAACTCCCTGTAACGCCGAATTGGAGTGCAGCTCTAGAGGAGGAGGAGGGAAGGGTACTGAGGGGAGGGTAGACCCCTCCTCCTCCTCCTCCTTCTCCCCCTCCTCCCCTCATTCTTTAATATGCTCCGAGGGGGGTCACCTGACCTCGGGGGGGGGGGGGGGGGGGGGGTCACGTGACCTTGGTTACGCCGACGGCGACGCCGCTCAAGCCGGAAACGGGCGCCTAAGAGCTGCGCTCTAATATGTTCATAAAGCAGCTAAGGCTATTTCAAAAGGGTACTCTGGCTATTTGTTGAGCTACGCCAACTACCTATATTTTCGGAATCGCCGGCCTTTACCCCTTCCGGTATGCTATTTATAGTCATGAAATTCATAATAGTGATTGTGAAATCGGCAAGTGAAAGTGACGCCAAAAGTGACATTCAAATACAGTGCAGTCCACTTATAACGATATTGAGAAAACCGCAAAATCCAATCGTTATAGCCGATTATCGTTATATCTGGATCAAATCAAATCTAAAAAAATAGCGATCAAATCTAAAAAATTTGATCGCTATAAGCGATATATCGTTATATCTGGTATCGTTATAAGTGGATTACACTGTATACCCACACTTTTCAGTGCCGTGATGTCGGTGGGAGGCAGGCTCATAGGTCGAGCGAGTCAAAGTCAAATTTGGGGGTTTTACGTGCCAAACCTACGACGGGCATCTGGCACGCACCAGCGGAGGACTGGGGATTAATTTCGACCACCTGGGGATCTTTTGACGTGCAGCCGAAAGCTCGGTTAGACGGCACCTTCTCCGCAATAAGCCTCCGTCATATTCGTAGGTCGAGTGGAGAGTTTAAGAGATAGAATGTGCCGAGCATTTGTTTCATGCTGCTGCGTGGGTGCTGGAGCGAGCTACCAAAGCATTTGTTTAACACCATGAAACTGCTTGTAATCAGTTGTGAACGAAGTCTACAGTCCAAAAAATGAACCCCTGCCTTCCGCTGACGTCACTTTTTCATTGTTGCCAGTAAAGACTCACTTTGAAAAACACGGTGAGGACAAAAATTCTAGATTCAATAACTTCACGAAAAAAATAATTATTTTGGGCCCAATATATGTGTTACTTGTAGATACGCCAGCTGAACGGAGGAAGAAAAAAATGAAAGCCGCTTACAACTCCCTGTAACGCCGAATTAGAGCGCAGCTCTTGAGGAGGAGGAGGGAAGGGCACGGGGGGGGGGGGGGTAAACTAACCAGGGGGGGGGGGGTCACGTGACCTTGGGGGTCACGTGACCCCCAATGCCGATGATGTCATCACTGGCGTCACTGATGACGTCACCCGTGACGATGACGATGCGGGTACCGATGACGTCATTAGTGACGTCACTGATGGCTTCACCAGTGATGATGACGATGACGATGCGAATGTCGGTGACGTCATCAGTGACGTCGCTGATGACGTCATCAGTGATGATGACGATGACGATGCGGATGCCGGTGACGACATCAGTGACGTCACTGATGACGTCATCAGTGATGATGACGATGACGATGCGGATGCCGGTGACGTCGTCAGTGATGATGACGATGACGATGTGGATGCCGGTGACGGCATCAGTGATGATGACGATGACAATGTGGATGCCGGTGACGTCATCAGTGATGATGACGATGTGGATGCCGGTGACATCAGTGATGATGACGATGACGATGGGGATGCCGGTGACGTCATCAGTGATGATGACGATGACGATGCGGATGCCGGTGACGTCATCAGTGATGATGACGATGACGATGTGGATGCCGGTGACGTCATCAGTGATGATGACGATGACGATGTGGATGCCGGTGACGTCATCAGTGATGATGACGATGACGATGGGGATGCCGGTGACGTCATCAGTGATGATGACGATGACGATGTGGATGCCGGTGACGTCATCAGTAATGATGACGATGACGATGCGGATTCCGGTGACGTCATCAGTGATGATGACGATGACGATGTGGATGCCGGTGACGTCATCAGTGATGATGACGATGACGATGTGGATGCTGGTGACGTCATCAGTGATGATGACGATGACGATGTGGATGCCGGTGACGTCATCAGTGACGATGACGTCATCGGGGGGTCACGCGACATCGGCGGGGGTCACGTGACCTCGGGGGGTCACGTGACCTCGGGGGGTCACGTGACCTCGGGGGAGTCACGTGACCTCGGGGGGGTCACGTGACCCCCCACGAGGTCACGTGACCCCGGTGGGGGGGCTCGCGCGGTGCATTATGGGACATTTCCCATGATGCACCGCGCGGTTACGCCGACGGCGACGGCGACGCCGCTCAAGCCGGAAACGGGCCCCTAAGAGCTGCGCTCTAAAATGCAAAACAAAGAGTCGCAAGGAACATACACACGAACACCAGCGGAGTGCGTGTGTATGTTCCTTGCGACTCTTTGTTTTGCGTTTTTCTTCCTCCGTTGAGCTGGCGTATCTACAAGTATGAATAACCAACCTGCTCAGCTTCAGGCAATCACAAAATATGTGTTACTATTTTAAAAATGCTCGTTGGTGTGTTTAGCAATTTTTCATGCAAACTGAGGACTATGAAGAAAACGCTGCAGTACCCCTTTAAGAGGTGTTAAAACTACCACCCACTGTAATGCAATGCTTTCCTCCATTGACCAACGGTGAAAACCACCAAGTTTCTCAAGAAAAATTGCCTAAATGCCACTGTACCTGAGGGACAAATTCAAGCTCAAGCTCTCCAGAGAGGAACTGCCGCTCAAACTCTGCATTTTCCCCGACGTAGGAGGAAATCATGCGCTTCACCTGTAATTGGTAAGATGCCACAAATGACTAAAGGTGTTTTTATTTAAGGTGCAACATGAAATAATGTCGAATCTGCAAAGAACTAACTCAATTGTCATATAAAATGTGCTTCCCTGGCTACTAAGAATAGTGTGGTATAAAGTTAGGGTTGTCTTACAGGAGGTAAGCCCTAGAAAGATCGTTGTTGCTGTGTGAGACATGCAATCACAAAAATAAAACTGGTATGCTGTTGCCATGGTGAGAAGCATACAATTATCTTTATATGGTTGACTTCAGACAGACTGGCTAAAACATGAAAATTTTCATACTTAGAAAAGTTTTAAGCAATGAAAACAAACTGCTACAAACTACAAACAGATGCAATATAAAATACAATTGCATTCAAAATACAGTAGGCATCAAGAATTTTTGTAAGAGCTGTTTTAACACAGCTACCTATAGATGGTGCCACCATTTTTCCCTGCACACATGTACGATGAAACAGATAAAACACTATCAGTTACCCTACAGATTTCAACATTCAAGCTCCAGAAGTAGTCTATATACTCTTGGTGCAGCTAGTAGTAAAATGTACCTAAATGAAAACAGACATTCATACAGTGAAGCCCAGTCATATCAGCCTCCCTTATAACACACTACTGTTAGAACAAACACCTGTGTACAAAGTGTAAAATTTTGTCAAAAGCTTTCTACTGTAAAATTTCGTATGAACGCACATCCCTCAGAGATTGCCCATCTTGTTTTCTGGGCTGAATATCCATAAAGTAAAAATTCTGAAAGATCGCCCCTTCCTTGAATCCCACCAGATATTGAACAAGCGATGCACAACGGGAATTTCATTAATCGTGCTATCTGCGGTACCGAGACGTGTGGCGGGAGAGTATGCAGTGGTTCTCTCGCATTTATCACACTGTGGCACGCGAATCTGCTGCGTCAGCAATCTGCGCGCATGACATCAGTTCCTGTGAAACACGAGTTTGTAGCGGTTTCCCGCGTGTTTATCACACCATTTAGCGCGAACCTGCTGTGTTCATGTTCTGCGGTATCCGTTCCAGTGATGGGCGAACTCTTAGCGGGTTACCGTGCTTTTGTCCGTGATCTGCGCACGCTATGTTGGTTCCCGCAACGCCAGTGTTTCTAGTGGCTTCTTGCATCTTTGTCGCACTGTGGAATACAAATTTGCCACGTCCGCGATCTGTTGTATCCGTTCCCGTTTCACATAGTTTGTATACTCTGTTTCACCTTCCGTGTGACCGCAGCGGACGCTATGAGCCATCTTAACCAATCCAGCTCTGTGAACGTAGTGCGTGATATGTCCTCCGCACGACACTGCGCCCCTTGTTCCAGGTCGCAAAACATTCAAACGGCCCCGCATTTGCTCCTGTGATTCTTAGCATCCACTGCACTCGGTTGCAAGGTGAAACAGAGTATAGTAGGAAACAAAGCCCCCTCCCCCTCGTGTTTATCACCAATTTTGATAACATTTTGCTGTTGCATCCCCAAAGATTGCCCACTCCAAATTTTTCATCATTTATCCCTTCATTTTGGGTGGACGTTTTTACGGGATTTTACGGTATATTCAAAAGTTCACTGCTAAGCTACTGATGTAACTAACAGATATTGCGAACTGGAGTATTTGTTTATAAGGGCACTTGACTATACACGTAAGGTTCTTTAAAGCCACAAGTTACTTGTAGTCAAACAAATCTCAAATGAGAGCCAAGAAGTTACAAACCTGCCTTGTCTTGAGAAGGATGCCAAGCCCAAAGCCATCTACTCCAGCGTTGTTACTCACAACAACCAGGTCTTTGATGTTGGACTTGGACAGCGCAGCTATCAAGTTTTCGGGAATGCCACACAGACCGAAACCTGTACGGCGTGCACAGCAACAATAAGCACTCTTTCCACCTTTACACTAAACAATCCCCCAAGCATTTATTTTTGATTCCACATGTTGAATAACCTTTTTTTTTTTTAATTTAAATTGCGGGAGTTAGAGGTAGATTGGTGGGCTGGAAAGTAGCCTCTGGTTCAACAAATCGAATCAATCCCCCCTGTTGCAGATAAGAATCTATGCAAAGTTAAGCTACAAGCACTCCACCACAAACATCTCTTAACCAGTATCTACATGAATGTGTGCCATCCATGGATGGCATACTTTAATATACAGAAACGTTTAAATGAAGATCACTGAGCAGTCCTCTCCCCAAGACGCAACTACTCAGAACCCATACCCCACACGCCCAGACGTGATCTATATGTAAGGATGAGTCCAAACCTCCAACAAGAAGTTTGGATCCCGTTTTGATATCCTTGACAGCCTCCTCTGCCGAGCCGTAGAAGCGGGCTTTTCTAGCTGCACTTGTGGAAAGGCACCTCTGCACAAAAGTAGAAAGGAGAGGAGAAAAAGAAAAAAAAAAAACATAGAGATGAAAGGTGCTTGAATTTTAGGGAAAAAACATGGCAAGCTCGCAACCGCACATAACTTGCGCTTATAAGGTTGCGGCAGTACAGTTTATACAACGCATGTTGAGATGATACATTTTTTTTATCTCACTAGAAATGTTAGCATGAAACAAATTTGAAAATCAGATAGAGCAACTCACGCCGACACGAATGCCGATCTTCGCTATTAAGCGTGAACATTAATACGGACTACGGCACATACTATGCAAACTTTGAAAACTGTTAAAACTTTTGCGCTGTAGGTTTTCTTTTAAACTGTTGCTTACGAAATGCGTGACCAAAGTCCGTATTAGGTGAGCGGCGAGCTTTCCCAAATGCTTCACATAGCTCAAGGGACCGGAGTTACGCAAGATGTTGACTTAAAACTAAAAGTGCACAAGTTGAAAAAGTATTTTGTTCCAAACTACGTCCTCACCTGGGCATTGTGCGCTGTTCGACCATGCAAAATGAGGGTATCGACGTTCCGTAAAATAATTCGTAAAGCCATCTCTGCAACCGAAAACCGGGCGACCGATGGCCTGATCACGGACGAGAATTATCGGCACTAATCGGCACCCTACCGACCCTACGCTGCAGGCTGCGACTCTGCGACTCTGCCGACTCTGCTCTTGCGGAGAGTTATTTCCGCCAGCAGATGGCGCCACATTCAGACAATAAAATGTAAATAATAGCGAGTTCGTTTCGCGGCACTCGTGCCCACGCGTGCCCACTCGCAGCGTGGAACGGGTTCGTTTCGGCCGGCACTCCACGAGTGGTTGCACTCTCCGAGTTCGTTTCAGCGCTGACACCCCACGCGTGCATGCACTCGCTGCACCGAGAAAATCGGGAGTGCGCCAAAATGCAATCCCGTCATGCCTCGCTCCGGCGGGGCCGGCGAGGAGCGGGAGCAGACGACGAGGGTTCGTCTGCTACGATGTGTCGCGGAACCGAACGGAAAAAAAAAAAAAAAAAGTAGATTTTTTGATAGAAATCGCGTCCCGCGGGCAACGAAATCAAACGCGAGCTTGAATTGTGAGCGTCTGCTATTTCACGAAGGAAGCAACTGACAACCCGTGATTTATTTGCAGGTTTTAAATCGCTCTGTTGCCGCACAAACGCTGAAATAAACCAGTGTCTGAAGAAATGCTCAGAACAAACGCAACAGCGGCCTCCGAGATGTCTATCACCATCCGTGTGCGGGTGAAACATTTAACATTTGTCGACAAAACTCCCCCAGCAGAAACCTCCGACTGTCCAATAAGCATCAGAGAAAGCTAAAGATGGAGACTTTACCCGAGGATTTGGCAACATCATCATGTTTAACATTTACCTACGTCAGCTAACTTGCCCCGTCGTATATTGTTCGAGGAAGCTCTCGTTCTCGACGCCCTCACCAAGGATAATATCTAATCCACCTATAATGATGATCCAAATCGAAAGTCCCAGTTTTGCTGGATATTCCAACAGGCTAGTTTTAAGCCGTACCCTTTCAGTGGTTCACGCATAATACCATGCTCAAACGGATCAAGCTTCTGCTCGGACAGCATCATCAGTTTTCTTCAGTGTAAAGGCCCGTTCACACTCTTGCGACCGAGTACGACTGGGAGAGACGAGGATCTCTTACAGCTTCTTGGTTATCAGAATTGAAAGATCGCAACCAGCTGCTTTGTAGACAGCTGGGTGCGGAAATTTACGCCGTCTGTAATTATCTCTACGGCAGCCTACCTGCTTGAAGTCATCGCAACTATAAACTACAGGTTGCAGCGACCAACGTTCGTAGATAAACGTTGGTAGCGACTGCATTCTCGCAGTTCCACGCATCGCTCCGAACAGAAAGGCGCTAGTTTCGGTTTGAAGTCGGTACCTTTTCTACAACATAGATGGCGGCAGCATCAGTCTTTTGCACTCGGTGCATTTGGCGAGTTCGTTTGAGGCCAGTTTTCCGTGCAACACTCTGTGAGTGCGATGCATTCTGGGAGAGAACTCGAACGGTGCCAGTGCGTGTGAAACGAACTCGCTATAAAAGATATATGTAAAAAAAAAAAAAAACACGTAGGAGACGTATGGATAAGGCTTATCGCTTGTTTTCAAGGTTTCAAATTATTCTGAAGGCAAAAAAAAAAAAAAATACTCCAGTCGTTTTTCCCAGAAGCCAGGCAAAGCTTTTTCTCTTATAAATAACGGAATCCTACACCGCCTACTTCGTAAACGAAACCAAAACTAAAATTAAGCGCACTTATTTTGTTTGTGCGTGCGCGTAAGTTTTAATTATAAGAAACTTCATAAAAACAAACATACAAACATCTCTTTTAAACTGTTTATTGCACGTAAAGTAGCACCACTCGCACTGCCACTTGACTAGCGAATGTAGCCCTGCTTTGAAAATGCAGGGTTTCAATCACCGTGTCTTTTACACTCTCAAAACTTTTTTTCTTTTGTCCAAGTCCAAAACTACGCAAAAGCGTGTAAAAAGAACGAAACAGAATATTTCTGCTTATTTCACGGCAGATAATTACAGCATATATAAATATATTAGTATACCTTTGCCAAGCCTGCATATTCACACATGAAAACAATTAACCGTGGAGATCACTGCAAACAGCAAGCAAAACTAAAGAAATGCGTTCCAACACTAAATTATTGGCACACTATCCACAAGAAATGGAGGAACAAGGTTGTTAACAGGGAATGCACTGTGCCAAAATGTAAATCTCAGTACAGAAATATTTCCTATATGTTTAACATGTAATGTTGAACATGCATTGTTCAATAGCTCTTTAAAAAAAAAACACTGAAGTAATGATTCAAGTTCTAAACACAATACTGATACAAATTTCCTTTAAAAGATTATGCCACAGATGCTGCCGTTGTAGCAGAAAACATAAGCGCACAATAACGAGATGCCAAGCTTTATCGCAGCCGAGGACAATAAATGAAATTAATATTTTAATCAAAGCTCAGAATATAAAAAATATGTATAATACACTAAGAAATATTTGCTGCTTTAACATATATGCTCTCTTCGATTTTTTAAAACTTTATCTTACATTTATTTAATTATATTTAACTAACAAAAATGTTTGTGGAAAAGTGCTTAACACAAATGCAGTACCCATACAAAAAAGGCGCAGTAGTTCACTAGTAGCAAAGAGCAAACGTCTCATATCACGACGTACAAGCCCAAATACTTGCAGAATATATAAACTATTCAGTTTCTAATGTATGATACTATCGTGACATTGTCATAGCTGGTACAAAACAGAAAGTAAACAGTTACAACCCCATAGGTAACATTGCATTACAAACGAGGAACTGCATGCAAAAATGCTAGAAGTAGCCTAGAACTAAAAGATCTTTCAGGGGTGACCATAATACTTGAAGCACTTTGTTTTTGCTGGCGCATATGGTATCACAGAGGTGCGTGTCTACGAATTTGAGTAGAATCTGTGCAAGCGCACAAAATGAATGATGGATTACTTTGAAAGCTCCACTTTTTTAAAATAACTATCACATTGCATCTGGTCCTTTGCATGTGGATAGTCTCCATAGACCACCCCTTCCTTGATCCAGAAATTCTGTTAATCCACCCACAGTTGTATCCACCTGCTGTTTTGTAAATATTTTATGGCATATAAAATCATGCCATAAGTCTTTCCATACAAAACTGCAAAAACAATTATACATTGTGCATGTAACCATAAGCAGCACAGGTTCGTCACATATGATGGGCAATCTTTGCTGATCTGCATGCAGGTATCCGTGTCTGCGTCAAATCAGAAACAAACGAACAGCAATGTTTCTTTGCATAGGTCTTTTTTCTTAGGTGTTTATAACAATACTACCATAAAATACTGTGCATCCACCCATTCCCAAATTTGTAAGATCTGAGGAAATACGCACAGTAAATTTATATGTAAAATTGATGACCGGACATGCGCCAATCCCCCATTTTTACGTGACTATCTCCAAAATTTGAGTGGGCGCTTGCCCTGTATTTCAGGATAAATCCTTTTCCCAGAGTAGCAAAGGGAAGAAATATTTGTTCATTCAATATATAGTTTAAACACCAGAAACATCAGAAGCAATGCATTTTTCTTTTTTTCAGGTTTTTAAAAAACATGTATACGGTCGCCGACTAATTTTTTGGTCGCCAATAATTCGGACTTGTTCGATATTTCTGACCTAAAGGAAAAACCGTAACCTACCCGATAGAAATAATGCATATTCACGACCGATGTTTCGGACAGCTTGAAGTCCAAAAGTTCAATTTTTGGACAGAATCGTCGTGAACGACCAGAAGGAAAAACCACCGGGAAGCCACCATTTTAGATTCTATGTTGGCTGCACATGGATTGGCTTGGTTTGGCAGCACTACTTGAGTACTGCTAAGTCCCATCACTAGGTGACGCCATGCTGTGGCTTTTTTTTAATGTGAAAGCATTAACTGGGGGTCCCATGGAGAGAACAGACGTCATCAGTTCGATGCGCGCCAAACGGCACCTTAAATCCTTTCTCCAAGTGAAGCCAGCTCCCAGCTATGAAACCACGCGAAAAGCCTAGACAACGGCACCTAATTTCGCCTTCAGTCTTTTTGGCTGGCGCGCGTCGACGAGGCTCCCATTGGCCGTTGTACACGTCAGTTTCAACGACCGCCGCCCCATGGCACTGCGTGTCCGCGCCGCGAGCACGCCTGTAACACAAAGCGTCCAAGGTCAAAGCTGCGAGGAGAGCTGGGAGAGCGCACGCACAGCCGACGCAAATACACCGCAAAGGAAACTCGGGAGCGGAAGAATGGCATTCGCATTCACAACTGAAGAAGTGCTTAGGTGTACCTCGAGCCTTTTTTTTTTCTCTCTAGCTGTGCATCATTATCATCATCACTGTTACCATTTTTTTTTTTTTTGTTCATTCATTAGTTTGCAGTCGTGCACCTTGCGCCTCTCATCTCATCTCATCTCGGTGAATTGTGTTTTTGGACTACACTGGCTTGGACGTCATGGCCCCATCAGTTTTTCCGCTGCCGCGAAGTTTTGCTCAGAAGCACAGAAAGTATTCGACCATAACATTAGAAAAGAAGACAGCAATTCTCAAGCTAATAGAAAGTGAAAGAACGCAAGCTGAGGCGTAACCTGAAGCAAATCACTATTGACGGATTTTTTAAGTCCGCTTAGGCGTAATAAAGGCAAATATTTTAATCTGCTCATTTTTCAGACTGCTCTATTATTCGGATGTTTTTTCGGTCCCTGCGAAATCCGAAAAATCGGGCGGAAACTGTAGATTGTCAATCAATATAATGTTAAACTTATAAAGCCGAAAGAAAAAAAAAAAGAAGAAAAAGGGCCAAAACGACGACATCTCAAAACGTAGTGTTGAGACGCCGTTCTGTTGCCCAATTCTCTTTTTCTTTGCTTTTTTCCCCCTAGTCTCAGAGTTCTATAAGTAAGACTGCTCACCACGCTACCCTGCGCCATTACCCTTATTTCATAACACGATGCTCAATTGAAAAACCTAGTAAACTGTGCCAAAAGTTGGCAAGAAACACCTCAACTCGGCAAGGCTTCACCCAAACTGGCAATACCTGCCCCAACCAACATGGATTGTACAAGTCCTTCAACAAGTGCCACTTCTCCTCATCTAATTGCCAAAATTATTTACACTATACTACACGACCTGTCAGGGCAGACACCCGTATGAGCAACAGGTAGTTTTAGGGAAGCACTTCTCACCCATGCAGCACTGCCATGCGGCAAAGCATAGCGCTGCCAAGGTGCAACCTATCCCCCAAACATTTCCTCCGAGAACTCCCGGGCTCGGCACCAAACTAATTCTGTGCCTCCACCCCGATCGCTCGGATTTCTGGACAAGCGGCCTCAGACAGCCGCCAATCGCTCTTGCCAATGTGGTAAGGCAACGAAGACACCGTAATGTGTAAGTGAAACCGATGGCAGTATAGGCACAGTGGCATGGCGATCAAATGGCATTCCTATAACCGTCTCTATGCACTCCAACCCACACAATGGCACAAGCAATGAGTAAAGATCATAACGACTAGAGCGGCAGGTCGACTTCAAGGTCCGTGCACTTGGGTGGCACTCGTGGTAGGTCGGTGGGAGGAGAGGATGCCCGGGACGAGGAGGCACCGTACTTGACCACACTCACGTTCACCAAACCCAGGCCCCAACTTTGAAGGTCCGCCGAGCCGAAAAGCACGAACTCGAGGGCCGCCAAAATGGCAATAACGCTGCCGATATAAAAGAATGCTGCCCACTGCGCGAGGAAGCCCTGCGTCGGAAAAAACTCTGCATGAGAGAGATATTCGCGAAAGAGGCACATGTGTTAGTGCTAGAATGCGGCCACAGTTGATTTGAAGAGAGGCACAATAGCTGTATGACTCCTCAAGATGGATAGAGTCTTTTCTCTGTCCATCTAGCCACAGATATTTATTGAACTGTCTACTTAGTATATACACCTGTCTATTTAGTGACTATCCATCTACTCGGTATGTGTTTGACTATTTATCCTTTCACATGCCAGCCCATGAAACAAACTTGTCAGCAAGGAAGACAATATAGTTTTCTTTTTGATAAGTTTTTTCACCGAAATAAGTGGTGCATGCTCCCATAATGGCATTTCTTGGTCCGATGAATATTAGACCTAGATGAATGTAGGCTGGTAAAGAAATTCTGTTTTTATGTTTTCTCTCTCAATTGAGGTAACATCATGTTCTCAAACTTCAGCATTCCATCAGCATCGCTGGCGTACGTCACATTGACACGGAGTTTCAGCTTTCTAGCAATGCATATGTTCCATTTTCTCAATTGGATCCGGTACATCAAAGTGAGAATGCCCGCATCGGAGTTTCATTAACCCTTTAAGTGCCTTGGACGAGCTGAGCTCGTCGGCCGCATTTTGGCTAAAAATGCCATGGACGAGCTAAGCCCGTCCAGCGTTTTTTTTCGGTAGCCCTCAATTCCACGGATGACCAAGGCTCGTCTGAGTAGTTTGCGGCGCTGATCAAAAATGGCAGCACTCGTTTCAGCTGGTGCATTTTTTTTTCACCGCCAGTTTTTGCGTAATAAACTTTTGAAATTTTATTTCCATTACTAGAGGAATAAAACTTCGAAATAAAAAGATATGGCACTTTTAGGGCACTTTCAGGAAAAAAAAAGTGGCACTTAAGGAGTTAATGTTGGAGGTAACAAAAACACAGCAACAATTAATAATCACAGTCCCCATCAATTTCCTAAAAAGCATGTACCATGCGGCCCTCAGTTCGATCTGCACATAAAACTAATGGATAGGCAGCTTTGTATTACTGGGCATATGCAAAACATAAAAACATGACTACCACATGCCCACCTCGTCTTTCACAAGCCAGCCCAGCAAGGATGGTATTGCAAAACCTGGGATGCTGCCGCCAATATTTGAGATTCCCAGCAACGTACCTGCACAGCCATTGGAGGAAACACGCAGTGAGAGGCAAACAAGTTCTCCCATAAATGAAAATCGTATAGATGTAAGGTGCACGCTATGCAGTGAAGCAAGAAATTATGTTCTTGTAATGTCATTGGAATGTTTCCTTTTGAGTGTTTTTCTTCCTCAATTTCATCATTTATTATTTCCTGTCATTTCTGTGCTTTTTACAATTCCAGTGTCCTCCCCTACTGCAGTGCCCACTAGGTGATGTAGGTAAAAATAAATAAGTAAGCAAGCAAGGAATGGTGGTACATACAGTAATCCGTCGTTATAACGAAGTCCACAGGACGGGAAAAAAATTATATATAAGCAATAATTCAATAAAAGCGATAGAGCAACAAAAGCAGTGCCGGCAGCCTTGAAGGTGGACGAGAACACTGCGGAACATCCTGACCGTATATTTAATCAAACAAACCTTGGTTATGAACATCTTTTTTTCTTATTCTATTCATTTAAATGCCTTAGAAGTAGTTAATAAATACAAGTATCTAGGTGTTACTATCACGTCCAACTTAAGCTGGGCTAGTCATATTGAGCAGACTGTCGCAAAAGCGTCAAGTAAATTGTGGTCGCTACGTAGGAAAATAAGTCACTGTACTCCTGCGACAAAGCTGACGGCCTATAAATCGCTGATTCGTCCTCTGCTGGAATATGCTGACGTTGTATGGGACCCGCACTCGCAATCCCTTATTGACCAATTGGAAGGCCTTCAAAAAAAATCGCTTAGGTTTATTTACAACTCATACGGCAAAGATTCACACGTGTCACCATTGTATACCGCCTCCGGAGTGTCTATATTATCATGTCGAAGGAAAGTAAAGCGTTTGACATTTTTGCATAACATAATTCATAATAACGCTGGTTTAAATTTTGATGATTATTTGCAGTATAACGCGAGTCGCGCTACAAGGCAGAAGCACGAGAATTTGCTCCTTGAGTTCCGCTGCAGAAAAGATGTTTTTAAAAACTCATTTTTTCCTTGTTTTGTTAGTGAGTGGAATGAGTTGCCACTAAGTGTGACGGCTATTGCTTCTACCGCTTTATTTGCGAGTGTAATTGATGAATTGTTTTTTGTCACCAATGACTAAGCTACTTGTTTATTGTTGTTTGTTCATTCGACTCATTGATGGTTTCTGATGTTTGTCTATCATGCCTTGGCCCTCAAAAGTTGGCCGGCAGTATTCTCAAATAAATAAAATCTCATCACAGCTTTACCAAGTAAAAAAATAATTAAGTGGAGTTTGCCTATAATTCCATCCAGGCATCTGTTCTCCTCAAACTAATCCAGGCATCGCAAGAACACCTGTCACCGTCGCTGAACTCCACTTTGTTTCGAAGCAGCTGTAGGATGTTTCGCGTCTCCGCAGTCATCGGCGCTTCCTGAGGTGCCCTTCCGACGTCACTTCGTGTTTACCCTGGTCGCATGCAAGGTCTACGGTCGCAGCATCTGTGGCAGATGCAACAATGAGAACGTCCATATCAACAAGCACAAACGAATCGAAGTTATCCTCGGTGGCTTTACCAACATGTTTTCACACACTCCTGTAGAGATCGTTGCAGAGAGGAAAATCGTGTGCCGGCTCAAGCATGCTCGCAAGAGAGAATCCAATGTGTGCGAAGCGGCTGGCAATCTTTCATCTTCGAGTAGTGAGCGCGCTTTCTCCTGCATGAGAAACTTCTCAAACCTCTCCAATATGCCTTGCTTGTTCTGCAAAATGGTGAACAGTGTCGAACAGTCGATGCCGAAATGTTGAATTCTTTGGCGATTTCGGACTTGGGCCGGCCACTTTTCTCAACCTTGCAGATCTAAGCGACTTTCGGTAAACACTCCCAATCACCCATACGACGCAAGAGTGCATGTAGTATGCTGCAGGCTCGCCTGTGCAGGAGTGCGTGTCGGGAGCTCCCAAGCAGCGTCGGCCGCGGGTGCCGTGAGTCACCGTGAGTAGCGTCAAAATGTTGACGCTGCTCCCGCTGATGCCTGCTTGCATCCCCACGTCTGCGCATCGGCATCAGAAGCGGCGCTCTGCCAGCTCTGCGCGCTCTGCTCTCCATACACCTTTTACTTCGTTTTCCCAGTTTGCCGTATGCTTTGCTAGAGAAGGGGGAGGGAATGCAAGGGTCTCCTCATGCCTCCATGTAGGCTTACATGGTTTTGGCACCTCGGCCTTCGTAGTAAGCGTGATAGGACACCGATACACTTCGAATAATCCGGTCAAAAATGCGTGCATTTCGGTCAGGACCACACTGAACTTCGATAAAAGCAATTAGAAAAAATCGATTTCATTATAACGAGGGATTACTGTACATATCGAAGCACAAAGTACCGCACCTCCACTACAGTGCAGATCAGAAAGCTAATGTAAGCTCTTAAATGAACAAACATATTTGCTTAATATTTCAAGGTAATCATTATCATATGCAGCTAGCTCAAGTGAGGTTACCCAATTAATCACGCTACTTCTCTGAGCCCCTAACCCCGAAAAACTCAGACCTATAAAAGTATAAAATGAAAAAATATATTCTCAACCCCCGTATCAAATTAACTTGGCCCAACTCCCAGCCAAACAAAAAAATGTAAATAAGATATGTAGGGGAATAGGGTCCCCCAGTTGTATTTGGTAAGAAAACTCAAATCTCACAATCAATTCTCACTTCCCTACAGTGTGGCAAGTTCACCACGTAATGCACCGCCATTGCAGCACACTTAAAACCTCCTATGATGAGAAAACACTAGAGAGCAAACACACTGGCAGTATGGCACCATCTATGCGACAACCCTGAAACTGCACTTCACTAGAGCGAAAGTTTTGCGGTATTTGCAAGGCCAAATGTATGTACTACCTTCAAAAGTTGTTGTTTACAACATTTACAAAAATTTCCAAGCAAAAAAAAAATGTATGCACCAAATAGAAAAAGGAAATATCTGGGACTGCCAAGTGTTTCACCGCTACCCGGTAGGTGGCACCGCTGTTCCCTCTTGTCACAAGAGATTTTGAGAGGTCTCGAAGCCCTTTGGTCCTAAGCAGTCGCAAGAGTGTGAACGGTCCTCAAAGGTTCCGATCTGTTCTTGTGATGTGTCTTGTAAGCAGGGGCATTCTCGTGGTATTATAAAAACTAAGGCACATGTGAGAGAATGGCTGTCACAGTAATTTTAACAAACAAGTTTGTACACTATCTCATCACATCTTCATTAAATACAGCACCGCAGGCCTTCACAATATGGGCTACTTGCCTTTTTGCAGCGCGGCGGCTCTCAGCTGAACCAAAAATAAATATTAGTATTATTACGACAACTATTACTGAATACTGCCGAGTCAGCAGCATCAAAGACAATAAACTATGCGGAGAGCAAGTCGTCTGCTTCTTGCGCAGGAGTTGCGGTGACGTCAGAACAAAGCCGAGTTCCGACTGGCTTTGATTGAAAGAATGGCGGGTAGACCTCAATGCTAGAAGACCTGAGGCCTATGTACTATTTTTTTTCCAATCAGTCACTAAGAGTGCGGCCTTCTGACATGATCGCAACCCCTGTGCAAAAAGCAGACAAACCTGCGCTTCGCATAGCTGCCTGCCAGTGCACCTGAGTACTGCCTATTTCTGGGATTATTTCCGAAGCTAACGCCGCAATCTTGACGACATCGAGTAAAACATAGCTATACTCCGCGACACCTTTTCTTGTCAATGTAGTGGAAGGTACAGGCCCGCGTCCCCTCTCCCATTTTGAGTGTGCGCGGGCTCTCCTCCTCTCCCCGGAAATGGGGGAGGAGGAGAGCCTGCGTACACTCAAATCGGAGAGGGGACGTGGGCCTGTACCTTCCACAGCATTGCCAAGAAAAGTTGTCGTGGAGTATAGGAAACGATGCAGCAATTCTTTACCCGCAAAATCGGGAGCCATGTCGATGTAGGCGGCCATGAATCCGCTGTGTCCCATCCCATGAAGTGCCCCAGCAGCGCTGAGCAGCATCATGTTCCAGAAGCCGTTGCATCCGGCCGTAGGCACCAGTATGAGGAACAGGCCCGGCACCAGCACCCCTGATTTGCATGGGGCATCTTGTCAGGTGACGCGAGACGGAGGGGTTCGGGCAAGGTGCACAGCGGTAGAAGTTTACTTTCTACTCTACCTTCAAGATTAAATTAAATACAGACTAAAAAGTCGTCTTGTTTACACAATGCTAAGTTGAATTGAATATTATACAAATACTATTTGAAATGGGCTATTTTTCAAAAATCTTCAAAGCTATATCAAGAGAATAAAACTGTTTATTCTTGGTTAAAGACTACCCGTGTGCTGGAGCGTTGGAATGGTCCATTTTTCTTATTACAGCTTTCATGACTCGTGAAAACATTTTCTCCTATGCTCCTTTTTTCTGAATGGAATGAAATTAAATTAAATGCAACAGAATATTTTCCATGAAACATAAAAGCTGTTTATAAAAACCAACACACCATTTAAACTCTTCAGCACAAAAGCAACCTCTCTACTAAAAACACATGCAAGTACACCTTTTTGCCAAATGCACGTGATTGAAAAATTCATGAAAATTCAATTTATTTTGAGAAGAAAACTGCATCAGTTACACACTACTACCACCTGTGGGTGTCGCATCACTGCATTACGGTTAGGCCGCAGAAAAAGTATGCACAACAAAGTTAAAGACCCTGTAGGTTTTCAAGTAATATAATACTACTACTACCGTAATTTCCCGAAAGATGCCCCACTCCAAAAAGATAACCCACCCCTATTTTTGATATGAGTTAATATTTTTTTCAAAAGCACCGAAAGATAATTTCCACTTCTAGTAACTGCAAGGTCCTGGCCAATGGTGACCTTGGCCGAAATGGGGTTAGATAGCTACTGCAGTAGAGAAGCAAACGTTGCTGACTGGGAAAGACAGATGTCTACATTCCATTGCCCCTCAATGTGACAACAGGTTTGGCAGGCCACAGAATACAAAAATAGTTTTTTTTTACAATATTTTCTATGTTACACACCAAAAGTTTGCCCACTCCTCATTTTCCCCTGATTTGCTTCCTCTTTAGGGTGGGATGTCTCTCTTTTTCTTTCTCTCTAGGGATATTATGTTAAATTCCCTGGTCAAATTGAAAACACATACTACAGTTATATTGACAAGTATAAAATATTCATAAATGTCAGCTGTCAATTGGATTAGGTGATGGTACATCACATAATGGTAAATTTTGTTGCAATGCGAACAGCTTTAACAGGACAGAATGTCAGAGAGGCCTCGGTTCCACAGGATGTAGACAACTTACCAATGCTGTTGAAGACCTTACGGTTGGTAGTGATGGACATGCAATGGCGTTTACGTAGACAGTCCGAGATCACACTTCCCAGGCAGCTGAACAGAGCTCCAAGGATATTAGGAATGGCAGAGAGCAGACCATTCTGGGTGGGCAAGAGTAAGCAACAGAAAGAATAGCTTTAAGCACCATGTTCATTTTGAGAACCACGCTACAACAAGAGCAAACAAGCTCACGTGAAACTGAACAAGTTAGTTGTCAAAGAAAATTCACTAATATAATTGATGGTGCTTGGAGAGGTCAGCCACAAGCCTGATTGATGGCTCAGATAAAACTGTTTTGGTTCATAGTTCACTGTCGATAATTGTGCCTGAAGAGCTGGTTTCTGAATGCGACCCTTGAACAATGATGAATTTATTGCTATAAATACGTTACTTGCAAATCTTGCACATATAGTATGCATGTCATTTTGCATAATCCTCAATTAGAATCACTCTCACCTCCAAGGGTCTATAGTTATAAAACAATATATCGCAAGGGGGGGGTCAACCAATATAAAAAAGCTTCGTTCTCTAACATAATATTTTGAGAACTCAACCCAAGCTAGTTTTTAAATATTGTTCTGGCGCAATACTTCACAAGGTGGCAAATCTTAGATTGGAAAAGCTTTTAGTCAACAATCTAAGTATTTTTTTACGAAATGCAGACAAGCATTTGCGTTGGCTCTATCCGGCTTTGCTCCCTAATGATGTGTTTGGGCTTACTTTCTAAAAACACAATTAATAACCTTTTTACTGGTACAGTCGCCAACTGATTTTTCGGACTCCGATAATTCTGACTTGTTTGATATTTCGGATCTAAAAGAGGTACTGTGACTTACCCGATAGAAATAGTGCATATTCACGACCAATGTTTGGGACAGCTCCAAGTCCGAAAGTTTGATTATTCGGACAAATTCGTCACGAGCGATCAGCGGGAAACACCACCGAGAAGCGGCCATTTTGAATTCTATGTTAACTGCAAATGGATTGGCCTGGTTTGGCAGTACCTAGCACTAATCCTACCACTAAGTGATGCTGTATGGCTTTTTTTTTCCTCTACGTGCACGTCATTATCATCATCATTGTTGTTTCCATTTTGCTTTGTTCATTCGCCACTGCAGTCATGGACCTTGTGCCTCTTATCTCGTCTCGGTGAATTGTGTTTTCGGTCTACGCTGGCTTAGACGTAATTGCCCCATCTGCTCTTCCGCCATGATGATCTGTTGCTAAGAAGCGCAGAAAGTACTACTGAACCATAACGCTAGGAAAGAAGGCAGCGATTCTCAAACTAACACAAAGTCGCCAAAGGCAAATGGAGGCGCAACCTAAATCAAGGCACGCAAGCGTAACCTGAAGCAAGACACTATTTACGGCTTTTTAAAGTCCGCTTAGACTTAATAAAGGCAAAAAGGCAAGTTTTTTAATCTGCTGATTTTTCGGACTGCTCTATTATTCGGACGTTTTTTCTGACCCTGTGAAGTGCAAAAAATCGGTCGGTGACTGTACATGTTGGTAACATAATCTCTGCCCAGTATATTAATGAAAGCACTTCTAATTGTAATTGCACTTCGATTCCAAGATGACAATGATTGAAAACAAATCTCGCAATCGCCGACACATGGTTACACTCGCTCCAGCAACAAACAACTCTTCAGCAAACGCTAGACTCACAGATCCTAGGTCGTAACGCAGTACAGACGTCAGGTAGGTGGGCATCTCGGTGAGGAAGATGTAGTGGATCCAGTTGAAGCCGAAATGAGATAGGAGGCCAGACCACACAGCTGCAGAGAGCAACACCTTGCGCCACGGAACCTTCTTCTTCTGCAAAGACGCGTCGGGCATGGTCAAGTTAAACACGTGTCAAGTTTAGTCTCTAGAGGAATACCATGTTTTTTGGTTTACAAGTCGAACGTTTGTATAAGTCACACCCCCCTGTGAATGAGTTTTTGGAAAAAAAAAGTTGGTATAGTATATAAGTCATACCTCTGTATCGGCTGCACCCCTTTCTACGGTTGGAAAAGTCTACAACTTTTACGCTGGAAAGTATGGTACTATCAGAGGTCGGCATTTTAGGTCGCCCTCACTCACCCTCACCCTCACAGCCACACCCACCTAAGCCCCTCACTCACCCTCACCCTCACAGCTACACTCACCTTCAGCCCCTCACTCACCCTCACCCTCACAGTCACACTCACCTTCAGCCCTTCACTCACCCTCACTGAGCCTCACGGCCCTCACGCCCCTCACTCACTCATGGCCCTCACGCCACTCACCACCCTCACGGCCCTCACCGCCCTCACGGCCCTCACGCACTCATGGCCCTCACGCCACTCATGGCCCTCACGCCACTCACGGCCCTCACGGCCCTCACGCCACTCACCGCCCTCACGCCACTCATCGCCCTCACGCCACTCACCGCCCTCACGCCACTCACCGCCTTGCGGCCTCACACCCCTCACCGCCCTCACGCCACTCAGGCCAGCTTCAGATGGGGCAATTTCGCCCAGAAAGTTTACGTCGCAACACCAGCAACACGGGCCGCCCGCGATCACACGCAGCAACCAATTGCTGCAATTTGCCATCGTCATCATAAAATTTTATTTTTCTTGCACTATTTAGACAGAATTGCGCGTTATAAACGTGTTTTTATGCATTTAAATCTCGTTAAGAATACTAATGCACCTTTCTGAAACAGTTTATTTCCAAAAAAAACGATTGATTTCAAACCAGAACCAAGTCTTTCGGTGTCATCATCGCCGGCACGAGGTATCCCGTGGAAATTTTGCGCCCCTGATTGGATGCAGCCGCTTTAAACGTATTCGAATTGCTCCGAGTTGCTTGCTTATTTCCAGCCGTACCCGATCTCTGCAATTCGTGTCGATCTAGGGAAAGCTAGAGAACAACCCGCTATTAACACCACAATTGCTGAGAAAGATGCTCGATCTGAAGGGGGCCTCACGCACTCACCGCCCTCACGCACTCATGGCCCTCACACACCTCATGCACTTACCGCCCTCACGGCTCTCATGCCACTCACTGCCCTCATGACCCTCACACCCCTCACGCACTCACCGCCCTCACACCACTCACGCACTCATGGCCCTCACGCCACTCACCGCCCTCACGCACTCATGGCCCTCATACCCCTCACCGCCCTCACCGCCCTCACAGCCTTCACGGCCCTCACTCACCCTCACACTCATTAATTTTCCTGGTTCAGAAACTCACTCACCCTCACCTCACCTGTGAAGATGAGGGTGAGTGAGGGTGAGTGAGGGCCCTCATGAGTGAGGTTTGCCGAGGTATGGGTACTATCATACGTAATGATAACAAGACCGCAAATTTAGAAAAGAAAGAATTTCACGCTGTGCAAACCCTGCAATAAAAAGCCACAGGTGTCTTAAAAGTAACGATCGGGCTAAAAATAGACAAAAGGAAACGGGTACGAAAACTCTCGTCTAATGTTCATGTCTCTTCTGCACTCTCTTTACATCTTTATGATTTCTCAGCTATCCATTTGGCATTATAGCCTCTTACTTTGACACAAAGAAATAAATTGGACTGTTTGCTTCAAAATACAGTGTAGACCGCATATAACGTATGTCGTGGGAGTCGCGAAAATCCGCACTATAAGCGGTACCACGCTATAACCAAAACCTCCATTTTTCAGGCCAAAATACATGCCATGAGACAACTTACCTTTGTAAAAGAATTTATTTTATGTTAGATGAAAAATAAAGCTTAGTTTGAGGAAAGTCTTTATTTCACCAGACGAGTACACGTCTCTCTCAAGTGTGTCACAGATTTTGAAAGAAATGAGCAACTTCTGCCTGGCGCAGAATTTTAACGGCGTCGTGGGTTGCGGACGGACGTTGCGAGCGTTCAGGATTGCTAACCCTAATCACTTTTCTCCGGTGATGAAAACGCGTGAAAATTCGCATCCTTTATACGGTACGCACCAGTAATAACTTCAACTTGAGCACAGGCATGAAATGCTTCAAATAAGAAATCCGGGCAATGTTCGAAAACACAAATGCTTAGAAAGCACCACTGTAGTCGAAGTAAAAAAACACGACGACACGGGCGTTTTGGCCGTCTTGAGAGTGCCGCCACGACATCGCCCCACGAGTAGGTAGATCTTCCCTTCTAGTACATGCTGGGTTATAATAGCGACACACGACGAAAATTCACAGTCAAGGGTAGCGCTTTTACGCGGAACGATGAGCTTCCACCACGCCGCCTACGTCAACGATCACAACCGAAGCCATGTTTGCAGATAGAAGAAGCCGGCCCGCGACCGGCATGCAACGCGCGCAAACACTTCTTCTCGACCTGCGATTGGTCGTCGTTGCGGTTGTTTCCAACACAGCGGAGGGACGTATGCACGTGAACAACACGTGCGTGCGTCCCTCCGTCGCTATGGTAACTGAAGACTCTCTCTTCGCTTCTCCCCGCTTCTTCGAGCAACCTCCTTGCCCCGCGAGTGCCGCTTGCGGCTAGTGCCATTATCTAGTGTCGCACAGGGAAGCGTGCTCGCTGCACCGGTCGGTCGGCTCGGTCGGCGCGGTCGGCGGGCTGCTCCAGAAACCGCACTATAACCGGTATTTCCCTTCGCGTGCCTGCATTTTAAGCAGTATGTAATTACATGGAGTTCTATGGGAGGCGAACCGGTGGTTGAAAAAAGCCGCATTATACCGTATTTATTCGAATATAAGGCGGTCACGATTATAAGGCGAGGGGGCAGTTGAAGGACCCAAGAAAAAGAAAAAAATGTCATACTGCTATACTGAGCTTCGAATATAAGGCGGGGTATGACTTTGAGATTACGGATTTTGGAAAAAAACCTCGCCTTATATTCAGATAAATACGGTACTTGGTCCTGCACTATAAGCGGTTGCATTGTAAGTGGTCTATATTGTATGTGCAAAATTGTCACCATACTGTCACTGTAGTGTTGGAGGCAGTTGGCTCTTCATGGCATACATGACGTAAACCATCCAGAGATCTTTGGCCTGCCACTCACCAGCTCGGCCTGCTCAGAACCCTGGTTTGAAAGGATGTAGTCCAGTTCCTTCGTAGAGATGCGAGGATGGTCCATGGGGGTGTCGTACACAAGGAAGCACCACGTCAAAAACCAGAGTATGCCAAACAACCCTGAAAGTTAAGGTGACACAGTCAGCTCTTACTATGACACATACTTGTCAGATGAACAGATCAAAGGTGTGCACTAGGCACTCATAACCGCTTCAAATGAGATCACACCAAAGCTTTCTGGGAAACCGCACAGCCCACTTGTAGGGTACACAGTGAAACCCGTTTCGAACGAACCCACGTACATCGAATTATTGTCAATATCGAACTCACGGAAAATTTAAATAAAAATGCATGTAAAAAGTACTTTTTATAACGAACAACACATTGGCTATATCAAACTTTTCCCCCCAGGACGCGCAAACTATCGTCTTCTAGCCTGTCCCTTCTCCCCCCCCCCCCCACAAAATAAGAAGTAGGAAAGAAAGAAAATTCTAAAAGCTCAAGCCACGAACAAAATTGAGTGAAGAGAAGCAATTCAGAAGGGGAGAAAGTGAAAAAAAAAAAAAAACTGTGCATGCACACACAGAAAAAAAAATATTTTCATCCCAAACCAGTTGCCCAAAAAGAGAAGCAATTCAGAAGGGAAAATAAGCTAAAAAAAAAAAAGAAATCTGCAGGCATGCAAAGGAAGAAAAAAAGAAATTCCAGCGCGTTGTTACAAGGCGGAAGCGAAGAGATGAGAAAGAAAGAGAAGCTCTCACCTTACAACGCAGACATCATGGAAGTTTGTTGTAAATGGTTTTTGCTATATCGAACTACTTGCTATATCAAACTGATCATAGCGTTTCCTGCTGTCTGTTATAAACGGGTGTGACTGTATACCAACAACTCCATCCTGCTATGCACGACCCTTCCTTTTCTAAGCAAGAGGAAAATTTGAGGGGTTCATTGAGGATTATGACCTACACACACTCCACCAAAAATGACAAATTATACAAATGGGGAAAGCACATAATGAAGAATATAACTTCAAATATATTCCAAAGTCATTACATTGTCAGCTGAATAGATTTTCAAGAAACTTTCTTTACTTTTGAACAGGCAAAACAGATTTGGAACAGGTAAAATGTTGCTACTAACCATGAAATGTTAAGGCACACAAAAATTGTTGTGTAATCTCGCCACAAAGTGCCAGCACCTAAGGTCAGGGTTCATCGCATCAAAATCGACAATTATTCCTCTCTCAAGTTATGTTCACCTGCGCTACGAGTAAGGAAAAAAGCGCACTTTATTTTTTAACAAGTTGTTAGTACAAGACTGAATTTACATAAGCAGGGATCCCAATGTTTAAAAAAAAATGTTGAAGGGACTGGAGGACTTAAAAAAGCACTGACACCCCAAAGGTTGTATTTTCTTTTGTTGTCTAAAGCAATGCAAGTTGTGGTCACAGACACGCAAAAAAATACCACAACGCAAAAATTAACTTTCCACGCACGCGCTTCTTTATTTTTACCATTTTTCTCTTCCACTTTAACCTCCTCGCTTATTTTGATTTGTGACGTCAAATATCATGAAATTTAGAAGTTTTGTAAGGTACATTTTTCTAACATTTAATAATGGAATTTGTAAAAATGTCTAACGCAACTGCAAACGCACTACGGCCCTTCTTTTTAAAATACCGAAAATCGAAGTCCGGTGTGATGCCACCTCCTGGCTTTTTATTCTCTTTCAAAAAACGTGGCGGCGCTCGACACATGAGAGGATGATTGGTGAGTCGGGAAATCAGACGAAATGGTCTTTTTTAGGTGCCTAACGACCTCTCAGACTTAGAAAAAGAAATCGGTGAACGGTCAAAACCACTGGGTTTGGTGTCTGTATTATAGTTTCGGTTGTGACACCGCCGGGGCAGTCTTTCAAGCAGAACCAGCGCAACGTGGCCCCTCATGTCGCTCACAAAAGTTCACTGCGCGTTCTCTTCAACCTCACACCGTTTCAAAGAATTTGAGATTGCTGAAAGGGCCCTAAAAGAACTTCAAACTCGAAAGTCAAGTGTTGTCTGCTCGCAGCCAGTTGTTCACAAGATGCCGGCAAACATGACACTTCGGAGGCGTCGGAGAAACTCCACTCGCAGGACCGCTCAATATTTGACGTCGCTGCACTGGCACGGATTACGCGGGAACTTCGAGTTCAGCATTTGGAACTTATTTTCCTACTTCACAAATACTAAATTCCCAAGTTCTGAATTTTGAGGGTAATGGGCATCGTTTTCAATCATTTCGTATAATCAAAAAAATTATTTTGACGTGTCAGTGCCCATGATCAGTTTATAGCTAAATGGAAAAGCATAAAACATGGCAAAAAAAGTACTTGGGTTAATTCAATCGTAAATATAAACAATATATATACAGAAAAAACAATTATGCAATAGTAATGTGACAAATCAAAATTTGAAACAAAAGTGAAAGGAAGCAACAATAAGCCACCGATTGCAACACACATTAAATGACTGAAACAAAGTGGAAAAAAAAAAAATTAGCCACCAATTGCAGCACGCATCAAATATCACCTCACCAAAGACATAAAAAATGGACGGCCAGCCACCGAGAAACCCAGAGTCGGCAAGTAGCCCCGAGCCAATCATGGCCACGACGGCGCCAACGTCCGAGCCCGCTTGGATGACGGAGACAACCCGGCTCCGGGACGTGATCGGAGTCCACAGGGATATCATGCAGTGCATCGCCGGGAATGTCACCCCCTGTGCACAATCAGTGGAGGTGCGCTTTAAGAGAGAGAAGCTCCTTCCGCAGCGAGAAAACCCCAGTTTAACGCTGGTTCACGCACTTGCGACTGCTTACAACCAAGTCGCTTGTGATCCACCAGGCGAAAATTTCTAACTGGGACCAGTTGGCACCTCAACTGGTTTCAACTGGGACTAACTGGTACCAACTGGGAATCGAATGGGACCAATAGGAGTCCAACTGGGACCAACTGAGGGACCAACTGGTTTGAACCATTCCCAGTTGGGAGTCAACTGGTTTGAACCATTCCCAGTTGAAAGTCAACTGGTTTGACTCCCAGTTGGGAATGGAGTTAACTGGGACCAGTTAGGAAAGTAACTGGTTGGAGCGATTCCCAGTCGGATTTCAAATGCCTTTCCCGTTCCCAGTTCACACGGGGTAGCAATTTTGACAAGTTGGGGGTGTATTGACCTTTGCTGATGAAGAAAACTAAAAACACTTACATTTTTAGATTTATACAAATAGGAAAATTTTTAATTACTGGGTACATTTATATATTTATAAAAATTTTAATTAATTGAATAATTTTATTAATTAGAAAATATAATTAGTGACAAAATGTGTTCACCTAAATGAACATTTAGTGCATCATTAAAATATATTAAAACATTTATGGGTCCATATTACATGAGCGAATGACGTTTTAGCGAACAGCGACATTTAAGCAAATCGACGTTTTAGCCAATAACGGGGGCGCGCGTTAACCCATCCGCCGCGCTGCGCTTTCGCCGCTTCGCGGCGACAGTCTGCGGCGGCTCATTACAAAAATGTGAACCTATTTGGCCCACCAGAAAACGCCGCTTCGCGGCGTCCGACTATTCGCTGAAGTGTCATTCGGTGAAACGTGGGCGTTCGCTAAAACGTCATTCGATCAAGTGAGCGCCTCCCCCAGCTGCCGTGGCACGCGGGTGCGGATTAGTGGTACGCGCTGTCGAGAGATGGCGCTGCCTATACTGACGCCGGAGTCGGACAGACGCGGTAGAGAAGGGTCGCCATCGCCCAAGTTGGCGTTGTTATGAAAATGTCAAAACTACAGCTGCACTTCTTTGGACCTAACTGTACACACACCATGGTGGCGGCGGTGAACTTCGAGGATAGAAAGATGCAGTTCAGCAATCGGAGGGCACCCAGGAAAGACCGGACGGAAGGAAACGCCGCGGTGAGCACAACGGCGAAAATGGCGGGAGGTCTACTTCGAAAATGTGCGACTGTTGTCGTGACAGAGATCGCAAGGTGGGAGCGCTACCGCATCCTATCAGGACTTCACCTGTGCAACGCGGGATCACGGGTGAGCACCTTTCTTCACGCGATGGGGAGAGAAGCTGAGGACGTCTTCACTAACAGACGCCAGCGGCCGATCTTCCTTCATCTCATGAGTACTACCTCTGAAAAAGCGATTCAACCGTCGCAAGCAAGTGGCTAAACTCGGAGTGTGTACGTCATTGAACCTATTACTTAGTTTCATTCTCCAAGTTTTTGACAGTAAAGTCTTGTCAACCTTCCATTTTGTGCCGTATTTCATTGTTGCTGGAGTTGGTACCAGCGGTAACTGGGACCAACTCCAACTGGGACCAGTTGTAACTGGGACCAATTCCAGCTGGGACCAACTCCAACTGGGACCAGTTGGACAACTCCAACTGGGACCAGTTGCAACTGGGAATTGTTCCATAAACCAGTTGCAACTGGGACCAATTGGTTCCAGTTGAAAATTTTTGCCTGGGCCCTTACGAGTAGGAGCCTAGATTTAAGAGAGGGGGCGACTAAAACCACAGAGAGTGTTCACAATTGCGGAGGCCTCTTGAAAGAGGCAGGAAGAAAAGCACGCAGGGAGCTCGTGGAGATGTAGACTATCAATGCTTTTTGGATCCCCCTTGCAGCTCAAATTGCGAATGTGGCCTGCAAATTATGTGCGCCCAATCAAGCAGTTGGAAGCACTCTTAAGGCTCTGTTATACTCCGACGTAAGGCGCACGCAAGCGAACGCTGGCCGAAGTCGGCTACGTCATGTCAGTCACGCCGCGCGCGTCAAAAATTCGACCTCTCTATACTCCGGCAGCCCTGGCAACTCCCGCAGCGCACGTCGGTGGGTCACCAGCGCGGCGCATGCGCAGAATCTGGCTACGAGGGCGCGCTTCCTGCGAGAGTGCGCCATTTCCGGTTCCTTTTCGTTTCGAATAGCAGACGAGAATTCTCACGCTTCTTGAGCGCCAAGTTTGAGCGATGGCGTGGACGTACCTTGCCCGACGAAAACTCGCGCTTGCATTGTTGATGCCCCGCCTGCGCCGCAAGCGTAGGCGGTCAATGTGCATACGGTACATCTTTGACAAGCGCCCGGTCTACGGTACTCAAGCTTCCTCGTGTCGTAGACACGCGGGTGAAGACGAATTCCCTCAATCAGCTTCTCGACGACCGAGTCCGATTCTTCAAACATGACGCCACACGGAGTGGTGTTCCTGTCGTCTGCTATTGCTCGCACTCGCCGCGCTTCCCGCGCGACGCCTGCCGGGAGCCAGCGCGTGATGCATGGTCCGACGTCGCCGGCGCGGAATACCGCATGCTCCATTTTGGCGTTGAGACGGTCAGGCTGCGTCAAACGTCGCCGGTCACGTCGGTTACGCCACGACGCCGGAGTATAGAGCATCGGGTTTTCGCCGACGTGACGTCGCTGTGACGCGCTCGCACGCGCGTACGCGTTACGTCGGAGTATAACAGAGCCTTTAATCTAGGCGAACTCACGAGAGAACACACTGGCTCTTATCTGTCGGGCAGCCTGGACACTAGTCATTTTCCTAGATTTCCTATATTCTTCGAGCACCATTCTTTTTTTATAGGCTCGAAAAAGTATTGATGTTACAAACATCCGTTTCTGCATATTATATGTACATTTGACCTTGCAAATACTGCAAAACCTTCGCTCTAGTAAAACGCAGTTCCAGCACCACCTCATAGACGGCGCCATAAGAGATCATGAGAACTCGGTCGTAAGGAGCAAATGCAAGTGCGTGATCCAGCGTTTAGGTTCTAAGTGGTGAAGATGTCAAAGCAACTTCCAACCGCTGTCAATGTATTTCAATCAATGCTGGTGAAACATTCCAATTTAAACAAGACGATTTCATGCTCCACCACAGAGACTGAAAAACAAAAATGAACACTGGTCATACCTGTGAGGCAGCAAGCACAACAGGGGAGAGGAGAGAGAAACACATGTGCAATGATAAAATCTCTCATAATGACCTACGTCGAGCGTGTCTGCACCCTCACACCCTCTCTCTCCCCCTTTCAGTGAGTTTCAGTTTAGGTGGTTCCACCTAGTTTCACTATTTTGAGAAGTACAAAAGTTAAAAGAAAACATTCCCAGCATAATAAAAGGTTCTCAAAGAGCGATATTGCTGCGATTTTCTAAAGCAGTAGTTCTCAACCATTAATGTTTCGCAAACCCCTTGTGGATAGGAGAAGATGGAGGACCCTATTCATGGTGAAGAAAGGGGAAAATATAGGTTAATTATGATAATAATTTATTAAATGGATATATTTAAGGGCTAGTCTGAAGTAGACCTCTCATTGACATACACACAAAAAAAATTAACCAAAAATTACATTTTTTTTCTAAATTCGAAAAAAAAGAAACAAAAAAAAACATTTTATTGCTGGGCGGTTTGATTGACATGAGGCAGGGCTTCGTAGACTTCTAGAATGACATTGCAAACCCCAAAGGGTCCGTGGACCCCCATTTGAAAACCACTGTTCTAGAGCGATCTTAGAATTCACTTTAATAGGAGTGTACTAACCAACTATATGTAACAGCTAAGTACTGTAACAGCTAAGTACTATGCTGGGTAGGAATTCCAATGTTCAAGATGCTTAGTGGTGCTCCTAACGAAGAAAGTGTGAACACTTTAAAATGATACCATGCCGCTTCGCTGCAGTGCACCTGAGCACATAGGGAAAACACTAGGCAAACTTCCTCCACAGTGTACAAGCGCAAACGAATGAAAGCGCTTTATGGGAAAACGAGCGACCGGTTCCTGAATAAGCATACTGCGGTGCTCCATAGCCATGAAAGTTGATTTCAAATAAACATGTGTTAAACTTGTAGACCACTTTATTTCATTGAAAGCATTAACAGCTATCTTTTTCCGGGTCATGCACTGTCCACCACTTTCCCTCTAATAATGTGTCCACAAGGTACTGCTGCAGAAGATGAAGAATTACGAAGATCATGCAATTGCTGTTTTTTTTTTTGCTATTTTCTCACACAGTGTAAAGTGTACCGTTAAAACCTGTAGCAGGCGTGCGGTGTCAATCAGGCAGAAAAAAGTGCCACTTTGTTTCATTTTCACTGCGTTGCACAATGTGCATTCACATTACAATTAAGGGGGAATATTTCTGCCCCATACTGCAAGCAACAATGCTGGAACATCAGAAATAAAACTGAAAAATTAAGGAGAAGCTCCGACACATTCACACAAAGTACTAGGTATATAGTACAATTTCACAACTGGCGTTGTATTCGAACCAACGAATTCTCTCGCAATAACACCCATACTGTTATCTTTGTTTAAATTTAAATACCAGACACCAATCAAAAGTAGTTTGCAACACATGCACAACATTCATCACACTGCAAACATGCGTACAAACAAAACCGCCGAGTGGAAAAGCCATACCTCGGCCAATCCCTGAAGAATGCGGATGGCGACCACAGCAAGGTGATGAAGATTGGCAGCCAATGGGATCAGAAGGGAAAGGACGCTGGTGATGAGGATGCCACCACCGATCAGCCATTTTGGTCCAAACTGCTCCGCCAGTACGCCTCCAGGGATCACAGTCAAGATGTAGCCGTAGAAAAAAGACCCCAGCACCAACCCCTGTACACTTGAGTCCCAGTCAAATGTAGCAGCACTGTGTCCCAGTCCTGAAAACCGGAGCAAAGGAAAAGAGAGCAGTTAAAGCCGGTACATGACAGTAATTTACAAGTACAGACAGACAAACCGGTGACTCGCAGAATGACTAACTCAGTTCTGGGAAAACAGAAGTGTTCCCCCAGAGCTCTGAACTTTGTTCAATCTGTCTTTTGGGGCATTAGTGATGTCCCAAAAGATCCAAGTATTTATTTAGATTATTTGGGGGTCTTTAACCCTTTAACCACCAGGCCCAAGCTTCCAACCAGGTCATGGAAGGTTGTACCAATATCACCGATGACGAGTTACACTCGTCCAGTCAAAATGATGGCTTGCTTTCACTGCCAAACACGAAACAGGTTCGTCCATCGGCTTTAGTTTCAATTTCCAACACTGGAGGGCAGGAGAGGTCGCACAAATATAGCACGTATCTAGCCTTGCAACAGTGATCAGAAATGGCAGCACGCTTGAGTGATGCCGGTGACAGCCCTCGGAAACGGGCTCTCTTTTGCGGCAGTAGCAGCAGCAACGATGAAAACATTGAATTTGTCTCTAAAAGTGAGTCGGACATGGATTTTGAATACGAAACGGACTTAGACGAAGACCACAGTGACGAAGAAGACAACGCGCTGGGTAGTGTTCGAGTGTGGCAACGCACAAACACTAAAACCCGCCACCCGCGCCTCCGAGGTTTCCGTTTTGCGCAGTGCCTGGGATTCTGCAGCAACCCACTGACGAAAAAGGCATTCTTGACTGGTTCGAGGTTTTTTTGCGGGAAATGCGGGAACCGCTACGCGTTCCCGCATTTCGCAGCGCGGGGTTCTTCATGGAAACCGGTGGACTGCGAAGAGATGATGGTGTTCCTTGCACTAATAATTTTGCGGTTACGGTTACGGTAACGGTTTTACGGTTACGGTCAGAAAGTTTATCTTTTGTTACGGTGTGCATGTTCAAATAAATACTGCACATTTCAGCACGTGCTATTCTATTACTCTTACATGCACTGAGGGAAAGCTTCCATAAAAATCTACTTTTTCTTTTAAAAGTTTTATGTTAATACCAATCAGAAACCAATCAAGTAATGTATTTGCAAAATCAGCATGACATAAGAAAAAATATGTGGAAATAAAAAATTTGGCAAAGTTTGTACATTTTTTTTTCGAAAATAACTTGGTGGTTAAAGGGTTAAAAAGACGACACCCCCCAAAATTTATTTTTTTACTTTTTGCCAAACGATTTATTATGGTGTCAGAAGAGTACCCAATCAATATATTTTGCTACAGCGTCACATATATTTTTAATGAAGTAAAAAAAACGAAACTCCTCGAAACCAAAACAAAAATCGGACTAGGGAGGAAGAAGAAATATAGAGGAGGAGAAAGGTGGCGGAAATCACATGGCTGTGCAACTTTTTTTTTTTCCAATCAATGTATTTGCAGCTTTTTAGCAGCCACAAAAAATGGGTATCATATTTATTTTCTATTTTTAATATTGTGTGCGTGCCTTCGATGACCCACGACTTTGATTATAATTGGTGGTTGTGTCTAAACCATAGAAAACGGCCCGCGACCACTAAGAAGAGAGTGAGCACGACTCAAACCGGCCAGCTCTCAGTCGGCGGTTTTCGATCGGAAAGAAACCGAATTTCGAGCCGCAAATTCTGTTCTGGGTAGTTGGGCTATCTCATATGTCACGTACAACTAAAAACTTCAGCTAGCATAAATACTCTGTCAGTGTACCTTTAAGTCTGGTAACAATGTATTTTTGTCGAATCTTTAGAAAAGTTTGACATTGCCGAATTCGTTTTGCGGAATTTTCGATTCGGCCTATCACTTGCATCACATTGCAATAAGCCTTCATCATACTGCGAGTGCTCTAGCCAAGATTTGAACAAACCAACTGGGAATTCGTAGGACATCATCCCTTTGCCTCAGAATCAAACGGCCAACTTTCCAAATGGGGCAAGCGTTTTGGTTCAATAAACCCGTTCCGGAATTCAGACTGGCAACCTTGAAAACTATCATCATCTTAAAAATGGCATATGTGCTATACTAATGGTGGCCTTCTGTTTAGTGATGAAAGAAGAAGTTGAAGATGCTCCTAAGCAGGTGATTCGATGCGTGTACATTCTAGATGTTAGCGCGACGTGAAGCAGGAATCGGATGCAAGAGCTGCGTAAGAGTTCATTTCTAACTCGGGCCCAGTCAATCTGTTAGTTGCACACACACGGCTTCAAAGCCCCTTGATGTATAGAATTTTATCAAGGCGTCTATGTGGGCTGGCGCTTCGTTCTGACTGGTTGCATCTTTTTCACCATCGACACTGAAAGAGATTTAAAAAGAACTGGTCAGTGACGCGCGCATTCTCATTTACCATTGACTTGCGAAAGTGACGGTGCCCCATACAGTACTGCAGACCACAGGTTCATCGCCGCCATTAGTACGGTAAAAGTTAAACTGTCATTTGAGTCACCAGATGGCACTGAATTCCGGAAAGGGTCTATAGTGGCTCTTACGAGACTACACTTTACCTTGCCCGCTGTTCCTATCCTAGATCCCCTGGTTTATATGTTTATGTGAACGTCTTTTATCTGACTGTCTGCATGCTGTGCAATATGCCCACAGGATCAGCCCATCTCAAGGCTTTCGGTTCACCCAAAGGCTTTTGCTACCATCCAGGTGCCAGTTTTGATACTCTACTTCCTGTCCCATTGCACCTATACAGCCCACGCCGTGCTACGAAACAGTACACGTAATCGCGTAACACACAGCTGCTTCACACCAGTACATTACAGCTGGTAAGTTTTTGGTATGGCAAACACCAAACACATTGACCATCCGTGAATCTCGTAGGGCTTTATTCCCTAACCGCTTTTAGTTTTTGGGAATTACTGACTCTCAACTGTGTTGTCTTCAAGATCAAAATTGTTGTTTTCGAAATCATATTCCTAGCTACAAACGGAATAGGAGCAAAACTGAAAAAAGAATTCAGGGCTGCCGTATGTTGGCAGAGCCGCAAACTAAGCCACAAGTGACCCCGATTCATTTAGAACGGTCAAGTGCGTGAACTGGGGACAGCAGACGAGATATACTCGTCCTGAATGGTTTGGGGGCTACTCCACGTTGAAGAGCCAGGTACATCTAAAAACAATTAAAAGGCCCTTGAAAAGAAAATTTTTTTTATTTAAACAGTCTGGTTGGGACACGCGTGTCAAAAAATATATTCTATGCCAAAAATTGTTTAGAGCAATATTGACAGTGAGATATTTATTTGAAATTCTGCGCGCAAAGTCCATGACGTCACGGAATGGTCATGACGTCACGGAATGGTCATTCACTTAAAGAGATGTTCATTCGCTCTTTCCACCTCAATGTGAAGGCAAAGCCGATCCACTTCTCCCCCATGTGCCCAAAATGCCGAGAGAGAACAAGTGGAAAGGAGGGGACTACCAACTAAATCGCGACTCGCGCTGTCAACATTGTTCTAAAAAAAAATGTTTTCACATAAAATTAATTTTTTGACGCTTGTGTCCCAACCAGACTGTTTAAAAAAGACTTTTTTAATGCAAAAGCATTAACTGTCCCATGGAGCAAGCTGAGGTCATCAGTTTGAAGCACGAAAACGGCACCTAGTTTCCCCAATCCCAAAGGAGCGAAGTAAAGCTGATGGATTTCGCCTTCGGTTCCATTGGCTGGCGCGCGTCGACGGAGCCCTCATTGGCCGCTGCACTCGTCAGTTTCCACGACTGCTCTCCCCATGGCGCTGAGTGTCCATCAGCGCACCATTAACACGGAGCGTCCAAGGTCAGCGTGCCCAGGGGAGCACGCACGCTGACCGGCGACGAAAACTATGCAGCAGACGAAAAAGGGAGCGGACGAGCAGCTTGCATGCTTTCGCATTAAAAACTCCTAAGAAGTGCTTAGGTGTACCTCAAGCTTTTTTTTCTTTTCAGGGGCCCTTTAAGGGAAAATCCAACAGTTTTTCATACTTTCAGTAAATGCCACTTATAATTAATCTTTGACCTATCTAACCTACGAAAAATGTGTCAGCTTGTTTTCTACATGCAATGGGAGCTGCAGAAGAAATTAGAGAAAAACAAGCAGCCTTCATCTCCTTAACTTGCAAACAAAAAGATGGCCACATGATCTGGAACCAATTATATATTGACGACACCAATGTTCGTCATAGCCAAGTGTTACGGTTAAAAAACCAAAGGGTGCGTGCCGAATTCCAGACATTTTTAGGATTCCGCTACTCTCATCATTGCATGTATCGAGTCAAGCCATGACCCAAATGCTCGTTGAGGCAAATGATTGCCACGAGCCCAAGTGCTCATGCAATACTCTTGTCCAATCTAAGAGGAAGATTTGACTATTGTCACCATCAACACTGCAATCCCTGCGACTTATGTCATCCAAGTTTTGCAAAGAGGAGGCTGAAACTAAACGTCCGCTTTTATTTTTGAATTTATGCCATGACAAAGAGGCCTTTTGGTCAGTGGTGTCACGTGCAAGTGCACTTTCAGTGATGTGATTGGCCTAAGCTGTTTTGGAGCACCTTTTGGAGCAGCCAAAACAGTGTTTTGGAGCAGCAAATGTGGCCTTTGGAGCAACCAAAACAGTGTCTTGGAGCAGCAAAGGTGGCTTTTGGAGCAGATATCCTTACAAAAAAAAAATATATATATATTCATTCTAAGTGCTGTACAAACGAAGGGATTTGTGTTGTGTTCTGATGTGACGTGATTCGACGGAACTCGCTGCTTGTGCTTTTACTGCAGAGACATCCCACAAATGGATACAGTCCTGTAGGCGTTGCCAAGCAATTAAAAAACACTTGTTACCGTTTTACTGGTTCCCGACGTGCCAGATATTCGCCAAAAATAAGCAAACGTCAAATAAGGGACTGCAAGCATCCCGGCCAGAGCTCTGGTCCCGGCTGGTGCGTCTATCGTGCAATCATGTTCGCATGCACGTGATGGCAACTTCTGCAGGCTTGAAGTTGCGAGTGCTTCATCGCGCAAGCGGAGACAACGGCTGTTCGATCAAAATCGAAACCATGCCACTCCGCTCCGTCGCCAACTGAATCCCGAAATCGTATGCAAAATTTAACTTTCGAGCGTACGACCAAAAACAGTCCAGCGGCGCGTGTTTGCCAAGCCGGCCAACAAAATGCAAGCTAAACATACACAAAAAAATAACCTGAGCGCGTCGATGCAAGACATCGCGAGTCAAAAAGTTCTTGGACCGCTTTGTGCAACGACTGAACTCGGGACAAACAAGCGTGCTGTGCGGGTTCAGCGTGCAGATATTGCCTTCTTTGCTTTAGCCCAGTTCCCTTCACCAACTTTCTATCACGCCAGATTTTTCACGTACCGGGTTTCCCTCTCGAAAAAATGCCCGCCGAGAGAAACCTAGGTAATCAATACTTCGCCACAGCAGTCTCTGAGTTAAAGAGGGATTTTTTCAGATACATATTTAAACAAGAACAGGAATGTTGATGAGCATGCAGCAGTACCTAGTTTTATTTCAGAAAGCGCCATATCTGCAGCGACGTGGGGCTGCAACACCCGACGTCGCGCGACCACGGTGACTGGAAGGCAGAGACCAAATATACTTTTCCCACGGCCGTTGCTTTCAGGAGCGAGTGCTTCAGCTCACAAAGTAACTCCCGCCTCGCAAAAATGTGGTTTCGTTTCACAGCATGACGGCATGGCTGGTACCCGGCACGCTAGCGTCGGAGTGCCCACACACACCCGCGTCTATCGTGTAATATTTTTAAAGTTTATAGTTTTTAAAAAAGATGCGAGACGAGACCCACGAGACGACGAGCGCGCGAATCGCGAGACGGCGGGAAAACCATGCAAGACCAGAGTCGGGCGGCCGCTTGCGCCACATAACAGATGCATGCTCAGTTACGGTAGTCAGTTTAATTTCGATTTTGAAAGGCGACCGAAATTGTTTTTTTGGCGCAGGCTTGGCGCAGATTATCCATATTTTGGCGAAATGTAGCAGGATGTAGCAGGGTTAGCCCCTTGGCGCAGTTTGGCGCAATTGGCGCAGCAATCACATCACTGACTTTGATCATAGGGCCAGTGTAAAAGTGTAAAGCACCCCAAATCAATAGTGATGCAAGACCTGTTTAAAAAAAAAGCTGCAGAAAGGCATTTACAATTTGACTCGGAAAGATTATGGAGCACAAGTTTTCGTCATCTTCTTTTGCAGGGATTGTGTTGACGTCAGAATGCCGAGCTCCGATTGAAGGATAGCGGTTAGACCTCTCAGCAAGCTAGGTCTACCAACTATTCTGCAACCAGGGCCAATCAGAAAGCTCAGCGTTGAGACGTCAACGCAACCCCTGCAAAAGAAGATGAACTTGCGCTCCGCATACTTCTTGCAAAGACATCCAGTACCTATGAATATATCTGATGAATGTCTGCACAAGATCATTTCTTCTGTCGAGCTACAAAGTCAGGGAAACAAAACAGCTGTACAGCACCTACAGACGTCACGTTGGCTTGCTCCATCAACTGTGGATTGCGGGGAAGGCACTGCGTCTGCGTCTCGCTAGCAGAAGATAAGTTTCCAACCGTGGCCACTGGAGGGTGCTCCGTGTGGCGCACCATGGCGACTATGGCGACGCTCAGGCTGACTCGTAGCGTGTAGACGTTCACCAGGCCCAAGAAACCCATGAGGACGAAGATGTGCCTTGCTGGTACCAGCAGCATCCATTCTTGATCGTGGAGAAACAAAGACGAAGGCATTTTTGTGATGTCGGGAAGCGTGAAATGTGTGTTAGTGAGCCATCAATTTCCCTCACAGAATAAAAAATAGGGTTAATTAAAAAGACACCGCGTTATGGCCACGTGCTCGTGCCTCGGCGACCACTACATACGTAAGGGAGCTTTTGATGGCAGGCAATTCATTCTTTATTTATGTTCTTTTTTTACTCCCATTTTTTTCTTCTTTTTGTGTCACGTGCTTTGGTGATTTACTGTTGTGTGGAAAGAGACAGTTGCTAGTTGTGCTAATTACTCGTTCATGTCGTGTCGTCTTCGTATACTCCGTCTCATCCGACGATGGACTAAAGCCCAATGCTACAGGCTGTCAAGTCCAATAACGAGCCTCTTAGAAACCATGTAATATATTTGTTATGTCGCATATGTATCAGTGCGCAAAGACGCGTCATGTGGAGGCGAGTTTTTTGTCTGCTTATCGAGCCCTCGCTGTGGTTCAGTCTGCCAATTGCTAGTGCTGAAGACTAGTGAAGGGATTAAATACTGTCTGGAAACGATATGGTGAAGACGACCCAGGAGCAGAAACAGCGGCCATTAAGAAATTAAGATGAGCCGGATCAAGTCTTCGACACGGGAGCGTATGTATGATCCACGTGCGGAAGGGAGATGCGGGTCCGGGTGCATACCCAAAGCTTGGATTGGATTGTTATGGCTAACGAGAAACGACAATATTTCAGTGTTGCCTGCGTGCCCTCCAACTTGTCCAAACAGTTGACATGTTTACGAAATATTGCATGAATTTTTATGAAACTAAATACTATGTACCTTTACCTCGCCAATATAAAGAAGTGCGCTCTCACAACAGAGAACCATATGCGTAAGATTTGTGCTCATCGTGCTCTGCATATGGGAATTTCTCTTGTGCACTCTTTTGCGATGCGGATGGAAGCTTTTCTGCGGTAGTGCTCCCCCCGCCAGCCTTCGGGACCTAGTTCATCGTAGGGTGAGACAGAGCATAGTCCAGTGTTGTTTATTGATAATCCTTCGCAGTGCAGTTCAATCGAAACATGAAAAGCAACCAACCAGCCCAATCGTTGTTTGAAATCGTTTCGGAGGCCTCTCGGCACCCCATTTTACTTGCAGGTGACTTTAACCAGCCAGAATTGAAATGGAATGATGGCACTTGTTCATGCAAAGTTGGTAGTTGGATTAATCTAGAAATGAAGAACATCATAGATACTTATGGACTGTTACAATATGTAAAGGATCCAACTCGGAATAATAACATATTAGACCTTTTGTTTTGCAGTTCACATAACCTTATAGATTCCGTCATCATTATACCAGGAATAAGTGATCATAAAGCCGTCATTGCAAGCGTCAAATCAGGAATCATCCGACCGACGACATGCGCAACAAGGAAAGTTTTTTTCTTCGAGAAAGGCGACTATACTAGTATATCTCAGCAGCTGCTTGACCACTTGCCGGTCTTTGAATGCCTAGCTGAGGATTACGACGTCCACAAATTATGGTGTGTATTTAAGAACAAGCTGCTTGAACTTATGAACCGTTATGCTCCAAGCATAGATTCTACTAGACTGAAAAAAAAGAAAAAACCCTGGGTGACAATTCACGTATCCTAAGGATAATTAAAAAAAGAAGGAGAGCATTTCTCAAGTATAAGAAAACTAGAAGTAACAATCACTTGAAGAAGTTGTCTGAATTAGCGCAGGAGTATAAATTATCCATAAAAATTGCGAAAGAAGGATATTTTAAAAGACTTAATGACAGGATGAAAACTAGCCCTAAACTTTTTTGGAAGTTTATAAAAGGCTGTGGATCCGAAGTCTTAGGAATAAACGAAATTGTGCACAACCATCATGTCCTCTTAGACGATACTGAAAAGGCTACGTGCTTGAATGATTACTTTCAATCTATCTTCCTACCTAAAGATAGCAGCTGTCCCAGCACATGCAAGTGCCATCCCGTTAATGGAGCCAGTTGAACTAAGCGTGAGGGGCATCGAGTTGCTTTTAAGAAACATTGACGAAACTAAGGCAAATGGCCCTGATGGTATTTCTCCCCGTATACTAAAGCGTTGTGCCGGACCTATTTCGTTGTATCTTTATGTAATCTACGAAAAGTCACTCTCCACTGGTATCCTACCAGACGATTGGAAAATCGCCCATGCTGTCCCTATTCATAAAGGTGGTTCAAAAAAAGAGGTTTCAAACTACAGGCCAATATCACTAACAGCCATCTCATGCAAAATTATTGAACATGTTTTATATACAGGAATAATGAAACATATAACGAACAACAGCATACTAATTAGTCAACAACACGGGTTTCGTAAAGGCCTATCTTGCACGACACAGCTCGTAGAATTTTACCATGAACTGGCGTCCAATATTGACGATGGAGGGCAAACGGATTGTGTTTTTCTAGACTTCCGTAAGGCGTTCGACACTGTGTCGCATCCGCTCCTTCTTAGTAAACTAGAGTCGTTAAACTTAGACTTAAATGTGTTCCGATGGATCGAAAATTATTTATTTCAACGTCGCCAATGTGTTGTCTTGAACGGAAAAAGTTCGGAGTACGTTAACGTAACGTCAGGAGTCCCACAAGGCTCGGTCCTGGGACCACTTTTGTTTCTGATTTATGTAAACGATATTTCCGTGGGAATTTCCTCCTCTATACGGTTGTTCGCTGACGACTTCGTTGTGTATAGGGAAGTTAAGGACGAACAAGATGCTGCTACGTTGCAACGAGACTTGAATTGTATTAATACTTGGTGTTCCAAGTGGCAGATGAACTTAAATCCAAAGAAGTGTGTACACCTGAGTTTTACCAAGAAAAAGAAAAAAATTGAAAGTGCGTATCAGATAGATAACGCCCTAATAAATAATGAAACTACCTACAAGTACCTTGGTGTCACACTGTCATCCGACTGTTCTTGGAATGCTCAAGTTGATGATGTCATTCTAAAAGCTGGCAGGGCGCTCAATTTTATTCAACGGAATTTGAAATGTTCACAACCCGAATTAAAGAAAACCGCGTACTTAACATGTGTTAGGCCGATTTTAAAATATGCCTGCGCCATCTGGGACCCTCCGCACGTAACCTTGATTGACAAATTGGAAAGAATTCAAAATAGAGCTGCTAGGTTTGTACTGGGTCGTTATGGGCGGAGGGAGAGCTGCACTAAAATGAAAAGCGAATTGAATTGGGAACTGCTTTCTTCTCGACGAGAAAAGTTGAGACTGAAGTTTTTATTTCTCATATATAATAATAAAACTGGCATTAACAGAGAAGTATATTTAAAACACCCACATTATGTTTCTAGGCGGACTGACCATGCTTTCAAAATCCGAGAGTACCACGCCAGGACGAACATGTATACAAATTCTTTTTTTGTTAAAACCATTGCAAAGTGGAATAGGCTCTCTAAAGACCAGGTGTGCTCTACAAATGAAGATGTATTTTTTTCAAAACTGTAACCCCCCTGCAATAACGCCTCCGGGCAATGCGGGGTAATCTTTGAATAAAGAATAAAGAAAGAAATCCCAAGCGGTGTTGAAAGATAAGACATTTTTTTGTGATAGGGAGGAGAGGAGGGGGAGGGGGGAGGGGGGGGGGGGGGGGGGGGGGGGGGGGGGGGGCAAAGACAGGAGTGGGGAGCAGCAATTCGTAAGCACCAACATCAGGGGTTCAAATTTAAAAAATGTGAAAGAGTGACAGTAAAATGAAGAGAGAGCGCAGACGCAAGGTTTGGCATGGTCGCTTTTCAGTGATGCATCGCAGTTCTTCAACTGCCCGTCAACTTAGTCTTTGTTTACCGGTGCCTGATGCCAGTATTTTTTTCCCAAATTAAAGCTAAATGAGGCTAGGTAATTAGAAATGTTTCGCTCATTTTTTAAAATATCAGTCAGTCGCAGATTAAAAATAAAATGAGTCAGACATTCCCTGAGCAGCCATTACCTAGTCCCTCGGCTGTAATTTCCTCAGTCCACATGGCATTTCGGATGCCTTGGAACATTGGTGTCTATATTCCAGTGTGAAGTGGCATGTAATGCATGACAGCATGGAGTACCTTTTCCTCTAGATTTATTACGTAAGTGCTCGCAATCAAAAGTGGAAGTGTCACTGCATGCCTATGTAGCAACATGCCCATAAGGCCTGTTAGAGGAGAAACGACAGTAAAAATTTAGCAGACGGAAACTTGCGACACTATCAATGGAAGTATATACATAAAGAAGTTCAATTATTTTGTTGCATAATAATAATTTGATATACCACATATACAATAACACTTTAAGAATATACAAATTAATGTCAGCATACATGAGTTATGCGACATTATTTGTATTGCCTCAAAGCCTCATTGTATATATTATATATTGTTTAATGCCAAGAATGCATGCATGTTAATAAGTTTATATACATATACGATAACACTTTGAGACTACGCAAATTAATGTCAGTCTACATGAGTTATGCAAAATTCATTTGTATTGCCTCTAAGTGTCATCGTATATATTTCATAGTGTTTTGTGACATTAATTTGTATTGTCTCAAAACATATCATATATATATTAAATACCAAATTATTATCATGCATGCATTCTCAACATTAAACATAATCTAGCTCCACCTGTTGAAGTGATGAACTGCACAAATACCTTCATAAGTTGTAAAACCTTCTGTAATATATAATAGCATAATAAAGAAAAGTCTGCAATATATCTTTTTTTTTTTTTACATCTATGAAACTAAATGAAAATTTACGTATATATATTAATCCGATTAAATTCGATTGTGCAACTGGTGAAATAATATTCTTACAGGGGATAAAAACCGGTCTGTAAAAACTTCGTTTTTTTTTTTTTTTTTTTTTTTTTTTTTTTTTTTTTTTTTTTTTTTTGCAGGCAGGCGCGAACACAGGAAAAGGAAAATAAAATCGCCATTTGAGTGCTCGAAACCGGGCTCACAACGGTAATCCAGTCCCCGGCGTCTGAAGGCCTCCTCGAAAATACTTTCGCCCGGACACATAGTAACTCACCCAGTAATCTGGAAGTCGAGACAGACCGTCCCTTGGATTGACCCGGTTGCTGAGTTTCCGGCACTGGCATCTCGTCCAAGACTTCTGTCACACGCACAAACGTTGACCCGAGAAAAGCTATGAGCAACACAATTAAAAATACGCTAAAGGAATCTTACATCCCCAAGCGCAAAAACTCGTCACACTGGGCCGTCGCACGAAGCGTGCGCGCGGCAGAGCACGACATCACGGTGTAAAACTAAAACTGTCCAAACACCGTAAATAACAAAAAAAAAAAAATTTTTTTCCGTGCTTCGCAGTTACAGCTGTTGCTTCACCGTTGCAATGACACTGGCACGGAGCTACCAATTTTGCTGCGCGTGAGGTTAGAAAGCAGCCAAGTGCATCAATCACACAGCTGGGAACCCGACCTTGCTTGCTTACTTTGTCGTTGCGCCATGGTTCCAGATGATGGCACTCTCGGAAAGTTGTCACCAGTTTTTCCGAGCGCTCCGGCGGGCTCTCGGAGGGTACGTCTCCTCGTCAAGTTTAAGAAACTCTAAAATGGCCATTGGGCAACTTCCCGACACTGCTGCTGCAAGCGGGACGTCTGCCTAAACAGCCGCCTCCGACGTACAGTTGGTTGTTTTGTTGAGAAACAAAAACAATAACTTTCGTTTTCGTTTTGTTTGTGTGCGGGCGTTTTCCTAGTACGTGTTTAAGACGCATAGGGTCGCGACAAGCGCCGCGGATTTGTATAATAATAAATCACCGATAATAATAATAATAATCACCGACTGAGTTGCGGTGAGCGGACGTGTTTCCTGGTTCTCCTCGAGCATCCGAAGCTAAGTGCCAGTTTTTCTTCTTTTCTCTCTCTTTTTTTGAGAGTTGATTGGAAGTGACTATGCGGTAGCAGTATTAGGTTTGAACAGCAGCAGTTAACGTTAGTTTCGCAAAGTAGGCTCTGTTTGAATTTTTGGCGGGAAGGGACGGTTTGTTCCCGGTCTAGACATGGGTCTAGATTTGGGTCGGCATAACAAGGGTGGGGACGAGTTGGTGCAGTGCGAGGGGTGTGGGAGGTGGTGTTACCTGGAGGAGACGGGTTTCGGGAGCCTGGAGGTGGCGGCGGAGGTGAGTTTCGAGTGTCGGCTTTGTGTGAAGCTTCAGCAGGTAACTGGGGAATGGGAGGGTAGAGTTCGGGAGATCGAGGCCCAGCTTAAGGCAGAAGGAGAGAAGCGGGTGGGTCTCGAGGCCCAGGTAGAGGAGCTGACTAGGCAGCTTAATCATGAGAGGGAGCAGCGGGTCGGCCTCGAGAAGCAGGCGGAAGAGCTGGGGGAAGTATGGAAGGCGGGTTTAGAGGAGCGTAAGAGGGAGTGTGACAGTAGGGTAGAGCGCCTGGAAGGGGTAATTCGAGCGAGTGAGAGTAGCGAGGGAAGAAAGGAGGAAGTGTCAGTTCTAGCGGGACGAACCACCAGTCTGCAGGCTGGGGTCCCTGGTGGTCGGGAGTCCGGCCTGTTGGCAGGCGGGCTCGACGACGCTGGAGAGCTGATTGAACCTCAGCTCAATGGCGCCTTCGAGCAGCAGGCGTCGGGCAGTCAGGTGACAGGAGATAAGTCGCAGGACAAAGGCGCGCAGGCACCAGGGGGATCTAGGGTACTGGTAGTGGGGAGCTCTAACGTAGCACGGGTTAGGAGGGGTGTACATAACAGGGTGAAGGGAGACCAGAGGGTAACCGTAGAGGTCCAGCCAGGGAAGTGTATGGTGGATGCTATGACCGCAGCACGTGAGGGGGTGTGGGATAACCGGGAGGGAAGGAACCTAGTAATAGTTCATGCGGGGCTTAATGATGTGCTGAAGGGTAGGAGCCAGAACCTCGGAAAGCAGCTAAACGTGGGAATACGTAAGCTGAGGGACGTGTCTGAGAATGTGCATGTGGTTGTGTGCACCATTCCAGAAGTTCGGGGGCAGTCCGGGTTAACGGAGAGGAGGGTTGTCGAAGCCAACGGAGTAATTAAGGGTATGAGTCGACAGCTTCGGTACGACGTAATGGAAGTAAACAGAGAAGTGTACGAGGCTGGCTCCCGCCCTTTTGCAGATGGCATTCACTACAGTGAGGCCACGGGTTACAGGGTGGGGGATAGGATGGGCCGCACGGTGACTGCTTTTTTGGGGGGACCGAGGGCCCTGGGGGCACTGAAGTAACTGAAAACCCAACAAAGTCAGGAGAGGCACCCAGGGTTAAAAAGAGGAGAAAACGTAAGAACAGGTATAAAAAATCAGCACAATCAGACATTGGATATATTAACATGCAGGGTGGTAGAAATAGGTTAAAATGGGAAGAGGTAGAGGAGCAACTAAGAAAGGAGGATTTAATGGTGTATGGGTTTGTGGAAACACATCTCAGAGACATGGAGCAGCCACCTTGCAACCCTGACTATGTGTGGGAAGAATGCAACAGAATGGAGGGAACGAGGAAGGGAGGTGGAATTGGAGCATTCATTAAGAAGAATATGAACTTTCAAAGGATCAGAAGTGAGTGCGCCGAACATTTGTGGCTGAAAGGAAAAGTCGCTGGGGAATCAACAGTCCTTGGAGTGGTTTACTTATGGACAGGGACAGGTGCTAAAGAGGAAAACAGAAAAATGATTGATTGCATATCAAGAGACATTAGTGAACTAGGGGAAGGCTCCGAAATAATTATTATGGGAGACATGAATGCCCATATTGAGGGTCTGGATGGGTATACGGACTCAACTGGAAGCATATTACTAGAACTGGTGGAAAAACATGACTTAGTTTTATGTAATACCAGTCAGAAGTGTGACGGGCACATAACTTGGGAAACTGGCAATCTGCATTCAACTATAGATTACGTACTCATGTCACACAAAATATATGGTAAGTTACAAGTAATGAAAATAGATGAAGAAGGTTCCAAAAGTCTTGGTAGTGATCACAAACGTATTAAGCTGAATTTTGCCAGAGAAGTAAATGCTGAAACTATACAACATAATTCAAAGCAAACTTTCTGCAGCGACAAAGAGTTGGAAATAGTTGTTGAAAGAATAGAGGCCGCAGTTTCAGGGCAACGGCATACAGATTGGACCTATGAGAGCCTAACTAGGCTTTTTTCTCTAGAACTAGACAAAGTTAAGAGTAAACGAAAGGGGAAGCAAGGACATAGACCAAAAAGTTGGTGGGACAAAGAAGTGAAGCAAGCGATACAAAAACGTCAGGAAGCCTCTAGAGAACACAGGTATTCCAAGCGTAGTGGGGAGTCCGAAACGGAAGTAAAAAGAAAATGGGACAATTTTGTAACATGTCGCCGAGAGGCATCCAGTTTGATCAATGCGAAAATTCAGAGAAAGGGTGAGGAATGGATGAGTAATGTAAGTAAGAAAGATAGAAATGCTGCCAAGAAGTTTTGGGAGCACTTGAACTCACTCGGTGAAACAACGCAAGCTAGACAGAGGTTTATACTCTCGCATCAGGGAGATCAATTAGAGGGAGATGATGCGATACAATATATAGGAGCAGTGATGGAGGAGAAATTTCGGGAACGGGTACATGTGGAAGATAGGAGAACCGAAGGAAGTAGCAGTCCAGTTTGTGACATCGCGGATTTTGGACAAAGAGAATGGGAAAAGGCGGAACGAAGAGTCCCTAGTGGCACGTCGACAGGCACAGATGGTATCCCTATCAAGCTGGTGAAGAATTTGGGTCCTAAATCTAAGGCAAAACTAAGGGAGGTAGTGAGTACCATGATAACAAAAGGAAATATTCCAGATGAATGGAGGCTTAGTAGGATGAGTATGATATATAAGGGAAAGGGAGATAAGTCTGATATTAGGAATTATCGTCCTATAACCGTGACACCGGTTATTTACAGGTTGGTAATGCAGATTATAAAGAACAGACTGGAGGAATGGGTAGATTGCGAGGGCATACTGGGCGAGTTACAAAACGGGTTTCGAAAACAAAGAAGGTTGGAGGACAACTTATTTTCTCTAACACAGTGTATAGAAATAGCGCAAAAAGAAAACAGACAGCTCTGGCTGGCATTTCTGGATATCAAGGGTGCCTATGACAATGTGAACCAAAGAAACCTGTGGGACATAATGGAGAACTTAAACCTAGATGAAGGACTAACAGCACTATTAAGGAACATTTACAAAGATAACAAGGTGATTATAACATGGGAAGGAAAGGCGACAGGGAAAATAGAGATAAGACGAGGCCTTAGGCAGGGGTGCCCGTTATCGCCTTTGCTGTTTATGTTGTATCTGAGAGGATTGGAGGATAGACTAGAGAAGAGTGGGCTTGGGTTCAACCTTTCTTACAGTAAGCTAGGCCAAAAAATTCAGCAATCCTTACCGGGATTGATGTATGCGGACGATATTGTACTAATGGCTAACAACAGGACAGAGTTGCAGGAATTAATGAGCATCTGTGGTAGGGAAGGAGAGGAATTAGGTTTAGAATTCAGTAGCGAAAAATCGGCAGTCATGATTTTTAACGAGGATGAAGTTGAGAGGCTGAAGATACAGAATATTACAGTTGAGAGAGCTAGTAAATACAAGTATCTAGGAGTATGGATATGTGATGGTGCAGAATATCTCAGAGACCATGAAAAGTATATAATAGGTAAGGGCAACAGAAATGCAGCTGTAATGAAAAATAGAGCACTTTGGAATTACAACAGGTATGAGGTGGTGAGAGAGATTTGGAAAGGGGTCATGGTGCCTGGCTTGACTTTTGGAAACGCAGTGCTATGCATGAAATCCGAAGTGCATGCGAAACTAGAAATAAAACAGCGCGGAGTAGGTAGACTGGCTTTGGGGGCGCATTGCAAAACGCCAAACCAGGGAGTACAAGGAGACATGGGATGGGCATCATTTGAGAGCAGGGAAGCGGTGAGCAAGGTAGAATTTGAGGATAGGTTGAGGCTAATGGATGGGGAGCAATGGGCACGAAAGGTTTTCAGCTATTTATACATGAGGAGTGTAGACACAAAGTGGAGACAGCGCACTAGGAAATTAAGAGGAAGGTTTTTGGGTTTTAGCGAAGATACGGAAGAGCAAGTCTCAGTTAAGAAGAAAGTTAAGGCCACAGAAAGAGATCGGTGGCTAGAGGGAATGCAGACAAAGACTGCTCTGGAAAGCTATAGATTAAACAAAAGAGTTATTGCCAAAGAAAGCATTTATGACAATTCTAGGGGAAGCTCATTGCTGTTTGAGGCAAGAACGGGTGTTCTGCGAACCAGAACATACAGAGTGAAGTACCAGGAAATTGATACAGTGTGCACTGCTTGTGGAGAGGAGGACGAGACGGCTGAGCACTTGATTCTCTACTGTAAAGGGCTTCACCCTATGCCTACCGAAGACAACATAGATTTAATAAAGTCATTGGGTTTTAGAGACAGCGAAGGGAGAGTGGATTTCAAGACTGTAGAGATTACCAAGCAAAGATTAAGTGAATGGTGGCAGAAATCGAGAGAAAACTAGGTATTTTCTTAATCACTGATGGCAAGGGGGTTTCATAGCCTCACTTTCTTTGCACTGCGGAGTGAATATAGATTTCACATTTAAATATTCTAAGCTTAAATGGTAAAACAAAATGGCTAGGTGGCGTAAGCTACCGCCCGATCCAAAGGGCTCAGCCGTATTCATCCATCCATCCATTTGCGGGCTTTGCGGGTTGTCCTAATTTTTGACGTTTTCTAATACATGAACCACCGTTGTACGTAAACGGCAGAAAAAAATTTAATGCATAATGTGTGAAATATTTTCTAGTGTATTTTAATAGTCGCTAGTGATAGCAAGTCGCAAGAATATTAAAGTGTTATAATGGGAATACGCAAATGACCAATGTTTTTATTAGAGCTTACCTATGGAACTTACCACGTGTTTTAGATTTCTTTATAATATTTTAGAAGTTAAATGCATACATAAAAGAAAAAAAAAAAGGGACGCGGGAGAAAAATGGCGGCCTTTTAGAAAGTTGTCACTGCCATACAGGTATCCTTCATCAGCTGATGATTTCATTCGTTCCATTTTCCCACACGATCGTAATGTTGCTTGGTTCTTTTTCCGCGTCTCATGATTGGAGCATCCTTAATCGGAATTTCCGCGGTAAGCCATTATCACTGTGAAATGCGTCCACAACTCTGAAAAAATACTGTACGGTGAAACTGACGCGGCGCTGAACCATCGAAAACGATTATCAGCGCGAGAACGACGAGACTACGGTCACTCGCATCAGTCGCTGATAAACTCGGGCGAACGTGACTTTCAATGCCCCGCATCGCGAGCCGACATGACAGCATCGAGCCAGGCAGAAAGGGCATGCCTCGAGTACGTAGTCGTCGCGACCGGCATCCTCCTGACCGGTCTCTTCTACGTAACCGCCAGCCAGCTCGTCACTGTAACGGCGCTTCTCGCGATGTTGTTCCTATTACAGCGCTATCAAAAGACTGATCCGCCGAACCCAGACCAGCGACCTCATGCCGACGACGGACTGTGGCTCACTCTGCTCCTTCCTTTCTCTCTTCTAACTGGAGGCAACTCCTACTTCCACGGCGCTCTCTACACCCTCGCCGAAGTGGTGTCCAGCCAGACGCTCCTCCTCTCCTTCGCGTTCGTCTTCAAGTTCCCCAGCCGTACCATCAATGCCATGTCTGTGCTATGGACGACAACGCTCCTCTTCACCCTTACCAACATCGGTGTTCTGTGGAGTGCGGGAACGTCGGTGTCGTCTGTTTTCGTCTTCCAGCACCTGACCTCATCTCTCTGGAGATACTCGCCAAGGTCCTTCACCCTGGGCGAACTCATCCTGGTGTGCCAGGCGACCACAACATTCCTAGCAACCGCAGGCTCCAGCATCGCTTGTAGATTAGTTTACGGCGAGGACTGCATGCTGAACTGTTCCTCGTCTGCAGGGTTCCTGCAGGCCGGCCTGTTCAGCCTGGCCGTCTTGGTGGCAGCAGTGACCAACGTTGCGGCCTTGAGAAGGCCGTCGGGCTTCTACGCCGCTGTCTGCCTTTCGGCTGTGTCCTTGGTGTATCCGCTGTGCTGGGTGATGGTGGGTGCCGAACCAGTGGGCTGGCTCTTTTCACACATCTTCAACACCACCGTCCGGGCTGCCCTCATGGTGTCCTGGATGGTACTGACAGTTGCAGCCGTTCTCTTTGTGTCCTGGTATACGAGGACGTACGCAGACAGTTCAACCATCGTCCGAAAGGTCTTCCACGGGGTTGTCATCCTGGTCTTCATACCAGGGGTAACCCTTGACCCCGACTTAATGTACCTTGCATGCGGGTCGGTGATGGGTGTCCTTGTTCTCCTGGAACTTGTGAGGGCCCTGCGGATGCCACCGTTTGGAGAAGACATTCACCAGGCATTCCAGATGTTTTTGGATGAAAAGGATGCTGGAGCCTTTGTACTCACTCCAGTTTACCTGTTTGTGGGATGTGCCACACCATTGCTGCTGTTTCCAGATCGCTTTGGGTCTTCAGAAAAGACCCTAGTGCTATTAAGCGGCACTGTCAGCCTTGGCATAGGAGACACGGTGGCCTCCGTGGTAGGATCAAAACTTGGAAGACATCGCTGGCCGGGAACTAAAAAGACATTAGAGGGAACCTTAGCATCAATCCTGGCCCAGTTTGTGTTTTACTTTCCCCTCCTGCATATACTGACACCAAAAGTGTGGGGACTGAGTACAGGATTTTTAGTCTTGGTATTATGCCTCAATGCCTACCTCGAAGCACTTACAGTGCAAGTGGACAATCTTGCAATTCCTGTGTTTATGTATCCCATGATGATTTCTCTGTATGCAAGTTAGTGTTTTCCACATTTCCCACGTCTAAATGGACCAGCAGTTCCCACAACAGTTCCGATTTGTTGGCAGTTGGGAGCAATCTGCAAAAGTTGTGTCAAGGAGCAAGCCAAGACAGACAACCGAATGACTCGGGCTATAGTGACATCCGAAGTTTATTTACACAATATCACATTTTGTGTGTGCCATTTGTGAGAAGAATTATTTCAAAAATAAAATATGTTTCAACCATTTTGCAGAGACTATGCTCTTGACCATTATGATCACCAGCAAGTTAGAGATGATGGGGCGCACAGCATGTCACAAGACAGCCGTTGTAAGGATGCATTCATTTCATTCTGCAAAAGCATCCGTGGGGGCATGAACCACTATTCTTAGTTCCATACATGGCACACGATGTCGCCAAAGCTACTTGCACGATTCTGCGGCACCTAGCATGGCATCTCGATTACGCGCTACTGGCAAATTCAACATAGACGTAGCGTCACACTCGCAACAGTAGGCTCGACAACGTCATTTGCCGTGCATAAAACAGAGTATAAAAGTTCATGCACAAATGAAGCACCATGCTTGAGCAGAGCACGGGGAAACTGAAGGACACCCCCCCAACAGGCAGGAACTGGAAAAAAAAAATAGCAACACCCCCCTCACCCCCTTTTTGCTCATTACACCTAATTTACCTAACAAATCCAGCAAAAGAATAAATAAAGTCACACAAAGCCATCAAAGAGGTCAGCCAGCACATTATCAAACTGACTCAAGTCCTCCGAACCAGCCAACTGAGCCACCCGCTGATCAATGTCGTCGGCTTGTACAGAGTCTTCCGCAGATCGTGCCCACTTCCTACGACACGGCTTCTTGTCTTCCCTGTAGCACGGTTTCTTTGCGAGGACAGGGTGGTAGCCGGGAAACCCGCTGCCACTGGTCCTCGTCGACCTGACCTGGTTCTTGACAAGGCGGATGAGCATGCTACTTGACATGGACGTTGCAGAATCTCCATCGAGGCCGGCGCCCTGCTTCCGTTCTGAACCACTGCTCGCACTGTCATAAAAACCGGACGATGTGCTGGCACTACTCGGCTTCGAGCTCTGCGACCCGCTCTCGCTCGCCAGGGGGCTACAGACCGGTTTGAGGTCAGCGACAGTGGGCGTGGACTTGGCATCTTTCTTGCTGTTTGGCCTTTTACGTGTCTTTGTGCCCCCCGAAGTGGGGGCCCTGCGCTGTTTCTTTGGCTCCGAGCCTTGCTTCCGTCCTTGACGATTAGAAGAGGTCTTCCTTGGGGTTGGTGCATTGGCTGGTAAGGCAGGCTGTCCGTTTGCATCTGCGGGCTGGAGACCGGGAGGCACATGGGAATGAACATCCAATGACGCTGGCGAATTGAGTACTGTGTTGATCAGGGCTAGTTTGCTTAGAAGGTAATTGTTGTCGCTCTTCAAAGGGCAGGCGGCGGTCCTTTTCCGCTTAGGCACCGGCTTAACTTTCTGCCCTTGCCCGTTTGCAGCCTGCGCCACATTTGCTGTCGAGTTCTGCATGGACCTGCGTGTTCTTTTTGGAGAGTTAGATGAGGCAACGGGTCTCCCTTGCTGAACCTGCTGCAGCACTGAGTTACCATCTACCGAAGTGAAAGCAGTCATATATGGCTGGTCTTGCCTGCTGGTGATCCCGTGAGTCGCCTTCAACCCAACGCCGTCTTCCGCAGGTCTGCTGTTCAGCATGTCAAGCACCTCGGCAGACGTCGTTCCCACCGGGACGGCCGTGAACTGCTGCGACACCGCAGTCAGGTGTTGCGTTGGGTTTGCAACACCAGCCTTGCCCGCATTGCTGTTCCCCGGCACCAAAACTATTCTCGATCCATTTCTCTCCCCGGCAGTGCCATTAATGAGTCGATGACCATTCACTGTCGGCACCGCCTGGACAGAGATGCTATTTAACCTCTGATCATGTCCTAGCTCAGTCAGTTCCTTAGCACCATTGGTATTCGTCTGTCCTATCAGCAGCAAAGAATGTTCTTTTGACGGCGAAACAACAGCAGGCTGGTTCACGTTCAATGACAAAGTCAAAACAGCAGGGGACAATTTGGCACTCTGTGGGGCTTTGCATTCCAGACTGCAGATGCTCTCAGCAACTCGAAGTGAAGAGCAGACTGCAGTTTCATCTGCACGGAATACCTCAAACTCGGGACCATAACGCACGTTTGGATCATTTTTCGATGAAAGATTGGTAAGGCCGGCACTGTTTGCCCCCAATCCTTCAGCCTGGCTCGCCTCATCAGCTCTTGCATCATCAGCGGCCAACGTCCCCAAGGCTTCGTTAGACGTGGAAGTGTGATTTGACAAGATGGGCACTTCTTGAGGCTTTGTGGGTTCGTTACATGACTCCTGGAGGGCCCTTCCATCAACACTGCCTTGCTCCTCTGTGACCACCACTTCCTCAATAAAGTCCTGCATAAAGATGAACGGCGAAGTTTCCCTTTTCACGCTGCACCGTTCAGCCTCGCCCTCCTCCGGAGTTGCATCGGCCACAACTGGACTAGCCGAGGAGGGGTCAGGACAGTGCTGTAGAACCACGGAATCGTAGGGACCTTCAGACCTCAACTTGACAGAACTCGCCAAAACCTGAGGCTCCTCGTCTGGCTTGACGCAGCAGCCTAGAGAGGCTGCATCGCATATAGGTAGTGTTGCTCGTGAACTCTTGTCCTCTTCAGGTACAACAGCACCAGGTTCACCACTCACTTGTAAACTCAATAATTCAGTCACTTTGGAAGTTCTCCCATCGCACGCAACAGCAGCACAATCGGGAAGCATTACAGGTTTCAGCGTATCGCCAGCGATGCACAGTGACGATTCATTTGGTTTGCTTCCTGGAGGTTCCGTGGAAATGTCCAACGAACTGAGGAAGCCTTCGACAACCTCCACCTCGCTGACTTTGGCTTCTTTCGGCGATGAAATGGTGGCTGACAGACATGCTTGTGATCCTGTGGTCTTTGGTGGCACCTCATTTTTTTCGCCCAGCTCCGAGAGATCCCTGCGAAGGATGAGCTTTTCTATGCTCCCGGCCATCAGCAGGTCCCGGCACTGCAGAGATGACGGAACAGTATTTAGAACATAGAACTTGGAGTGCAACAAGCTACACTTCAAATCTGCTTGAGAGGTCAACAACTTTTCACTGCTCATGGGCAGCCTTTGCCATGCAAACAACAGGACAAGGTTCTGCTAGTTTGCAATAAACACAAGACACCTTTAGGCATCAAGTAAATGTAATGACCCATTACATTTAGATTACTGGTTTAACACTTTGAGTAACAGATTGCCAATGGTTACTGAAAGAGGTGCGCTGATCTCTCACTTGGGTTTGTCAAGGAAAGCTGTACATCACACAACAGGGATGCTGTTTGGCTTGCAACGGCATACTCAAGAGCTAGCACCTCCTATGCGTGGCTTACACGACGTCTCCAGGCCGAGACGCAAGGATGTTACAGAAAGGTAAAGAATGCAACTTTTCTCACCTCTGGTCGCTTGCAGACTTGCATGGCTTCCGTGAAACTGATCTGGAACAAGCATACTGGGCTTCGTATGCCTTCTGCTGCGCAGTACTCGCACCACTTCACAAACGACATCTGAAAATTAAACAAAGTACAAACTCCTTCAACACAAACGTCTGGCATAAGATTCGGTTTTGTTCGGTCTAGTTGTCGGATTCGAACGCTGACAGAAGCAGGCGCCTACAACTGCGAAGAACAGCTAGGAAGCCAACTTAAGAAATACTTCTTCCCGAGTGTGATTGGAGAAAGTTTGGCGCCTACAGCATTGAGTGAAGTGTCAAAGCAATGTCGTAGGGCTTCGAACGTTAAAACGCCCGTAAACATTACAGCGCGCATCGTGGCTGATCGGCAGCCCATGTCCAGCAGAATGAGACGATTTTATTGCTAACACTCGTAGCTTCGTTCTCTATAAAAACTGGGACACTGTTAACCTTATCAGAATCTCTAACTGGGCGAACGCTGTAGAACATTATTTTCTTGATAACAAGGAACACGTGCAGAACGCCGGTAGAACGTCCTGACGTCTCGTTCAAACAAACTGAGACAAACTTACAATGATTGCAAAGCTCGACCGACATCGGTGTGGCCTTGCGTGAAACTCTCTGTATAACTTGAGTCGAATCCACAGAAGACTACGCGACTGGGTGTTCGAGAGAACGCCGTTCGAACGGAATTAAAGAACCACGCGCCATGCTCAGATTCGTACTCCGAACGTCGCTCATTCGTAGCTTTCGCACATCTTACGTATTTTGCACGACCGCTGCGCGCGCTGGGAGCACAGCCAAAAGACGGGTAGATAAAACTTACAACTGTATGTCTAGAATTAGGTAGTATTACGCGCCATCTATTAAATTTTTCTGAAACATAATTTTTGTAAGTTTATTTTATTTGTCTTTGGCAAATTAGTGTTTATGATTCACTTTGGGTTTACGTAACGTAGAATAAGTGTGATTTTTACCTACGCGCGGTAGACCGCTTTCTAGGCCACTTTCGGCCGCCACGACAGGGAGCCAAGAACACACCACCGCAGTTTCTTAATAATAATAATAATAATAATAATAATCTTTATTTGCACAGACAGGTGTTTTCCTGGGGGCGTGCGAGGCGAAGCAGAAAGGCGGAAGCCCGTACGCTGGTGCGTCTGTTGGCCCAACCAATAGCCCAACCCCCAGGAAACGAAAACAAAGTTCAACATAACAAACAAAAAAACACAATACTAAAAAAAAAAAAGGAATAATAATAATAATAACAATAATAAAAGGGGGGGGGGGGGGGGAGTTACGCAATCGGTCGCATTTACGAGGCCCTAGCACGGCCCGAGTGTCCTCAGAGGGCGTCCAAACCGAAATCGCGAAGCGCGCGCGACTCCCATCGCCGCGACGGGGGGCCCCAGTGATGCCAACCCTAGGGATTTACCCCTAGATCTAGGGGTTTTCGCTCTCACCTAGGGATTTGAAGACTTTTTGCGAAATCTAGGGATTTCTCGAAGTTTTTTTTTTTTTTTTTATACGTGTGCATTTTGTTTTATTTAATATAATTCGGCGAACAGCAAACCACCCTTTTGACCCTTCGAACCAACCAGAGTGACGAAGCGGCACAGAGAGAGAGAAGCGTTGTGAGAGAGGTTGGGGGAAAGTACCACACTCCGTGCGGGAACTATAGGGGGCGCTTTGAAAAACGCGCGTAGCGCCGCTAGCGGAGGAGCTGGCGTTCGACAGCGAGGCGCGCTCAGCAGCCTGCGGCGCCTTTTCGCGTGCAAAGCTGTGGCGGCGGAAGCGCGCACGAGCGCAACTTTTGCTTTTTAAGCCGATAAGTTGAGGATGACGTTGCATGAGTGCTGGGGCAGATTTAAGAAGGGCATTTAGCTGTTCTCCGCTTCTTATATATTAAGTTTGAATCGTCAATAGGGATAATTTCTCTAGTTGCGGTCGAAAAAGGGGTTTGGGCAATTTTCCGAAAAGCAAGATGGCCGCCACCATAATTGCTCTCAGTGGGAAATTTGTTTCGCTCGTCGCTGTAAAGTTGGTGGGTCGATGATATTTGGAGGCGAGTGAGATGTTCACTAAATTCGTGCACTAAGTGGGCCAAGTTTTATTAAGACAGCAAGTGTGAAAGTTATGGTTCGAACGAATAAAGGCATAAAGCTGTCAGGAATATCCCATAATGGACCCAAAATGTTGTGTTATAACCGGGCTGTGCGAAGTGCAGATTTAGACACGCAGGTTCTTGGACATGACCGTAACTTGACACAAAAGTTATAGCAAAAATAGGTGGCATAGGGAAACCAGGTGGAAATTTAGTTTGGGCGGCGTAACTGAATAGGGAACGGTTTTGACTGTGAAAAGGCTGTCAAGAGAATACTACTTGTCGTGGGAGATGGAGACTTTACAGGTAGGAAGGGACTAATGCACTGTACTTCCACTTGAAACAACTTTACGGAAGGTGGCTTCCAAACCGAGAAAACCAAGTTGCCGGCCAACACACGGTTTGGCCATCAAAGGCTTTTGCGGTGAGCTGTTATGTAGTAATCTGGTTGTGCGAGGTGCTGATTTTCGGCACACAGGTACTTGGACAACCATAACTTTACAAAACACTTATTATACCTAAAAGAGATGGCATAGTTTAACCAGGTGGAAATATTTTTGGCCGGCGTAACTAAATGGGAACCGTTTTTGACTGTCAAATGCTGCCAAGAGAATACCACTCATCATGGCCGCAAGGTGCACACTTTACAGGTAGGAAGGGACCAGTGAACGGTACTTCCAGTTCGAACAACTTTGCGATAGGTGGCTCTAAAGCCGAGAAAAAAAAATTGTTGTCTTCAAGACTCGGGGTGTCAGCGTTTCCACATCCAAAAGGAGGCTGATCAAAAAAGAAAGCACACCACATAAACTTTCATTGTCAAACATCGATTGTCCAGAGATTCCAAGTTTCATTGTAGTTTTCTTTAGATTCATATTTGTCACTTTTTGTACCGTTCGATTCTTTCTTCATGAAGTACGGACTGTGTGCCATACTGGTCCGGAAATATCATCGACACGTACGATGGGGACGAAACTTCTTTCGATGGCATTCCTTCAACGAAATTCGCACCTCATACCCACGAGTGTGGAATGGCATTTCAGTTCGAGCTGAGATATGTTGGCGTTACTGGTACGAAGACAAACGCAGAGCGCAAAGCGGCAGTGTAGAATATGTCAGCAGTGCCGACATAGTGGCAGACATGATCGGGAGACCAAATTTCTCGCGTCGTACGGCATGGGTCCATCGCGGTCGCTGTCCCACAAAACGTCGTCGAGGTGAAAAACTGTGAAACTTCGTCCCCATGAGATACGACGCATTACTATTGAAGCACTTAACGACACAGCAGTTCATGCTGTCAACCCAGCGCAACCGCAACGCTCCGACTTCAATGCGTACCAACGCACGCGGCGCGGTTTCGTTTCGGTGGGGCTCTCACTGCCTACCTTCGGTAACGGCCGCGCGGCGGCGCGCCGGTCGCGTCGCACGGAGTGTTGTTGATTGGGCGCTTTTTTCACTGGCTCTCGGGGGGTTGGGGTTTGGGGGAGAAAAGTTGGGGGTGAGAGGGGGGGGGGGAAGTGGCACAGGCCCTCTCTTCCCCCCCCCCCCCCCCCCCTTCTACCTTACAACGCTTACACACACACAGCGCAGGAGCAGGCTAGTGTTGAGAGACTCGGTCATCTGATCCCCGGATGTAGGTTCGGAAACGAATTTCAAGTGACCGCATTTTTTTTAATGTAAATTTTACATTATTTGGAGTTACTGCCGGTTTATCCCGACTCCCTTCTTATCGTTTTACGAACTCGGTGACGTACGCGCCTCGTTTCCGGCAGGGATGGGCAGTGCGTGGTCTCGCTCAATGCGACGCGAGCAGTTTCCTTTGTATTTATTTTGGCGATCCTTTTGCTGGACGTAAGAAACGTTTCCACTTTTCGAAGCAATCCCGGACGCGAAGACAGTAAGCGGGCCTAGCTTTTGTGACGGTACTATGTAGCGTCGTGGTGAAAGGTTATATATATATATATATATATATACATATATATATATATATATAGTAGCAGGCAGCTTTACGCGCGCATAGCTTGTGACATTATGATTGTGTTATTTTAAGCTTCCCGTCGAAAGTTAGGGATTTTTCGTCCAATCTGGGGTTTTTTTCGGCATCAACCTAGGGATAAGTCGACATCAGGGGTTGGCAACACTGGGGGGCCCTGCCAGGAGGGAGGGGAGGGAGAGACCGAGAAAGGCCCAACACCTTGGGAGGGCGAGCCAGGTCCCGATTAGAGCACTATATAGCTCCTTCGGAGCAGAGTAGCGTAGAGTTCCTGTATAGCTACCTACGGTAGCAGAGTTGCGCATTCAGCCTCGGCGCGTGGCCGTAGCGCCGGTTTTCCCACACGAGTAGGATGCTTTGCTTCTCACGTGACTAAATTTGGCGAATAGCGGCGCCGCGCGCGCCGCCGCGCATGGAAAACAGGAGAGGAGGAAAAGGAGGCGGAAAGAAGGGAAACATACGGCCGGGGCAAGAGAAACGTCGGCGGAGCGACCGTAAAGGTGTCTTTCTTGCACGCTACCGGATGCTTTGCTCCTCACGTGATGGATCTCGGCGAATAGCGGCGTGGCGGCGCGGGGAAAACAAATGCGCAACTCTCTAGAGTAGCGCAATCTAGAACGCCGCCTCTCGGCGACTAGCGGCGAACGCCCGGAGGTTCCAACTGCGGTCAGAAATGCATGGAGAACGTGAGAAAATCGTTGTTTCTTCAGTGTTGTGGGGATGTGCGGAATGGAAATCATTTTTGACATAATGATGAAACATTTTAGAATAATATGCGATAAGTTTTGTGCCCCGCAAGGACCTGACTTTTAAAAAAAAATTGCTTGAGCGGCATCATGCAGCAGACGACACGGCGACGTCACACCATTCACGTGACCCGCTCCGGCCAACCCGAAAAGCCCATCTCCGCTGCGAGCAAAAATCGTCTGCTTCAAACGCCATGGGCTTGGAAATTGCCTTCTCAACATTTGCACACGCATCCGATATTATTAAAACTTTGATAAAGTGTTTAGCGCTTTACTAACTTCACGACAGGCTAGTTTTGAAAATTGTGAACTCGCCGTTAGTTTTTTAATCAGCCGTGTTGTGTCGATCTCCATGTATTCTCCCATAGGACGGGCCGCCTCCTGGAACCCTGAGTACCACGTGACTCGCGCCGAGCCGCTCTGTCGGCCATGTTGTCGGCAAAACACGGGGTTCAAAGGATTGCGCTACTCTGCTCCGTAGGAGCTATATAGTGCTCTAGTCCCGATCCCAATCACCTCCCCTCCCCCCCCGCGACAGGACCCCCCATCACGGCAACAGTCGAGGGCAACGCGCGTCCCGCAATCCCGGCCCGAACGCAACTTCCCCACACAATCAATTCCGCGCCCGCGAAAAGGCTCGGCACAGAAGCGCGGATCCCGCCCGGTCTTCTGGGATGGGGAAGCGCACATCCAGGGGCGCCGAGAGGAAGGCCTCGATAGCAGCTGGAAGAAACGTGCGGCTATGGCGAACTGTGCGAGCCCGTAGTCTTGTGTTACGTTTTCCGCTTTTACTGGCTTCTTGAAATGCTGCGATGCTTTGCCTGGGAAAATATTCTATGGCAGGTTTTCGCGAAATAAAGGATGCAGCGAGCCGCGGCCGTCGAGCGCCAACAGTCTCTGTCACGCGGGCGTCAATTTCACGCTCAACAATAGGATCGCTTAATTGTGAAATCAAATATGCACACATCCGACTCTTCGAGACAGCGAATATACTTAATCGAACGAACCACCCCCACCTGAGTTCTTATGCAAATAAAGATTAAAAATAAAGAAATAAATAATAAAAAAACTAAGTTTTATTGTCTTTTTTTTCCTTCAGAATTCTGACAAACTCAAGAAAAACCAACGAGGTAGAGGTTGAGAAAAACCCAGGGACAAACTAAATATAAAAAGAAAAAAATGAAAGACGCTCACAATTCTCTGTAATGCCGAATTTAGAGCGCAGCTATTGAGGAGGAGGAGGAGGGGAGAATATATGCCCCTCCTCCTTTCCTGCTCCCCTCCCATTTAGCGAGAAATTTTTCTGCTAGATTTACCGCGGAAATTGAATTGGTGTTGAGGCCACGTGACGTCAATTTCCCCGCCAAATTTAGCGCGAAAATTTTTCCGCTAAATTTCACGTGACATCACACGTGATGTCACGTGCGGCGCCACAAGGGTGAAATTTTTCCGCAAAATTCTTTTTTGCGTAGTCGCATGGGCATCAAACCCTATGCATCTTGCTCCAAATTGTTAACTTGGTTTTCGTTGGCCTGTCACGATCATAACACCTATTGTTTAGTGTAAAGAAATGGGATATATATATGAAAAATAAAAACTCGGTACGACCAAAGTTCCAAACTACAAAGATGTTTATTTACACATACACATATGGACGAAAGTAATGTCATCGGCTAAGATTCAGTTTTGAAGGTGCTGCGGTACAGTTTGGGAGACTGATAATGGGGTGCAAGCTACTCTCTAAATGGGTGAGATGAATCGCTAAGCAGTTTGTTGGTTTCCTTTCCGCTTCTCCAATAAGCTGGAGCAACAAGGGCAGTAGTAATAATATGAGTGAGTTACATTCACCCTACACACTAAGTCATTCACTTTGAAATTCAATGTGTTCCGCCGCCAATGTGTGCGATAAATATATACACTGTACACAGGATATCTTCCACTAATGCTCCCAATGCTCTGGGAGCTAGTCATCATGATTTCAGCCCTCCAAAATTGACAAAGCGAGAACCATGCGTCCGAAGATTAAAAGGTAAGAGAAAAAACCTACACATTTGTTTTTTGGCCGCTCTAAGTAGACCATTCAGTGTTGCACGTTAAGAATAGCAGAACAAGCACCTCCCGCAAAGTTTTCTGCTTGCCATGATTGCCCTTATTTCCTCCCCTCTAGCATTCGCTCCGCTAGAGTGAAATGAGTGAAGGGCTTTGTGGGAGCAGTTTGTCTTGCTTTGCTTAACCTACAAGAGACTATAGCTGCTCAGTATCCAGAGCACTGCTTCAGTTTCATGACTGCAAATGAAACCGGGCTTGTCAATTGGACATGTGCAGTCATGTGATCAAAACAGCCTGCCATAAAGGGGGAAGGTGACTTGTGAGCCTTCATGGCCACCGTTTTGGCAGCAAAGGGTATATGCATCGATGGATTTACAACTGGGAGGTTGGGTATGTCTCTGCACTCTCAACATACAAAGTGACCCTAGGTCACTCGACATGTAAAGAGGTTTGAATTTGTGCTACTGAAATCCTACAAACAAATTTAAATTAACTACCTAAATTATGGAGACCCGAGAAATTCATGCCATCATTCACAGATGGCACCACTATACTTTTCATGTTCCTACAGCTCTCGGGTATGACAACGTAAAAAAGCAAGAACACTGGCTGTGTCGTCTATGGGTGGCATCGAAGACCACAATGCATCGAGGTGAGAATCTCGAAGCAAAGATTGTTACTCACAGCAAACTTGTTTGTTCAGTTTATGTACCTCCAGTGAACTAACCACACAAACAAACCTTTGCATGGTGCAAGACTTCCATCAAAGGCCAACTTTTGTTACTGAATTTATGCTCATTCAGGAAACTTTATGAAACATGCTGTCTCCGTCACTTCCAATTGTGTTAGAAAAAGAAGCATGTTTTCTATCGCAGAACATATCTGCGATCCAATATCATGCTAACAAAAAAACCCAAGCCTGCTCGGCAAGCAGCGGGCATTTGTCAACGCAGCGTGGCCTGCCTATGCCCAATCACTCGTCCTGACACAGAGGCAAAAGTTTGGCATCCAAGCTCACATACTAATTTACAAGTGTCAAAGGCTCACCTGAGACTTCCCCCCAAGAAAAAACATCCGTTAACTTCCAAAGCTTTTTTCAAAAGTCCAATCGAAGCCGACCCTGGACGACTTCAGCCACTTACAAAGCCGTCTCAAACAGCCTAGAATTTGTGCATAGCTGGCTCCTGTAGCCCTCGTGCCCGAGCAGCCAGTGGTTAGTTAAAGGTGGCTTCGTATATAAAGAGAGGCGACAAAGCCAATTGAAGCCAAACTCCCCTTCGGCGCACGAGCCACAGCAGCTTAAATCGCAAAACACCACGACTCAATCCAGAAGGCCGGTGAAGCCACGAACCAATTGTGTTCCTGCCACGCATAAGTGTCTAAGGTACACTTCGCAAACGATGCCACAGTCGTACACATAAGCGTCAATCCAAAGTCGATTCGACGTAACGCCGCTGATACGACATTCACACCTTCATAAAGAAGGAAGTCACGGCGCTGCCACAACATTCGAACCTTCGCAAAGAGCACCATGGCCAAGTCTGAAGCCATGAAGAGTCTTTGCCCGTTTGCTGTTCGCCAACATCGCGCGCTAACGTCACCGAGGCTGCAACTGTCCGCCCGGCCCGCTCCGACGTGCCAGCCGATTTGAAGGGTCAATCCGCAAGCCCCGTCGCCACCATACGCCGTCACGGCCCGCGGGCGCCGATCGCCCGAGCCTCCTCACTGCACGGCGAGCTGTTGCACCACCTGTGCCTGCCTCGCGGCCGGCCGGTCGTGTCGTATCACCACGTGCCGGCGCAGGGCGTAGCCGTAGCACGTCCGGTAGTCGCAGTGTGGGCAGCACAGGTTGCGGTCCCCGTGCGACTTGAAGTGCTCCTTCAGGTGGTGCTTCATGCCGAACTCCTTGGAGCAGACGGTGCAGCGGAAGCGTTCGAGCGACTGGCGCGACGACCGGCGCCGTCCCGTGCCGGCGTTGGCACCGCCGCCCTGGTGGTGGTGCTGGGAGGACTGCATCTGCTGCTGGCAGAGGTTGCACTCCGAGCGTTGCCGCTGGGCCTCCAGGCACTCGGGGCAGTCGGGGACGGAGGGAACGAGATCCATGCTGTTGCCCAGGTGGGCCCCGCTGCCGGAGTGGGCGGGGCGGCCGCCCTCAGGGCTCGCTGTTGGGAGAGAGGGAAATTGTTTCGTTTTTTTTACCTCAAAAGCATCTGGCAACGCATTATACGCAGGTGTAAGCGAGAAATGCCAACGACCTCGCTGTTGGGCCGTCTCGCCCGTTCGACGGGCCACGTTACGAATCTTACTCAGAGTGGCATTGTCGTGGGTTAACAACGTGCAACGGAGCGAGTAGGTTCGAGAATGTGCGCAACGGGCGAGATTAGGAAGAAATGGAACCTCGCCATGTTGGCACATTAATGCCACATTCGTCCAGGCACACGACACGGCACCGCACTGCATTGGCCAATGGTTCGCGTTCACCTGGTCATGACAGTGCGGCTGCACTACGTTTGCTTGATTTCTTCTGGCGCACGTTGCATGAGCTATAATGTCGAAAAAGACGGAGCAGCTCTTTGCTCCGGTACCCCCCTTTTCCGCGCTGCCTCGCCTCTTCGTCTTACCAAGCACCCCAACCATATCTCTCTTTTCTCCCAATAAACATGTTGACCGCGGCGGTTCTCACTTCGTTCCCTCGAGCTTTCTGCTTGGGCTACGACTCCAGCAGCGACGACGAAAGCGAAAGCGCGTACGCCTACATGGTCGAGAGGTTGTTCCCACCACCGACAAAAAAGACCAAAGATCGTCAGATGCGTTGAGGACGTCGTACGCAAATACCCGGACGAAAAGATATGTGCAGTATGTGTACACCATACCGCGTACTACGACGCCTGGTGTTTGCAGTAGTCAATGTTTACCATGCTTGAACAATTCTAACGCTAACATTTTTTCGCCAAAATCGGTGCCCAAAAAACATGCGCGTTACAATCAAAATCAAAAACAAACTAAAAAAAAAAAAAAAAGCAACGCTCGGTATAACGTGGCTAGCCCCATCGCCATCATGACTTTATATACTTTTTACCATTTTGGTATCCGTATCATGGCATTCTTTCACATTTACGAACTCGTGTATGCTGTTGTTATATGGAAAAACAAAAAAAGTTCTACTAGGAGGCTTTATTTGAACGAAAAGCCATCATCACGCTTGCAGGAAAAGATAACTGACCAGCACTGCATGGCCTCGTAATCCCAGCGACCCGACGAGCTTGCAAAGTGGTTTGGAAGACGACCCTCTCAGAGGCAATAGTTGTGCACTCGTAGAAGCGCAAGAAGTGCGGCCCCTAGAACGCTATACACTAAAGCAAGGATAACCTCTGTGGCCAGCGAAGAACCACCGTCGGACAACGGCGACTAGTGCACGGTATTTTTTGTTGAATTGGCATGCATTTCATAAAATCTGTTCTATGAGGTATGTGCTCAACTTTCGTTGTTTTACCTGCATGGTAGAATCGGCAGCAATTTACTTTTTGATTTTCTAGGAGCTAAATCTACCCATGCATTAGAATTGAGGGCACTTTAGAATCGTGCAAACACAGTACAAACACTTTTTTATGCTTCCTGCAGTTCCGGAGGAATTTCCGTCTGCCCAGGTCAGTACGCTACGACCTTATACCAGGTTTTCAAGAACTGCTCGTTCTACCCAGACATACTTTCCACAGGAGGAGTGCTGCAGAAGACGGCCGAGGAAATCGATCGGCCATCTTACCGTTTTGATCATCATGCAACGTCGCATGCAGAACTTGCTGGGGCGACGCTGAGGATGTTGTGCTGATTCGCAGAAGCTCGGATATACAACCGGGAAATTGGGAACCGACTAGCTTTTGTTTTGGGATGTCCGTGAGTGAGACATATCTCCATTGCGCATTTCATAGGTATCACTCTAATGTTCTAGACCATATACGCAAATAAACGTTTTATCAATGTATACTGCTATTTTATCCAGGTGGCTAAATTTTAAAAGTAACAAATATATATTAGGTAGCCATTTGAAATACCACATGTAAGTCGCATTAATGCGCTAGATGACGCGAGCCACCACCAATGCATAGTAGTTTCTTTTCGAAGCATCCAGTCGTTTATGTTCTGCCCTTAAAGGGGGGTGCAACAATTTCAAGACTAAAAAAATTAGCATCTCGTCATTTTTACGTTGTTTATCGTGTCTTGGAAAATAGAGAAAACATCTTCACAAAAAATGTTGCGATTCTGCTGCATAATCACAAAGAAAAAGTCAAGCTTTTTTTCCCCCACCTGCAGCAGCGAGTGGCAGCCGAAGGAACTACGGAGAGAAGCTTACGTGACCTTGCTCGACTCTAAGCTGCAGCATAACGCCCCCTAACGTCAGCAGAGAGAGGGAGAGGAAGCGTCCTCCGAGAGAGCACACAAGAAGCTACACGGCACCCTAAATTACGTCGCTAGGAGTGCGACTATCTGTGGCGCTGAAGACTGGGAGTTGAGGGGTGCCAGAAATGCCAATATTTATCTGTTGTTTTATACAACCGCGACATGCAATCGAAATCGGTTTTCTCTTTTTACTTCAGAAGTGTCAGAAGGCAACTTCCACAAATTTTTGACCGAAGTTCGGAAATTATTGCAGTCCCCCCTTTAAAGGGGCCCTGCAATCCAACTTAAGCGTCTGCCTTTTGTGCCGTTTCCACATCTCTTGTGGTGTGGGCAACCCAGCGGGCACGGAGAGTGTAACTAAATATCAGTGCTTCATATTTTAACCGGATGACACAGAAGCCTCCTCCACCAACAAGGGCGCCCCGTGGTACCGATCATGTGTGGCATGCGACATTGTTGGTCCTGGCCAACTCCTGCCTTATGACTGGTCAGAGCCGCTAAAAGTTTTTTGCTAGTTGAAATACAAATTATAAGTGGCGCAAACCGTTTCAATTATTTATGAAAGTAGTTTTTGTTCAGTATTTTAGATCAGAAAAGAAACAAATGCAGTTTATAAAGTACGGAAACAAGAAATGACCCGTCGGCATACACGCCACCAAGCGGTGGAAAAGGCGGCGCACACTAGAAAGGGTAATGGGATCAGGCGCCAACGAGCAGCGAGCGTAGAAAGCTCCCGGATGTACGCAGCGGCGCTGTGGTCGTGTGGGCTCGAGGATCCGACCAGTTTCGAGCATTCCGAAGGCTTTCGGCGAGCAGGTTTGGCTTGCGGTTTGGCTGTTTGGCAGCGCGAAGTGGCTCCCATTCTGAACTGATCTTTACCCAGTGTTTGCTGTCGTTTGTCGCCAATGAAGTGTCATGCCGAATTAGTGTTTAGTTGCGCAGCAAATGCAATACGAGCCACCCTGGCTGCCCGCTTCATACAGCCTATCCAGCACATGCTTTAGTGGCGCCCTCTCGAGCCGTCGACACAGAGTGTGGCAGCCGTGAGCACACGCTGAGCTCACTATCCCTTTTCTAGTTCACAGGCACTCAAGCCAGGACCAAGGACGTCATGAAGGAGGTTATATTTTGCTCGTTTTCGTAATTTTAATTTGCCTATAACTTGTAAAATAAAGCGAAATTCGAGAAAAGAAAAGAAAGGTTCGGTGCAAATTAAAAACCAGTCAAAAAGTCGTTGCAGGGCCCCTTTAAAGGGACACTGACAGGGTATTTTTGCTCGCCAAGGTTTTTATTTGTACATGACATATGAGAGCCAAACTACCCAGAACACAATTTGCAGCTCGAACTTTGTTTTCTTCCTGCCTGAAAACTGCCCATCGAGAACTGGCCCGTTTGACTTGCGCTCACTCTCTTTTCCGTGGTCACGTGCCGTTTTCTATGGTTTAGAGACAACCATCAAAGATAATCAAAGTTGTGGGTCATCTACGTAGCATATACTCAATACCAAAACAAGACAAAAAATATGATACCCATTTTTTGTGGCTTATAAAAAGCCGCAAATATGTCGATTGAAAAAAAAAAGTAGCACAGCCACGTGACTTTCGGTAACTTTCTTCTCCTCTATATTTCTTCTTCCTCCCCAGTCCAGTTTCGGTTTCGAGCTGTTGCGTTTTTTTACTTTATTACAAATATATGTGACGCTGCAGCGAAATACCGGTTGGGTAGTCTTCCGACACAATACTGGATCGCCTGGCAAAACATAAACCAATTTTTGGGGGGGATGTCAGTGTCCCTTTAAAGCGACCTTCTGCGGCACGGCGCACAGCAAGATGCTTTGCGTTCGCCTGGTCGTTCATCTTGTACTGCACTGAAGCGGTGACGCGGCCTTGGAGGCTGCACTTTCTCGATGACGCGTGGGCCCCAGATGAACGCGACGTAAGATATAATAGGAAAGCAATTTTTTTCACAAAAGAAAACAAAACAAAAAAAAACAACAGGAAGCTGCACAATTTAATACACCCTCCATTTGATTTATATTTTGAAATGTTTCTATTGTTCACAGATTCTCCAATCTAAAACCTTTTTCCAGAGAAGGATAGTCAAACGCATAGTTTGTCTATGATGTCTACAAACGCCTATTAAAGAAGCTTCCTAGCTAGTGCAAAAAAAAAAAAAAATTAAACTTGGCCGGAATTTGGTTTGGTGCGTCTAAATTCTCGAGAGAGTAAAGCATGGTCCCCCCAGCACCGTTTCCTTATGTTAGAAGCATATGTACGCTTACATCGAGATACGACCAGAAGTCGCCGGCACATTGATGCATTGTACGAAGCGTTGCAACCAGGTAAAGGAGTGGCTTGACACGCGGAATACGAAGCACGGATCTGCCGGTGACTTGCGGTCATAACTCGATGTAAAGGCCCATTCACACACGAGCGTTTACGAGCGTTTTCTTGCGTTACGTTACAAGTTGCCGAAACATTTGTGCTCTGAATGTTGCAGGCAAGGCTACTCCTAGAACTGGTTGCCACACTTAGTACGAAGCACATATGTGTAGTCGACTCTTTTCACAACCAGGCGTAAGATTCCGTAACATAACGCAAGAAAACAGAGCTGTGTGAACCAACCTTAAAGGCCGACGAACAACTGGAAAGGAGGAAACTCTCCCTCAGTTCCTCCTTTCCATCCGAGAAAGAGGGAGACCCTTCTCTTTTTTTCTGTGAGGAGTAGCTCAGAGACCCAGGGCAGATTGAGCGGGGGTGGAGGGGCATTCTCCCCCGCCCTTTTTTCCAAGGTCAACTTTTTTTTTAATGAAAAAATTTATATACACTTTTTTGGTGACAGCAAATATTGGGTCAACGAAATAGATCTGGGTAACGTTTTTGGCCATAATATTATGTCAGAAGACCCACCGCCAACCGAATGCCTCTACCATTTGCCCGTTGCCCGCCCCCACCCCTGACCCATTAATTAGCCCCTGCAGAGACCCACTCCTATGGGAAGAGGATGAGAGAAGACTGCGAGAAGGAATGGGGAGAAGGAAACCAGTTTATTTTCCTGGCAGAAGACAATTCTCTAGGTTGGCCTTTAAAGGAATAAAAAGTGGCGCCACTCACCGGCCGTTTGCAGATGGGGCGTTGTCTCGAGCGAGGAACACGACTGACCTCCCCCCAGGACCTGGTCGCGCATCGTGGGGTAGGAGGCCGCAAACACCTCGCCGAGAGGGTGGCAGGGAGAGACGGTGCCGTCCAGGAAACCCTTCTGGCGCGCCAGCAGTGCCTGGTGCTGGTGGGCCTTGGTGCCCGTGGCCGCTCCCTGGTGGCCCCCGCCGGCAGGGTGGGAGCCGCTGCCCGTCTGGGGCACAGTGCCCATGCGGCGCGGCACCAGTGCCCCGCTGCTGGCATTGAGCTCGCCCGCCGTGAAGTATGGGCTCTTGAATGGGCTGCCCGGTTCTTCGGGGTGAGGGTTACGGACCTGGGGTGGGCGTGGAAAGAGTACATATTTATTTATTATTGTCTATAGTGCCAGCATTCTGCACAAATGCCGAAGCAGGAAATACACAGATGCATAACCATAAATCAGAAACAAAGTATAATAGATCAACGAAAGCAACAACTTGACAAAGTACTTAAGTAGTGTGTCGCAGTGGCGTAGGCAGAAGGACGGGAGGGGTTTCGAAGCCGAAACACCCTGAAATGATCCAGTCCTCTTAACCCCCCCCCCCCCCCCCCCCCCTCTCCCCAACCCATGTCATGAAGATATGCCCCCTCAAAAAAATTCCTGGCTACGCCACGGGTGTGTCAATAAAAGTAGACAGCGATACCAAACTAACACCACTTTTGGGGTGTTTGTTCCATCTGCTCATAGTACTAGGGAAGAAGAATGCTTTTATATTTTTTTTAAAAATGGTTCAATTATTGAGGCATTTGTTTTTCATATTTTCAAAAACATAACTGATGAGGCTGAAAATTACCGTAAATAATATTATAAGAAAATTTGGGCCAATCTATTTTTTTTATTGTTATTAAATCAGGCAGTTTCCACAAGACAAACAATTATGAAATTGGAAATTGAATGAATAAAACCATAACAATTGTATGAAGTACTCAGGGACAACTTTCTGTAGCAATGAAGAGAAAGCTAGGGAGAGGGGGAGGCAGAGCAAACGACTCTGTGTTACCACGCCAAGTACGAGACTTCTTTGGTTTCAGTTTCAGTCTGGGTTTCGCCATGGAAGACACACATTTGCTACAGTTCATCTTTTTACACGAGGGTTGCGGTCGAGGGCGTTGAACCGCGCTTGCCGAGCATGCAGGCATACCCACGTCTCTTTTCTAACGTTTCAGCCATCTTTAAACACAAGCCAACACTTGCCACTTGTTTGTGGCATGACCATTGTAGCCGGCAACTGCCTGATGGCATTACGCGCAAAGTTCTGATCGCTTTTTGCAGGCGAGGTGGAAGAGCACCGCAGCTCCGCGGGTTTTTTCGGAAACGATTGTTTCCGAAAAATATTAGGATCTTTGAGGAAAAGAAAATGATGATGCTCTAAATCCTTGCCTCACGGATCTATAGCCTCTCTTGCAGTGAGGTGTGAAGCAGCTGGTGTCCTTCCTGATCCCCACTTTTAAACCAGGTGGCACCAATTGTAGCCGGCAAGTACTATTAAGTATTGAGCGAGAAAGAACACGGGCGTAACGCGATGCGGCGTTAGCTTTACAAAAAGCAAGGCACGATAACAAGAGATTCCGCTCTCAGCGTAATAGTGCGTCATACATGAGCACGCAGAGTATTAGACGCTCTCGTTTTCGCACAGTCGAGTACAACACTTCGGTACAAAATAAATACCGAGGAGACGCTTCACGCCACGCTGCTTCAAACAGATATGATCCAATATCCCGACCACGACGCCACTTTTTTTCTGTCATGAAGCAGCGGCGCGTGGAACTGCCAAGAATGCAAAGCGTTTGGTACACCTACCCCTATGGCCACCATACCTGTGGCAAACTTAAACCAAGAAAACCCGAAAGAGCTAAAAAAAAGAGGCGCTACAAGTTTGGCACATCGAGGCTAATATATTAGAGCAACATTGTGAAACCGAAGCTGAAAAGAATGATTTTATATTTTCTTATTGGTTAAGTTTCACCCCGCAAATTATTTTGGTTGAACTATATTAAGCTGTGCTGTAAAACAATGTGTTTCGTCCGAATCTTCTTCACCTATGCGTTAATTTGGCGCCACTTTCTTTAAGCACAAACCAGCCGGCCCAAACCACCGCCTGGTTGCATTAAAAAATTTTCAAGCATCTGCAAAGCAACCAAAGTCCAGTAATCTGCTACAAGCTGTTCTCGGGGACAAACAACGACTCCCCGGAATCTCGTACACTAAAAAGCATTAGAAAACGACCGGATGCAAACAAAGACACCGTAGCTGGCCGCAAAATCTAAGGTGCGAGTGAAGGTTGGTTAACATATTTGCATCCGAGTGTTCGACTGCAACGCTACAGCTTGTAAACACTTACGATGAGTGAACACATAGATGCCATGTATTGGGCAGACTTGAAACACGTCGAATATGTGTATGACTAGACTGAGTGTTTTGCACTACTTGCAAGATTAAATCAACACACTATATAAAAGTAACGGTCTCGTACGATATCACCAGAATTATTTCAAGCACAAGGCAAAAGAACAATGCCTAATATATTTGCAGATCAGAAATTGCTCCAAAGCCATTCGATAGACGGTGCCAGCACGTTCTCCTGTGGAAACAGTCAATTGCACTCGAACGCAAATACGTCAACCGGACTCGACATACGTCCCGTGTCAGCGTAAGAAGCCCCCCCCCCCCCCGCCCCCCCGCCCCCAAATGCCGCCTGCCCCACCTGGAGTAGATTGTGGTAACCCACGATGCGCTGCAAGTGTCCGTACAACGCCGCCTCTCGCTTGGGCGCTTCGTGCTGCGATCCGACGCAACCTTTCCCGCCCGCCTGCTGATGCTGCTGCGGCTGATGATGGTGATGATGAGGCTGCTGAGATTGCTGCTGTTGCTGCTGCTGCTGCTGTTGCTGCGGCTGTTGTTGCTGTTGCTGCTGTTGCGGCTGCTGTGACACGACGACCACAGATGCTGTGGAAGTGGCGACGGTAGTCGGTGGCGACGTGGTATTTGTCCCCGGAGGCCCCGATGGAGGGGGAGGGGCAGCGATGGCCAGGAGGGGACCTTTCTCGCCCGTGCGCTTTATCATGAGACGCGACTTCTGCTGTTCTCGTTCCCGCTCGCGGAAGGCCGGGTCGCGCCGCTTGAGCCGCATGCGGCGCCGCTGACGCTCCCGCTCCATCGCTCTGCGGAGAAGACGCGAAAGGATCACAATCAAACGGCAAGGAATCTCGCGTTCATTTTGGACATAGCTCGATATCAGAAAATAAATCACTCATTCCTTGGTGCAAAGTACAAATTATGGCACCCAGAAACACGTTCGCCTCACAGTTTATTTATTTATTTATTTATTTAAATACCCTCAAGACCAATCGGCATTAAAGAGGGGAGTGGAAGTAACAAAATAACACAAAAAAAGAAACAAAAGGGCAGAGTACATAACATATCATGGCGGCTCAGGACAGTAAAGAGTGTTTATAGCATTTTTAAACATTTGGGCATCAATAATATAAATTACGGAAGTCGGGAGGTGATTCCATTCCAAAGAAGTTTTAGGGACGAATGATAGTAGAAATGCGTTGGTATTACAGTTACAAATTCCAACTTTGAGGTGATGATCGATGCGAGGTAAAATGTAAAACGGTGGGAGGAAAAGACGTTGCTTTAAGTACGGGTTAGTATGATAGATCTTGTGAAAAAGACACAAACGAGCAACTTTTCGTCGGAGAGAGAGGTTAGGCAGGGACAAGGTGATTTTCATGGAGCTAACACTGGCAGTGCGGTGATAGTTACCTAGAATAAAACGGGCAGAACGGTTTTGGACCGCTTCCAGAACATTAATTAGATTAGACTGACTGGGGTCCCAGATAGAAAAAGCATATTCTAATTTGGAGCGAACGAGAGATTTATAGTGTTAATTTTAAGGCTGACGGTGTGAGAGCAAAGTTTCTTTTCAGGTAACCTAGCATGCGGTTAGCGTTATTGATGACATATTCAACATGCAGTTTCCATGAGAGGTTACAAGTAATGTGAACGCCCAAATATTTATAAGAAGGAACAGGTGCCAAAGGGACATTGTCGAGATGGTAGAAGGGCACATTAGGACCAGTATGTGATATTCTCATGACTTTACATTTAGTAATGTTAAGTTCCATATTCCAAAGTTCACACCAGTGGTAAACAGCATTGATTATTGTCTGGAGCTTTAAAACACCAGAGTCGTTAGTAGATTCAGGGCCGTAACCAGGGGGGGGGATAGGGGGTTCTGACCCCCCCCGAAATTTTTTTCTGGGTACGGCCCTGGTCGGTGCACTCGCAGCCAGCCGATTTCAATCTCCACCTCTGCGCACGCGCAGTGGCGGCGGTCGGCTACCGGATACCAAACCGGGACCGGTTCTCCGGTTTGCTGCAACTCTCCATTATATACCACCGATGCACATGATTCATAGGCGAAAATAAGACAATAGACACTTTCAAAATGGCCGCCGTTGTCCCCGAAAACCCCCCCCGAAATTTTTTTCTGGGTACGGCCCTGAGTAGATTTAGTATATATTACACAGTCGTCAGCGAAAAGATTAATTAACGATGAGACGCAATTAGGTAGGTCATTGATGTAAATGAGAAACAGTAGAGGGCCTAATACTGATCCTTGAGGAACACCAGACATGACGGAAGTGAGGGGAGACGTGTTCTCATTAGCATAACAAACTGATATCGGTTAGTTAGAAAACAGGCTATCCGGGCAACTACGTTAGGATCAATACTTAATTTGTTAAGTTTTAATAGAAGCAACTGGTGAGGAACTTTATCAAAAGCCTTGCTAAAATCTAAAAAAACCCAGTCAACCTGGGACCCACAATCAAGGATAGAATGAAGATTGTTAGTAAATGACAAAAGCTGCGTCTCACAAGAATGAAGTTGAGGATTTGCCTAGAAAAACAAACGAGGTCGCACCAAAATTGGAAGGCCGGCGCGGAGGGTCGAGACGTTGGAGGCTTTGGGAGTTACCGAGAGCTGCTCCAGGTGTTTCGCTCCGTGGGACCAAGTGTTCGAGGTTTCTTTCAACAAACAAACTTTGATATGTAGATTTTGTTGTTTTCCCTAATGAGGATATGTCCCACGAGGCTTACTACTCCTCAAATATTCCGAGTTGCATGTCATCATCATGCGCAACTGAAGAGAAAGAAAGGGGGCAGGGAAGAAACTTTGAGCAGTTGTTTATCGACTAATGGTGCTCAAGCATAAAGCAACCCATTTCGGCTGCGAATAGCTTTCCTCGATCATTGGGTCAATTTGGCCCTTACGGGTTGCGCTTCCATAAAAACCTCAGCCGATATAAATGCCTTGCCAGACACCTCAAAAATGGACACAGAACTCTTAATATAGATCTCTTTAAGTGTCCGGACAGGGCGTGTCTGTCGCAAAATAAACCTTCTCCACAAAAAAAGAAATAAATAAATAGTTAGGGATGTTATTGAAATCAACGAGGCGAAAGGACCCCTTCGGTCCGGGCGCAGATTCCTTGAGACTCACCTGAAGCTTGGGTCCTGCCTGCGCAGCTGCATCCTGGCCCTCTGCCTCTCCCTCTCCAGGGCCCTGAAGCTGGGGTCCTGTCTCTTCAGCTGCATCATGCTGCGCTGACGCAGCCGCTCCATCTCCCGGTAAGAAGGGTTCTGCCGCAGCACCTGCAGCCGCTCCCGCTGCAGCGCCTTCTTCAGCCCGGGGCTGCAGAGCGAGACATACCACGGCATTCGTTGCAAATCGTAGGGATTCTGCGCTTTTCGCCTCCGACAGGGTGGCACTGAAGAATGGGGGAACGGTCCCTCGCCTTTTTCACCCCTCATCTTTTAAACAGCACGACGGCCCTTAGATACTAGAGCACTGCACGGGCCTACTTTGTTTAGGCCCGGCCCGACCCAGGCCCGCTGGCTCTTAGCCTTACCCGACCCAGATCCGACCCAATGGGACATCTACCTAATCAGGCCCGGCCTAGACTCGCCCGAATTAGATGCCCACCTAATCAGGCCCAGCCCAGTGAGAGGCCAAGGCATGGCCTCATCTCTTAAATTCAAAGCTGCCCTGAAAGGGTTCTGGTGCATTTGATTTGTTTAGCCTAATATGCATAAAAGACGCTGTCATATCGCAGCCCCGCGGTGAACCTTCGAAAGCTGACACAAATATAAAAGACAGCTTATCTTCGGTAGCCAAAGGCTGTTTTTTCTCTCTTCGAGAGTTCAAAATGGAAAGGGAAATACAATCGTACTGTCCCCTGCGAGCAGATTGCCCGTTTACTTGGCTGCTGGCAGCTGACCCACTATGCCGATGGAATCTCCAGGATCCTTCTCCGTATCTTCTTGGGGGCTTTTTTAAGTTCAAGACAGCTTTCTTTATTTCTAAGAATTTTTTAGTGACGTCGTAGCGAGGGCGCACTTCGGCTTTCTTGTTTCTTACAAATCGAAATGATCAATCCAATAGCATTTTCTTGTCACCGTATTGGAAAGTGTGCTACACAATTTCCCGAGCCCAGCCCGGGCGCGGAAACAACCCGTGCTACCCGGTTCAGGCCCGCAAGCAATCTGTGCTACCCGGTTCAGGCCCGAGCATTCGGGTTGGCCCAGCCCTGTGCAGGGCTTTACTAGATACTCCAATTATTAGTCTGGAAAGTTGAGGCAGTTTCCACCCTAGAAAATTTTGCCACCCCAAGTGACACTGATCCATGTTATAAAATTTTTAGAGATCAAGTTTCTACGAAAAACTCTCCCATAGCGTGACAAGAAGATTCCAGGCCAAGTAGCATAAGGGTCTTGACGAAGTGGAAAGGACTGTTCTGCCGTTAAATTGAAGACAAATAGGGGACCGAACTGACTCCCAAGATGCGAGACCGAATTTGACAATAGTTTGTTGTACCCTATGGTCGGACACAAGTCGAAGGTGTAGAGCAACCATTTTAAAGGAGCTGTGCAACGATATTTAATTGGAATGTTTTCACTTGACACGAGCTTACTGGCACACCTGGGACTCAAGGATACTCACACGCAACGCCACTGGCCAAGAAACTCCTTTGTTGCGGTGTAATTTCAAGGACAAAAGCGATCATTTGCATTCAATCTCTCCTTTGCAAAATTTGATGACGTAACGTGGGGATCGCAGTACACCCAAGTGACGATATTTGAATGCGGTTCATAGATTGGACCCGAGCATTGCGTGGGCACTCGACTTGGGCTCGTGATAATTGCTAGCTCGAGAAACATTCGGGTAGTGACCCGTGTCCAATCGCTGCAACGACGACAACAGCCGAGCCATAACAATGTCTGGAACTCAGCGCGTGTCCTGTGCTTTGCCAACCCCAGCGCGTGGCTATGATCAACACTGGCGGCATATAATCGGCTCCAGATCACGTGGCCGCTTGTTCTGGCTGCGAGTTGAGGGTGTGAACGCTGCTCGTTTTTCTTTAATTTTTTTCTGAGACTTCTATTCCGTGGGGTGAAAAACGAACACGTGTTTCATAGGTCATTAACGTTGGGGATCCGTTTTAAGCGGTATTTGCGCAAAGTACAAAAATTGTTGCATTGCTCCTTTAACGTCGAAATAATAAGCAGTTTTTATTTTTTGTATTATCTAACTATTCTAGGCACAACCAAAAAAAAAAAAAGTGCACCTTCCCGCAAAAAATTGCTACAGTATTCTGCTGCATAATCGTAAAGGAAAAAAACAAATTATTTGCCGATCTGCAACCGCTTGCGACGGTTACGGAAACTATGGTGACACGTCAGTGGGGTACACGTGGAAGTCAACGAAACCCGTCCCCCTCCGCTGCCCCGCTCTCCAGCAGCCCCGCAGCGAACTGTCTTTTGTGTCGATTGCTTGCCGCGAGCTTCGGCGATGCCAATCCTTGAAAAGTCGACAACTGCGGAGGAAGCGGCTGGGGTCTCTGAAGAAAGAACCCAACGAGGAAACCAGCTGGGTTTTCTGTTCTTTGTTCCATAGGTTACACAGATCAAGTCCCGCCTCTAATTGGCCAAAGTCCGAAGATCGTTTCACAGCCCCTAGTGGGCCGGATGTTCCGTCTTCCAGCGGACATTCGTTGGCTTCCGTCATGCTTCGGCCGGGCGTTCTCGTGAGACCCTAAGGTGTTACCGAAGGTAGGAAGGTCATGATGGAGGCAGAGCATCTGGCACATTCTTAAGTTGCACCTGACTATATTTACCTATTATAACTTTTTTTTTTTACCCTAAAGGCTTTTAGGGGCATTACATAGGGGGGGACTATAATATAACTTGAAAAACAAAACTAAGCAACACACACACACAAAAAAGAAAAAGATACAATGCATGCATACAACAAAAAGTATTTTGATGCAAACCGGTACTTTCGGCAGTAACTGAATATATATACATATTTAAAAGGGTACTAAAGCAGATGTACATGAAACAAGATGAGTATTGCAATTCAACTTAACCAACTCAAGCGGCATCATGTTTACGGCGGCAACAAAAGACTGATGAACGCTAAGGGAGGCAATTTCCCTGGGAAGTTTGTTTCAATCCGAGATAGCAGGGAGAAGAGGCAAATTTTTTAAATTTGTGCATAAGGGGGGAGGGTAATTTTAAAAGTGTGATCTAAATGGGGTGCTATATGGTGATCTGGCCATAGAAAAACATACCTAAAAGCTGAAGAGTTGTAGTAGAGTTTGTGAGTAAATGACAGGCAGGCAAGATGCCTTCTCGTATAAAGAGGTGATAAGCACTGCGTCTGTGTCCTCCTTTCTGCCCGTTGTCCTGTTGAGCTTTTTAACCATTAAATTGGAAGCTCATTGTGGAGTTCTATATGTTTTTCTCTATCTATTAAAAATGTGCCCCACTCTTTCCATTTGGCAAAGATTTCTTTTTTTTTTTTTTTGCTATTTCTTGTAGTTTTGTGAAATCATTTATATAGATCCATAGTGAATATATTGTCTTGTCAGAGCAGAGTACACTTGCCTGCTGAAGCACAATCTAAAACCTTGACCAATGCATCACTGCTCTGTACGACTGCAAAATAATGCTAATAACAGTCTCCGTGACCTGTCATTTTGGTCACAAGTGACAGCTATTTAGCACATACATACAAATTTATCGTAACAAACCTCTTTAAAAAAAATATAAATTTTTAACAATAATTGAGAGTACATTGCTTTTTCGGGAACACAATATAACAAATGACTGAAAGCCAAAATCATATTGTGTTAAACTGTCAGACTAAGCAGTGCCCATATGCATTGGGCATTCATTATGCACGCTGTACGCTTGTGGTACTGAAATGCATGTCGCATTAATCTCACCATACGCTCTTGTAAAGCAAAAAGCCCAGGGAATGAGTTTAGACAGTCAAGTCAAGTAACTAATCCACACAATTTTATTTTGCGTAATTTCCAATCAAAAACCAATGTGCTCTGTCTTAATTGTAACAACTGCACTCACAATATAGTCAGAACTGCCGTTCGCTACACACACAAGTAAAGTTTTGAATCAAAACAAACATGCAAGTAAGGCAGCGCAGCATCAGAATGTAAACAAAGACTTAACCTCCCCCCCTCTCCTCCCTCCCCCTCACAAGAACCTCGCGTACGGTGCTTGAGCCCCTCGCGATCCGCGCTGTGCAAACCACGATTTCGGTGAGGCTCGAGAAACCTAGCTGCTTACCTGCACAAATTGCAGTCCCATTGCTTCCCGGCGCCCGTTTCGTCCTCCTTGGGCTGGTTCGACTTGTCCGAGGACGACAGCGAAAACTGCTGCGACGCCGCGTCGGTGCTGAGGAACAGCTCCCTCGTTTCAAGATTCATCATCAAGGATCCCGGTTTTTCGCCCGAGACCGATATCGGCGCTCCATCTTCCTTAAGGATGGTTTCGACGGGCACGAAGGTTGGGAGGTCACCTGAAAACTGACGTACGCTAAGCAAAAGAACACCGCAGCGCTCGATCCGTTCGCTCAAAAACGCAACGCCAAGTTCGTCCACCGCTCGCTTACCCCCGAGCAGCAGCAAGAACCTAAACACCTCCGCGAGAGCCGAGAACATCCAGGGAAAGCCGAATCGTGGGTGGTTCCGTTGGAAGGCTTTGGGCCTTCCAACGAAACGGCTCAGAAAGTGGCTGCGATGTGCGCGAGCGAGCGCTGCTGCGCTTGCTCTCGCCAAACAGCCCCCTGAAGCTTCGGCAGCTTCGGCTTCGCTTCGCCAGCAATCGAAGAGCTTCGGCGCGTTCGAAACATCGCAACAAACCGCAAGCGTGGGGAAGAAAAAAAAAGTTGGATTCGACAAAAACGTCTGCTAAAGTAGCACGTCGAGTTGAGGTGGGGAGAACGCTGGTAACGAAGCGCGCAGAACGCAGAACATGGAAGGGACGAGGTTTGTTTTGGGGCGCAAGAAAAAATGGTACGCTACCACTTACCATTCAGCTGCCTGTCGTCGTCCATCCTAGGGTACAAATTACCATAAACGGAGCCAGGGATCCATCGGAGTTTTTGGTTCGGGGCTGCGCCAAGTTTTCGTTGATTTTCGTCCGAACCCCGGGAACAGACGCGGTTTTTGTTTCCCCCAACGCACGGAAAAAGAACAAATACAGAGAGGCGGTCACGCACAGTGGGGAGAGTCACGAAAGTCACGAACACCCATTTTGGAAGATTGTTGTTTTCTGCGCGAGGTTGCGTTCGCGTGGTCGGTTCTCGTCGGACTCGCTCGATGTCCGACTGCGTACGAATGAGAAATGTGCGTATGACGTCATTTATTGCATCCGTTGTGCGCGTGAGAGCTTATGAGAGTTGATCGAGGTCTTGTGGTAAAAGAGGGTTATTGTGAAAGCGTTGAGCGAACGAACGCACTCAATAATTGCGTGCAAAATGACTCCTGGCGGCAATTGTTCTTTCCAATTGATTTGATCAGCCATTTTCTCAAATATGTACTTATTTTAAACTTGTCTAGAAAATTACAGTGACACAGTTGTTTTCAATAATTATACCAGAAGCATCAAAGGAAAGGAGAGAGACAGAACAACGCCAACATGGCGGCTCTGGGATTTCCGATGTTCGATCGGCTCTTGCGGCTCTTCTGCCGCCGGCAGCGCAAGACTGGCTAAATTCCCGCTCTAAGCACGTTGCAAATGACGCAGTCCATCGTAATACAGGGTGAGTATTTCACTTACTTTCGACAGGCTCGCTAAATCTATTTAATCTCGCGCTGCTTCATCAGCTTTGTTGGTGTTCTTTTGATATTTATTTCTCTGTCTATCGTGTTCACTACTTCAACTCGAAACCCGGGAAATTTAAATCGGTGTGCGAACATTTTTGTTTGGTTTCTTAGGGTTTCCGATTTTTGGTGCGGAGGCAGTCCAGAATAGACTTTTAATTGTATCTTTGAATTATAATACGAAATTGTCGCTTCGTTCTCTCTCGTATCTTTCCTACTGGCCGATCTTCGTCTCTAATGGGTAATAACGCAAGGAGGATAGAAGGGTAGGAGAGGGTTTGACTGCAGCCGCGTAGCCTCCACAAGCCATGCTCCCTTGACGCCTCGCCTCTCTCTCATTTTCCTCCTTACCTTCCTCACTTATCAAGCCAACGTGATCACATCACGTAATCGTAGCTAGCCTTCGTCTAGCCTATGATCTGATGAAACCTACCGAACAGAGTGTGCGCAAGCCTGCAAGGAATCCTCCTACGCCTCCTACAATGAACTAGGGAAGCCGCGAATTACCCTAGGTTCGAATACGAAAGGTTTCGATATTTTCGAACCGAACTGATGTTCAAATTCGAAAGGTTTCAATATTTTCGACCGTACGGAAGCTCGAAATCGCAAAAATTGCAACTTTCAAAAATCGTGAAGTTTTGAATTCGAACAGTTCAAAACTTTCACGGTTTCTAAAAGTTTGGGTTCGATTATTTCGAATATTTTTTCTACTTGAGGTTCGAGAACTTCTAAGATTTCGAACTTTCCTAACTCCAAATTCGAGAGATTCGAATGTTTCGAACTTCTTTGGATCTGATATTCGAAAAATTCAAACATTTCAAATTCTTATAGACATAAAGTTCAATAAATTCGAAGATTTCGAATTTATTTCTACATAAAGTTCGAAGGTTTCGATTCTTTTTAGGGCTAAATTCGAAAAAAAAAAAAAATTTCGAAGGTTTCGAATTTCTTTAAGTTCAAGTGCACAAAGTTCGAAGTCCGGTTTTCATGTTTTGCCACAGTTTCAAATAACGTTTTCACGCCTCACTGGTTTTCACGAAATCAGGTTTAGAAAAATTCGGGTGTGATACTTAGACTGCGCGAAGTTGGTCAGGCAATTAAATGAGATGACAAGTGTCCCGGATGTGCTGGAATATTTGCCAGTGCAGAGTGATGTGTGACCATAGATCAGTAATTGTGACTGCCAGCCCGGGGGGGTCATTAACGTGCATCACGAAGTAGTGATCACACGAACGCACTGTCTAACGATACTCATCCACTTTGAAACGGCCAGGTTCAGGCAGGAGGTTGAGGCTCAACAAAACCTTGAAGTGATCTGGCAAACTGCCTCCCTACCCCCTTGCACGCTGGTAGTAATCCGATCGAACGCCGCCCGAGTGACGCTGGCATAGTTAAGTTTGTACATGATGCAAAATCCTGAGACTGGGAATGAGATTTGAAAGAAAAAGTGTAAGAAGACAGAAAAAAGGGGACAGGACAGCGTCTCAAACTCAGCTCAGGACAACGTCTCAAACTCAACTCAGCTGAAAACTCAGCTCAGGACAACGTCTCAAACTCAACTCAGTTCAGTTTGAGACTTTGTCCTGTCCCCTTTTTTTCTTCTTGCACTATTTCTTGCGAATTTCATTCCCAGTCTTGGGATTTTGCATCATAATCAACATACACCAGCTCGCCTGCACCTTGACAATTTTTTAGTTTGTAATTGCCTTGGAGGTTTATTTTTCGGGACGGAAGAAATGCCGAGCAAAAAGCACAGATGCTGACACAACTTGAGGTTGAGGGGCGTTCTACCATCCTGTGGTGTCGAAAGAGGAAAAATGGGGGGAGGAGGAGGAAGGGGGGGGTGGGGGGCTCCAGTCTCCCCCCACCCCCCCAGATATTTCGGACTGTTAAAGAAAACAATACGGGGAAAGAGGGCATGGTCGAGTTTATTTTAATCTGAAATTATTTATGCATACGTATAGCTACTGTCGCTCTTCACTGCATAAAAGATCGCGCAGATGGTCCCCATTGTTAGAAACTCGTCAGAAGGCACTACTCGTCACATGCTCGGTGGTTCGGAAGTGCAAAGCTATGTCTTCTCTACCTAAATAACTGTGTCATTGGTAAAAAATAATAAATAAATAAACATAACAATAAACGCAAAAATAAAAAGCTGTAGAAAAAAAAACTATCAAGAACGCGCACTACGAAGCAAGTTTCTCCTGCCAAAATATGTACAGGCTAAAAGAAACACGTCCCAGAAACGTGAAATAAATTTTTTTATTTATTTTTTTTTATGACGTGTTGAACTTGAACAATTTTAGAAATCTTCACCCATTAGTTAATTTATTCCTCAACATGAAAAAAAAACAATAAATACATTATCTTGTACTCTGCAGATGGTAATGATATGTACTGTCTGTGGTGTTAACTTAAATGCTATACCTCAAACAATGTAGACAAAAACAAATTACCAAGTTTAGGGCATAATTGCCCATAGATACATGTTTGGATATTTCTTCGAAACTCGTCTTGAACAACAATAATCATATCTTAAGATGACACTTACCTAGGCTATACATAGATCATTCTTAAAAAGGTTAACATATCTACCATAAATAGCTTCGGCTATTGTGCGCTTCAAATATGGCACAAACGACAATTGTCAAAAACCCGTCGTCCTTCCTCGCTCCTTCGAGAATCGATTTCTTTAAAACCAAGCATGCCACATGATAGAAATAAGCGGTATTGTCTTTCGCGGGGAATGCAACACCGCATGTAAAAGTGCGAAAAAAAAAAAAAAAGATTGTACCTCACTGCTTGAATCCAAATGAAACCGCTCGCCGGTTTCATTTTTCGAACTTTTTCCCTAAAAGTATGAAATTCGTCAAACTTTTGAATTTTCAGGAATCGAAAGTTTGATAATTTTCGAATTCTTTAAATTAGCAAGTTTGAAAGTTTGAAAATTATCGAATTTTCTTGCATAGGAAGTTCGAAAGTTTGAAAAGCTTCAAACTTTTTAATGCAAGAAGTTCGGAAGTTCGAAAATGATCAAATGTTTTAGTCTATCAAGTTCGAAGGTTCAACAAGCATCAAATTTTGCAGTGTAATAAGTTCGAAATTTCGAAAAGCGTCGAACTTCTTAGTTTAACAAGTTCGAAAATTCGACTTCTGTCAAATTTCTCGATATGGAAAGTTCGAAAATTCAAAATCTTTCGAACCTTTAGAAGCGCTCGATTCGATCATCGAACCTTCGGTTCGAAAAAAGTTCGCGGCATCCCTACAATCGACCATCCATCTCACACGTGACATGTCACGCGCACCAATTGCAAGAGAGATCTACGGTCACAATGGCCACAGCATCGTTTAAACTTTTTATGACTATGCTTCACCAATATTGCAACGTGTCCCCTCCTAGTACTTATAACCTCCTTGTAATAACATTTTTCCTTTTTTCAGTTGGACAATGTGGCAATCAAGTCGGCTGCCGGTTCTGGGACTTCGCTTTAAGAGAACACACGTTATTGAAGGATGACTCTGTAAGCATCCACACCCATCCACCGTAAAACTATGATTCACAAACTTTTATAAACACACAATTTTTAAAAAAAATTTTATTAAAGTTTTACATATTTGGTAAAAAAAAAAAAAAATGAAGGCTACACCGGCTACACTGATGTGGTCTGTGCAGGTAGGTTATACAGCCAGGGAGACAAAATATAGGGGTATAATCATGATGATAAGTCGGTTAACAAAGTAAAATTTGTTGAATTACTTTTTTAATTATTGACTATAAAGATATTGCTCCACCGCAAAAATAATCCCTGGAGAAAAAGAGAAGGGGAAAAGGGGGGACAAAGGACAAACACAAATCTCCAAACATAACTTAATCGACTGGTGCACGACCGGAAAAATCCGCCTGGTCCTGGTATCAAACCAGGGACCTCTCCATTTCCAGTGGAGCGCTCTACCAACTGAGCTAACCAGGAGTTTGACGTCAGAAGAGCAAACGGGTTTTATCAGCCACCACCAGTCTAACACCAACAAGGATGAACGGCTTGCATTTTAAGGTTATGATTATAATGCAATTAAATGCAAAGGTGCAAGCGAGCTGGACAAGAATGACGCAGATAATCCCTCGAGAAGGGGAACAAAAGACAAACACAGTCAGCTAACTGTGTTTGGAGATTTGTGTTTGTCCTTTGTTCCCCTTCTCCAGGGATTATTTTCGTCATTTTCGTCCAGCTCACTTGCACCTTTGCATTTCATATCATTATCAGTCATAACCGCTTTCGCTTGAAGATGGCGGTAGCTGTCCAGAGGGTTGTGTCGAGATTTCTTTGTCCCCAGACACGAAACTGGGGAAACTAGCCCTTAACAGCTCCGCTGTAAAAAGAAATAACTGTATGAAACGCTCATTTCCCAACCTTTTTTCCAGACAAACAATACCTCCATGTGGAATTTCTTCAGGCGCTCGCAAAAGTCGCCAGACGACCTCCGAGCTCGAGTAAGTGGTTTGTCGAGATCTGTGCGACACATTTTGTAAATTAGAAAAGTGGCATGACTGCCTACGGGAACTAATGTGAGCTTGTAGGGTCACGTGTCTTCAGTTTTTCTTCAAACTCAAAAATTTTTTTCTAACCTTTTTTTCTTTTTTTTTTTTTTCGTCACTTTTGTGTGTTGGACAAATTATCGGTATTTATCGGGGCAGTGGCTTCACGATGGTCAGCAGCACTCGGGGCAGTAGGTGGCCGCGACATCCCCTCGCCCGCCCCGGCACACCCGAGCCCCGCTCTCACGTGACCCGCTGCGACACCCCCCTGAGCACTGCACCCGGGGTGGTCCACCGCCTTACCCGCCCCCCACTTGTGACGCCACTGTATCGGGGCATGGGATTCCTCAGCCTCCAGGCGACATCCGAGCGACCGAAATACTTGCGAAACGACGCGATACCAATCAGGGGAAAAAAATAGACAAGGCGTGGTGGTTCCCAAAAGAACCAGCAGCAGCCTCGCGAAACGTTCAGTGTGGGTTGTGTTCTGGCTCGACTAAAAATAAAGCCGTAGATAGAAACCTCCTTCTCCTGAAGTTTGTTTTTATTATTAAAGGACAGGTCGAATTTCTGGGTTTTTCTCTCTTTTTGATCAAACGTCTCGGGGGGAATTACAGGGATCCTGAACCTAATTTTAGATTTCGCAAAATAAGGTTGCAGAAGCATTGAACGAGATCCTACAAACTCCAAAATATCACTCGGACATCAATATCTCAAACAGATACCCGTATTCTTGAAAAAAGGAGCGATCAAGCGAGGACCGAGACATCACAATCCTCCTGGGACAGTTGAGAATGAGGGGAAGCGGCCACACTTCTCTCCTCCTCACTTTGGTCTAACTGCTCGAGGGGACGAAGCGAACAGGAGAGGGAACGAGAACCGCGACGTGCATGTCTCGTTGGCCTCTTCGGCCGTGTTGAACCGATCACTTCTTTGCCAAAAATACGGCCAACCGTTCGAGATATCGCAGTACGAGTGGTGTTTTCGGGTTTTGCAGCGTCCCACCTATCGCTCCCTCCTTGGTTTGCGAGTTCCAAATTTCGGTTCAGCATCCCTTTACCATTCAAGGCCTATCCGCGTTAACGGAGAAACCCCAATTGTAACTTACGCTTCCAACAAATTTTCAAAGGCGGTCATGGTCGACATGGAAGAAGGCGTCATCAATTCAGTGCTGCGAACGCCCCTGGGAAACATGTTCAGCAGTCATCAGTTCGTCACCGATGTCTCTGGCTCCGGAAATAACTGGTGAGTAAGCTGGGCACTTGTTTTGTTGCACGTCGTATGGAAAAGCCGGAAACTCGGAGAGCATCGGTGGCCGAGCGCGTTGGCGCACCACAGCTCAGAGCAAAAGCCCATGCTGCAGAACCCAGGAATCCTGGGTTCTATCGAAATGGCAGGGGTAAACGCCCCTGCTCGTTTCTATCTGGATGAGCGCCACACCGGTGTGTGATCGTGTATCACTACTGCACGATGCTTGTTGAAGACACCAGGCTAGCGACGGTACTACACTGGCTAAATTTCTCATCTACAGTAGAGACACCGAACGCCCCACAGGGGCTGACAAACTTCTCGCGCACGCAGAACAGAATTATTTAGACACTTCCGTTTCTCTACCGTCTAGGGCGGTTGGATTCCACGAATATGGATCGAAGTATGGATCTGAGATTATGGAAAAGGTTCGCCGGGAGGCCGAACTCTGCGACTGTTTGCAAGGTTTCTTCTTGCTTCATTCGTTGGGTGGTGGTAGGTACCACACATTCTTTAGTGGAATTCTTTTGTTAAATAAATTTGTTGCATAATCGGGTCACTGTAAACGAGTGTTGACTTGCCACACTAGAGTACACCCGCCGGCAATATGAAGGTGAACACCTTACCTGGTTTCTTGCCCGTTTTACAGCTCCCTAAAGCTATATTAATTCTCAACGTCTCAAATGGTACGTGGCTTGGGGTCTAAACTTTGTGTTCTAGCGCTCTTCTGGAACAGAGCTTGTTCCAAAACTTGCAGGAGCGTCAAAAACAAGAGGAGGGCTGTTCACCTTCATATCGCTCACGGGTGTACCTGTCAAAGGCTACGAACCCTCAAAAGTTGCTCACTGGCTCCATGTCAATGACTGTAAGACTATGAGGAGAGAAATTGAATTTTGGATGTGGAAATGCTCATTGAAGTGTGCAGTCCCTCGTTGCAATGCCTAGAGAATGAATTTGTTTTATGTTCAAGGCACGGGTTCTGGCCTTGGAACGGCTGTGCTCGAGATGCTTAGTGAAGAGTTCCCAGGTGTATTCAGGTGAGACAATCTTCGCGTTTTTATAAATGTTTGCACCACCTCCACAATAACCACAAGTTTTTGTAGTGCATTCCGAGCATCGAGGAAACTCTGTCTTTTCTGAGTTACCTTTTTCTTACGCGAGCAAGTACACAGGGAAGTGTCTCCAGGCTGGAAGCACTGCATGGATCATATGTGGTACCTGCGGAGTATCTTGCAGGTCTCACTTTGTCTGTATGGGAACTTTAAGGGGAAGGCTCTAAATCGAGTTTCTTTCACAGGTAAGGATCCGTAGCTTATAGACGCGTTGCACTCATGCCAGATTACAGCCATCATTGCTGACCGCTTCTCGTCTTACCAAGGTGTTGAGCCACTGAATCGGGCGACGACAAGCCTCCACAAAGGCCTATGCTGGGGAGAACTTTTCCTGCTGTGGTAATGATTACCTAAGTGAAGTAAATGGAATAAGAAAATAGAAAAACTGAAGGTCGGTTGTGGTGGTGCCCACACACGGCTGCCACAAAGCGTCTATTAGAACCTTCAACAAGGTCATAAACTGGCCCAAGTGGTAGTGGACCATGAAAAAAACAGCACATACAAATGGAAATCAAAGCCGCTAAATCGTACACATCACTGTCCTAGCTAACGACAATGTTTCAGTCATTGTTGACTGCATTGGGCTTTTCCAGTGATGTTTGCTGTTTGCTTGTTCAGTTGTGTCGATTCTCTGTTTGGTACCTCTCTCAAAACTTATATTTAGATTCTGCATGCTGCATGTTCATCGCATCAAAAACTGCTTTCTCCCTTTGCGCTAACAGGTTTGACATTCCTGTGTTTCCGTCCGCCACTGACGATGTCATAACTTCGCCCTACAACACCGTGTTTGCACTGGAGAAGATCACGGAGTTTGCAGACTGCTCCTGTCCTGTCGAGAATGAAGTAAACCTCTTTTCTGTGACCCAGCTTATTAGATCTGTCTTGCTGCCAAGGATGTTACTAATCCACTAAAGGAATGCTGAACCAAACATTTCAGTGGCTATAATTAGTGCCGCACTATCTTCCCATGAGTCGGCAGCCGCCGGTGTGCGCGAGCACATGCAACATAATTGACGTCATCATATCCCCCATTCAAGCCTATTAAGCATGAATGGGGGATATGAGGACGTCAATTTCGTTGCGTGTGCTCGCGCATACCGGCGGCTGCTGACTCGTGGAAAGATAATGCACCACTTTCTATAGACACTGAAATGTTTGGTTTAGCATCCCTTTAAGGCAGAGTGTTGATTGTGCGAGCCTTTATTTTATTCTTCACCAATTCCCATTGTATAGCAATGGTTCCCAGGGGTGCATGCTATGGGGATTTTTTCACTCTCGAAAGTTACGGTTATCGCTAAGTTCGTAAAGAGTGCTGTGTCATCAAGTAGGTGCCATTTCTAAGAACGGAATTTTTTAAGTCTGGCACCCACTTTTTTAAAAAGACTCAAGGCTGACAATCGCTTGAATTTAGTATAGTTATCTTCTCAAGTTCATCCTACAATTCCTTTTCTTCAGAGTTGACGTCTTAGGAATTTGTCATATCAGCTTAAACATTGCTTCAAGCCGAACTGTATCAGCTGGTAATTAGCTTTGAAAACAAATTCTCATGCGCTTCCACGTCATTTAACAGCCTAGATGCTGATACTATCTGTCCTTGAAGGTAATATCACATGAGATGTAAGTTACGAACAAACACATAGGGAATGAGTAAACTGCCAGAGCTGAACTTATTCATAGCGCATACCGTATATGCTTGCAATGTTGCAACAATTTATAGCATGAGTGGAGGCCTTGTATACAAAAATTTGTTTTTGTTTAAAGAATATAAATGTTTGCCAGCATGTTCTCCTGGAAATAGTGCTTCTCCGTCAGCAGAGGTGCACTGCAGGAAAGCGGCAGCACGAGAAATCCACATGCATTTGTTTTCATGCTTGCACTGGACCAGTCTGATCGAAAAGTGCGCGACTATACTGGAATTTAAAGAAAAACTTTACAAACGGGGTGTAATCATCAAACGAGAAATAAATAAATGAACGAGCATATAAACCAAAGGTTCATTCCCCACAGCTTTCAACATCTTCGCATTGTGTAACCACACTTCTGTACAGTGCGTGTCTGCACTGCAGAGAAGCACACTCAACTGTCACCAAGTCAGAAAGCAGCTTGCGGACCCATTATTTGAACACCACTCGTTTAGAAACGCTGTCACTATTCTAATATCATTTAGAAAATGAAAACATAAGTGAAAAAAACAACATGCAGGTGTTTGTCAGAATCAATGCTTTGAGGGTCCACTGTCGAATCAGAAAATGCTCTTAGAGCAGTAAAGGAACCCATAAGGAGGGGTGCCAGAAGTTTTTAGGAAAGGGGGGGGGGGGGGGGGGGGGGGTGTAAGGTCCTTTAGGCGGGAGGATGGTAGTAAGAGTGGGATTTTCCTCCTCTTCCCCAAACATTTATGTAGAAGTGTCTGAAATGTTGACAGGAAAAGGGGGGGGGGGGGGCAACACTCTTGTTTTAGCACCACTGCACATGAATGCCTTTGGTTGTGTTTTACAGGCACTGATGAATGTCTGTAACCGCATCCTCAAAATGGGGTTGAAGACCAAAACAACGCTGGCGAGTTCCAAGGACTCCATTCTCTGCCAGAAAGCCCGTCCTTTCGACCAAATGAACAACATTGTGGCCAACTTGCTCCTCAACCTCACAAGGTATACACTCTGTTGCCAGCCTGCAGCAGCTGCATTATAACGTCCCGGCTCAAAGACTAGCTTGGCATTGCTAGGCATTTTCAAGACAGAGAAGCCGCCTTGCATAGATGCAACAACGCTTGGCAGCCGTCCCACGAAGCAGTGAATCCCAAATATCTTAAGTATCATCAAATGGAATGGTGGGCTTGGAAACCGATAACAACAGAAGGGGGGGGGGGGGGGGGGGGGGGGGGCAAATTACTGTTATAGTAAATCGACTCCTCTCCCAATACCCCCTTCATTGATTAACTAATTGTGCATACTACGTAAATACTTGTCGGAAAACTTTCTCGTTGACATCGTAAGCTTGCTAGCCCTATCGTCAACAGTAGTACCATATTTTTTGGTCTATTAAGTAGCATCCCACCATAAACAGCAGTCGTCAAAAAAGGGTTGGTACCACTACGCGCCTTCATACAAGTCACAGGGATGATGTACAGTTTCTGCTGCAGCAGATTTATGTCGCAAAACTTTGTACCGCCAGAAGCCATTCCTTCTTCGTCATAAATGTCAATACAGCCTACATCTTGCACAGTCCATTCTTGAATGTGAAAAAAAAAAAACACATAAGTTACATTATTGTAGAAAATGCACCAACAGAAATTTACAAGAGAAAAAAAATGTGTGACTTACACATCAGAAAATACCGTGAATTTCAACAGGGCGGGCATTAATTCTGCCGGTTGGTTGTTGCAGTTCAGCGCGATTCTCAGGCAGCCTCAACGTGGACCTGAACGACATCTGCACCAATCTGGTCCCGTACCCGAGGCTGCATTTCTTCGTCTCCAGCGTCACTCCCCTCTACTCCCTCCTCGATGTTGATCTCCCACCCCGGAAGTATGAAATACCCTTCCTGCAGTTGTCGGATGATATCACGTCCCGCTGTCACGCGAGTCGCTTGACGTTCAAAAAGCGTCAGACTGAGAGCTTAGGCATCGTGGCGGTGTCAAACGGATGTCCCGCGGGTAGCTTCTTGGCTAAAGTTGGTGCAGCCACAAACGTCTCGTGGATACACGCAACTCTCTTTGCTCACGAAACAAGTGAGCAGTGAATTGCTTTTAGCTGCAGTGCCTCGTTTAACTGGTGCAACTCTGAGCTTCACCCGATCTCGCTCGACTGGCCGAGGCGACATAAATAAGGCATCAAACTATAATCTAAGACAAGTTAGGACCCTTGTAGATGCTCCGCCTGGAGGACGACTTTTCTGCACTTGGCAATACTTCGCCACATATGCGGCCAAAGCCCGGTGGAAGGCACAGAGTATGTGCTAGAGGCGGAGCATGTACTAGGTTCTTAAAGGAGCTGTGCAACGATTTTAACAATGAAAGAATTGGCATCTTCTGCTTTTGATATTGTTCACCTTGTCACAAATGACAGAAAGCACACCTCCTTTCATTGAAATGTTGCGATTCCGCCGCGTAATAGCGAGGCAAAACTTTGAATATTACGCGACCTACAGCTTCGAGCGGCGGCCATGAGAAACACGCGGCATGACGTTTCTACATCTTGTAGAAAGATAGCAAGTTGTGCGAATACCTGCTCGATAAAAGGTAACTTTTCTATAAATCTTGTCGTTCCAAACATAAATGCGTCAAAAACCTGGTATCATCGACAAAACTTTTATTATACGAAGTTTTAGCAGTGCCATCTATCCTAGGTCCACAACACTGTCAGCTCCATCTGCTGCTGCGACGAACAGCCGCCAGAAGCTGGAGGGGGAGGGGGACAGGGCCGGACGCCTATGGCCGGACTCTGATGAGACTTTCCTCCTTTGTTCTTGCGTCACCCGCCAGCACTTGGTCACGCGGTCGCGAGCGGATGAGTTCTCACTGCTCACTGATGGCTCTAAAGAGAGAATTTTACCGGAACCCCGCGCCTACCCCCTCAACGTCACTGCGCACGCGACCCAGAAGACGATGTACGAGTTGAGAGGCGGCAAAAACCTGGATCTTTTTCATTTTTTTAAAATAAAAACTAGGGTATCCAGGCAAAATCTTTTTTGTAGTTCACTTCAGAAGTGTCAGGCATCAACTTCCACAATTATTTTAGCAAAGCCCTGAAATTGTTGCACAGCTCCTTTAACCACTCACCAATAATAAGCGAGCTTTATTCACTAATTTAGCTTTGTTTCACCAGACCAAGCAGGCATCATTAGATGTAGTATCACTTCGTGACAATTCAGCAGCTCCAGATATGTACCTCTGTAGAACTGTTTTCATTTCATGGTCCCTCCAGCAGCCTGGCGACATTTTAAGCCTGGCAGACGAGAGGATTACGGTTTGCTGTGTTCTGGGTCGACGCAGGCTGGATCAGATGTTCACGGATGCGTTCAGCGGTCAGCAGCAACTGGTGCAGTGCGACGTGAAGCGAGGCGTTCAGCTGGCCTGCGCACTTCTCGCCAGGGGAAGCGTCGGCATCTCGGACATGCGCCGAAACCTGGACAGGTTGGTGGCCCCCCTCCCACCCCCAAGGCATTTCGGTGGTCACCGTTGCGCATCATCGGTGCGGTCCAACTGTGGCATTGAAGTCTGGATAATCCACCTCGAATGCACTAAAGTTCTAAACTTACGCTCTAATTGGTCACATCTGAAGTAACCGTTCAACTTTGCTCTTGGCGCGCACATACCTTAAAATACCGCAGATGCGCCCACTTAGTTCAAGCCCTCGCTAAGAACATTTCACAAACTTTGCAATTCTGCAAATTGTACTTTAGCGCCCGATTTCACCGGACAAGCACCCATATCTAGACCAGCCAAGTTTTCAGTGAAAGTGGGGTGCGCGCTTCTCCAGTATTTTATGGTAGACATTTCCGGTCTCGGAGCTCATTACTTTCTCCAAAATGTAACGTTTCTCGTGCTCCGTCTTTCTTTCAAACTGTGTTGTACAGTTGCGTCATCGACCTTACTGATCCATACTTCACAGATCCTTCCAAGTGGAATCAGGTTTGTCCCTGGGACTGTCAGGCAACGTGAGAAAAACCTCTAAAGGCTATAGCCTTGACGTACATCTCCGCCGTATAACATACGCAGTGGCTGTTGGATTGACCTCATTTCGGTACCACTCCTCCGGTTACCTTGCAATGTTACTGTACTCCGTTTCACATCGCAACGAGCCACAGCAGACGCCACGAGCCTTACGGGCCAATTTGTCACTGTGAACGTACCGTGCGACTTTGCATCACCTTTGCGCCGTGCCCACTCCCGGAGGTCAAGTGACACTCTCACAGGACTGGATTGTCTTCGATGGCTCGTAGCATTTTCTGCAGTCTATCGTAAGGTTAAATGGAGTGCAGCTGGTTCCTCCCACTTGGTTTCCTGGTCATCTCAGTGGCTAACGCAGCTGTCACCGTTTATTTGGAGACCACGAACATGCCCAGCTATACTTTGTTTCACCTTGAAAAGGACCGCAGAAGTCACTGCAAGCCATTGGCGCCAATCTGCACGTCACGCGACGCATTTACAGCGCTGGATTGACTGGAGTGGCTAGCAGCATCCGCTAAGGTCCATTGTAAGGTGAAACGGAGTCCACGTGGGTACAGCCACTTGCGAAAAATGCTTTGGAAAGAAAAACGGGCAAGTAGGTAAATTATGGGTCGGGGCATTCAGGATCCGAGAGGACGTGCGGTTTGTGCATTGGAACCGGGACGGTTGGAAGACTGGTCTCTGTTCAGTGGCACCCGTGGGGCACCCTTACTCCCTGCTCACCCTCTCCAACACCACCGCCTTTCACCACACGCTGGGACAGATGCAGTCGCGGTTCCTCAGGCTGTACAACCGCAAGGTGAGCAGATTCACACCTTCCAGTAACATACTAGAAGCCGCCGTCGCTTCCTGAATCCTGGACAAACAAGCCACACGAGGGACTCCAGATTGACTTCGGACGTTTGGATCGTAGGGCGTGGAACGTTTCCAACGAGTGCACCCGAGGCGACATCTTCCGGTGTGCCGATTTAGTTTGCAGGTGTGGCGACGAAAAAGGAATTCTGAAAACGCTCTGGTGTTAGAGGAGAAAAAGGTAAACTTTTGCACAATGATTGATGCTAGGAAATGTAGTGCTGTTACGAAGTGAAGTGCCCTTTTAGCACATTGCCAAAACGCAACTTATATATGTTGGTACACATTAGTTTAATTCTGTTGCACTTTGTGCCAGGAACCTTCCGAGGCATTACACAATCATGTATGTGCAGCGTAATGGGCTCAAAGGCGTCGCAACACGTTTTGGATGCACCAGACCTGCTGCCAGAAACGGCTTTGGAAGACTTAAAGGGGGGTGCAACCCTCCCCCCCTTTAAGCCCTTCAAGGTCAACTTTTTTAAATGAAAAAGTTGATATACACCAGTTGAAAGTTTAGTTTTTGGTGACATAGCAAATATTGGATGAACAAAAAAGACCTGGGCAATGTTTCGGGCGTAACGTCATATCTCGGCAAAGCCCCCACCCCCCCCTCCCCAAGCCGAATGCCTCCCCCTCCCCCCAAGCCTGACCCGTCAATCTGCCCCGGTCTGCTGCCTTCACTTTCCCCAACCATAGCTAGCATAGTGAACTCAGGCAAAAAAAAAAAGTCCAAGTTATAAAACGTAACATGCTTTACGACTCGCATGTAACATATGCTTCGTTCCACGCGTTGCAGGCACACGTGCACCACTTTCTTCAAGTGGATTCGATGGAGGACTGCCACTTCGTTGACGGACTTTCCAGTCTCTCGAGCCTCTCCTCCGAATACAAGGCAATGGAGAACACTGACTTCAGCAAGCTCACCGTCCCGCGACTGAAAGTCGTCCTGTGAAGAGCGGTGTGCTCCTTCGCCGCAACGACGTAGAGGAAAGACGACCGGTCACAACCGACAAGGATTCTTTATTGTCTGCAACTGCTCATTTCTCTTAAATATACTCTCAACTAAAAATACACCATGAAGGTGGTAGTAGTAGTTGTTGACTGGGCCGAAAAACGTGGGTTGCGTCAAAACGTACACAGACTACAGAGACGGTCCCATTTCGTTTTCTCTCCAAAATATCACATGACGAACGCAACCTGGACTCAAAAGAAAGAGACTGTTTCTTTTCACTCCGCCTCGAAAGCGCTGCTTAATGACGCGCTCCAAAAATCGATAATGTAACGTAGGATGTTGATTCGCGATTATGGGCACGACACATGTGTGACCATGCATCAGAGGTACAAGTTCCATGAATTAGGGCCATGTCAATTCCTGTATGGCATGCGTAAAATACAAAAAAGCCTCCATTGTAAGATCAGCTTTGTTTGTCACTTTGCTACGTGCATTCCCCTAATCCCTGTACTGGTATTACAGGCATACCTCAACTCTACTTTGCTATAGAAAGGTACAATTGAAAACCCATGGCTTTAAAAGAGAGCATACCCTTTTCAGGGAACACCACACTATGCTAGAGACGCACTGTGTTGTGCATGTAACAGTCTTGAAGAGTAACACTTTCCAGTAGGTTCTTTAAAACAATGGATAGTAACTTCGAGCCCCTAGATTTTATGATGTAGTCTTTTCTGCCAGTAGCACAAAACTGCTTTGCTATTTCAAATCTTTGTTGTTGTTTTTTAATGCAGAGTAAGATTTATTCTATAATACAAAAACCCGCCCCTAAAGAAAAAAAAAACGCTTGGCAGGTGATTTTTGGCAGACTTTTGCCCCCTATACCTTCCTTCCTCCCTCCCCCCCTCCCCTTCGTTCTCTACGTCACTAAACCATAAAATGCCTGCAACTCATATGGGTAGATTAAAGAAAGACCTGGCACCCTTTATCAATCCATTCATACAATTTACAGAAGGTAAAAAGACTTTCTTCTGCAAGGCAGATAATCATCTTATCCTCCTCCCTTCCAAACTGCGAGAGCTTTGCATGTTTTGTGCACAACAGGAAAAAGATCCTTCTCTTGAGAGAAGGAAAAAAAAAAAAAAAAAGTCATAAACACAGTGTATGTAAACTCCAAGTTTGGGGATTAAATTTTCTAGTGATGTTAAAAATATGCGGCATTTTAGTTTTACCTTTGCATACCTGCAGTGCTGTATACTGTAGAGGCGTGGCTCACTCTCGAAGCCCATAACAATGCAATATTTTTTTTAACGAGTGTCCATTGGGGCATTAAGGTCACGACATAGTTCACTGAACCACTTTAACGCTAGTGTGCAAAACACTCCATGCCAGCTAAGATCAATGGTTGCACTTGGAAACTATTTGATTTTACTAGCTGGAACGCTAAGATGAAAACATCAGTAATATATAGGATGAAAACACTTTTTTTTTTGCTAACTGCCTCAAAGCATGTAACACAAAATAAATAAAGATCTGAGAAATTTCAATCAACCCAAAGCCTACATTGCAAGGGAAATTTAGAATCACAAATGTCCTCTCTTCCAACTGATTCTCTTTATGCGAGAAACAGTCTCCGCTTCGACAACATGGTGCAGCATAAGTACTGGGGCAGTTCTAAAATATAGTTTTCTTTAGTCTACATATTTTCTGCGACACACATTCCAAATGCTTTTTGTCCCTCTTTCGGGTTCTTGCAAAGGACCAGCAGCAATCCGCCAACATGGGCAAGAGTAACCATCACCGTGGTACCATGAACTCTTCACGTCAGTCTAGAAACAACTGCCGCGCCAATAGGATAAACCGATTCGAAATATGGCCATGCTTGTATTCATCTTTAAAACACTACTGCTAGAAATGGTACACCCATCACATGTACAAATGTGTAGGTTCGACTCTAAAAAGAAAAACACAGCAGCTAGGAAATGTAACTCGCTCAATACAGATCCACCCAAAAAAGAGTCAGCCCTGAACACTGGCTTCACACATCCACTAATTATTAAATTGACACTGAATGAAAAAAAATTAGTGTTGTGAGCTGCCTTATTTGAACACAAATGCCACGGAGTACCGCAAACAGCTTGCAATGGTTTTCAAACCATCGTAATGACAGTGGTGTGAAACATGGTTGACATTTCATGCGAATGGTTGGCAACCTTTCACAATTTGTTGGGGCAAAAACGAGCATTCATCTAGTCAATTCTGAAAACAAAATAGAAACATTCTTTTTCTTTTGCAGCTTCAATAATCTCAAAGATGGATGATCAGCCTACATACCGATCACCGGCATTGGGTTCATGTCCCATCAGCTATGGTTCAACACTTAAGATTAAATCATTACATGCAAATGCACCGAGAGATTAAAACTTTGTTGTCATTTTCACCTTCATAGGTAGGGTTTAGCTTTCTCGGTGTTCACCAAAGGAGGGCCAAGAATTGCCCGCCAAGTTCTTTTTCGTAAACTTGGTTTGAACCGATGTACCCCAAAATGGCAACCATCTAATACCCCACCTAGCTGTGTTTGGAGTCGCCTAGCTGTGTTTGGAGATTTGTGTTTGTCCTTTGACCCTCTTGTTCCCCTTCTCCAGGGTTCATTATCATTCTTGTCCAGATTGCTTGCACCTTTGCATTAATTGCATTATCAATCTAATACCTATTTAAAAAAGATTATATTTTGGAGTTTATTTCCATTGCTTAACCGCAGTGGAGGGATGTTTTAAATTTAAATAAATAAATACGTCAGGAAGTGGGAAGGAAAAAAGGAAGGGGGGTCTAGTTTTTTGTGTTGCATTTTGATAAAAAAAAAATTTAAATAAAAAAGCCATCAGTAGATGTGTGAGCAATGCCTACTTGTAGAGCTTTTGTTCACTTTGGAGGCAGTATTGAATTACCTTTATCAGTTTAAAATAACTCCCGTTTATGATGTGCCCATCACATGATTCGTGTTAGAGCAGCTCTTTTAAAATGGAACGACGTTGAAGTGCACCATTAGGACGCTGAACCAAGTGGTGCCAAGTTCGGTTCGGCAGACAAGTCACAACATCCTAAAGCAGCTTCGTTCCTTACAAACGAAGGTTTGTTCGTTAACAAGCGATATTCTGCACGGATAAGCTTAGGAACCACCGCACGAGATGCGCTTCAACAACAATTTAGTGCCTCCCTAGTTTAAACCACGCATGTTGAACCCAACCCTGGAACTCGAGCTTCTGTAGGCTTTGATTTGTACAAACTCGTCTACCGCGTTCATTTGTGTAATAATGACACCCTCAAGACATCATTTCTAGAAATAGCATTCAATGCAATCACTTTCAAGAAGTGCTGCTTCCGACTGGTCATGTTTGTTAAACATGGTACTGAACATCTTGACTATTCCAGTCTTGAGTATGAGTGCCAAGAGAATGTTCTATACAGAATATATAACAAAAAGGAGCCCATCCAGTTGAGTAACAGGAATTAGAAAGTATACTATACTCATAAACGTGCTCTTTTGTAACACGCTGATGTGAAGCAATTAATGATTCCTAGTTCTTTATGATACCATGGACGTGCCTGATAGTGAAAAAATTGTGGGTATTAACAAACCACCATCAATATAGGTACGAGAAATCGACTAATCAACTCTTCGGCGATATAGAAACACAGAAAAGCGTTGAATATGGTAATGAAAATAAATGTAAAAAAAACAACTGCTCGGAGATTTTGGTCAAAATGAACACCGAAAACGTGGAACCTCGGACTTTATGACAGATTTTTGACTCTGGGAAATCCGAAATCTATTTTCTTCCCCATTCAGTTTTTTTAGGGAGGCTTTTGCGTGCAGAGACTTTGCCCTCCAACTTTTAATGTAGCTTCGGTTCAACAAATTTCAAGTTGAACCACCACAAAAAAAAAAAAAATAAAGAAAAAAATGTTGAATGGGGAAAGTATCTTGGGTAACTGCAGTACACACAATACACAAAGAGATAACTGCGTACACACCCACAAGACACACAAGTGAATGGCAAACAAGAACAAGACATTCACCAAAAGAAAAGAGGGAGCACAAAGAGCGAATCTTGGCGTTTTGAGGAGACAGACTAATTTTCGCATTCCTGCTGAAACTGCAGTTCAAAATCGCAATCGTTTTAAAGTTTGCTTCTCTTGGCAATTCACATTTATTTATTATAGTACCTCGTGACGTCAAGACTTCTGACGTGCAAAAGCTGTTGCTAGGGTCGCCGAGGATCCGGGTCCTGCGCCTACACTGCCCGGAACTAGCAAACGAACACGTGTGCACAACAGAACAGCACATAAAGGCGTAACAACCTCGCAGCCAGGCAGCACCGACCGCATAAACAGGCACCGATGCGCGTTACAACCGTGTAGCAGCACAACATCGCTGAGAAGCAAAGGAGGGAACGGAGAAGAGGGCATCAAAGGGGGAGTATTAGGAGGACTCGCGGGGGAGTAACAAGAAGTGGAACGGGATCGACTCGCCAAGTCGGTGCTACCGCCGCCGTTCTCCCTTCTGCGTGCGTTTGCGCTCTTTGTCCTTGCGATCCTGCTGCTGCTGCTTTTGCTTCTCTCTGTTTAGCTTGTCCTGCGCCTTCTTGCGTTCGTGCTCTTGTTTGCTCAGCTCACGCTTCTCCTTCTCGGCATGCGCGACCGTCTCGGCGTTGGTGTTGCGCGCCAGCACTTGGGGTTGGCATCAAGTCAAGGAAGGAAGGGACGGGCAAGCGGAACGCAGACGACGACGATGGACAGCGACTCTTGGCAAACCGTCGCGCATGAGTTTGGTACCCCAACCAGAACTCTAAACTTGAGAATTTCGAGGCGGAAAACGACCTGCTTTGCTTTTCAACGTAGAAAAAGGTGGTCAGGACTGCAGAACATGGTCCAATTTAGGGGGTATTACATGCTAAACCAAAGGGGGCCAGCTGGCACGAACCAGCGGAGGACCGAGGATTAATTTCGACCGCCTAAAGATCTTTCGATGTGCAACCAAACTCTCGGTAAAATGGCGCCTTCTCTGTCAGACTGCGGGCAACTCAGCTGGGATGCGAACCCGCCACCTGGGCATCCGTAGGCGACGCTTTGCCTCGTAGCCACCGGGTACCATTACGGAACTCAGGTCTGCAGCCATGTATTTCGAACTGGCCAGCAGTGGCCTGCCTGATAATTAACACAGCCACTACAATCGCCACCGTCGGTGATTGAAGTAGAGCTAAAAGGTGACAGAGGACGGAAACCTCAATTCCGAAAAGTACCATATATCTTCAAAGGCAGGCACGTGTCAAGCTTTGTTGCAATGAACATAGGTGGCATTGCTAGTATCAAGATGGCAAACTGCTACCCACCTAAAGGCAAAGGTGCATTTTGATTTCGTCTTGACATTTGTAAACATCATTCATCTGAAGGCGTGAAGTCGGTGACCTAGCTGCAAGGAGTAACACAAGCACTGCAAAAGGATACATTTGGGAGCATAATGCTCCTTGTGTGGGGCTCCTGTGGAGGCAGCTGCAGAGACAGCCTCTGGCACCGCTGCAGCTTTCGGAACTGGGCTCGACTCCCTAAATGAAATATTGGATTGTAGTGGCTTTCCTTTTGTTTATATCCGAGTCACTGCATGCTACAAGAATATTGCGCTCAAGTTCCATTGCCTGCACTGGCTTCTCAGCTGGCTGCCAGCAATCGCACAGTGAAAACAATACAACGAGGAAAGCTGGGTTATTCTTGTGTAGCGAGTCTTGTTTGTCAGTATTAATATCATCTGAACAAACATCTAACAATACTGAGGTAGGCCCAACTTAGCAGTAATGCAAAAACAGAGCGATCTCCGTACTGCCAGTGCCACACAGCAGGCATTTGTGGGAATACCGAGCAAGAGATGACGGCACGATTAGAGTAAGTAAGAGAACTTCCTGCAGCAGCGGGCATCCACAGTGTTTCGGAAAGTGCTACGATATGTGGCACCGCATAGAGCAGCCACTGTCTGCAAGTGACAGTTATTAAAGTTTGGCGTAGTACATTTTGGCAGGTGAACACGATCATGTGGAAAGAAGAGCGGATGATAATAAACACAGCTACTACAGAACACCATTCGAGCTTACTATTTGCCTCATTCTTATGCTTCTATGCTTAAGTCAGCTTGATAGGGGGAATACTTGCTTGCAGCAGATTAATCACCAGCGTGGCGGACAAAGCCAGGTCAGTGCAAGCTACCTGCTGTTCTTTGGTTCTTAGTACAGTCAGTCTTTCAATATGCTTCTGGTCATGAAACTTCTCCGTGTCGCTATAAGAAAGCTTGCTGTGCGACTGCGCGTGGCACTATACTCCGTTTCACCTTATGTTGTACCGCTGCGAGGGCTAGAAGCGTGAGCTCATAGCGTTGGCAGCTGCTCTTAACTCAAGAGAGCTTGTGCCGCTGAGATGTGCTCCAGAGCAAGGAGCTCGCACTTGTAGCTTTTCCTGCGGTACATCGTAAGGTGAGACAGAGTATAGTGTCGACAAGGGGGCTAAGAAATGCTAATCTAGCCAGCACCGCTGGAAGTCCGGCAACCAGAAAGTGGGATCAAAATTTCGAACCCACTTCGAATAAGCCACCAATAGATCGCAGTGATGTCTCGTAGCACTGACAGTGTTTCTCGTTCGTTCATGCATCTACAGCTCTGTACACTCGGTCACTGATCAAACTTCCCTTTCTGCTACAATCTCCAATATAATACCAGTCTTCATTTCTTCCTCCTGCCTCAAAGTGAATTCTCACTACCGCTATTGTCGTCAAATTAAGCACTGCCAGAAAAGCCATCAAGTAGAGGCGCTACGAACCCGTACATTCAATTGCCTGGCTCTTTTCTGCTTGCAAAACATTGTAAGCTTGTATATGTTAGTTACGATTTAAGAGACTTATAAAGAATGATTGGTGCCTGCATAAAGTGACCAAATACGGGCTTAACAAAATGTCGGTGCGCGGGAAATTGTGTTTCGAAAACTACTAGTCATCGCGAGTTTGAGGCGGCTCACTGAAAGCGGGGTGGCCAAACGAAAATGCCCCCTCTGGAACAGCGGCACCCCTCGTAGGCAGTGTCTGACCCTGTACCAAACTTTGGCCAAAGTTTGGTACAGGGTCACTAATACAGTCCAGGTCAACCTAAAGTTCGCCATGCGATGCAAGAAGTCTCGCAGCTGCTAATTTCAATTGCAAAGCCATAACAAAAAAACAAAAAAAATTAGGCAGAGCTAAGAACGACTGCTGCAATCATGTCTTGCATGTCACGTTATGTGGCACCGTACCGGCCGCCATTGCTCCTGTTCTCATAACTTCTGCAGCATAGATTTGTTCTTCTTGCAAGCCTTGCCGAGAAGAATAAATTCGATGGTTCAAATGTATACCGCAGAAAGTACTGCCACGATCAATATGAGTGTGAACACCGCTCCGTGTGGCCCCTGGTACTATCAGTGCCCCCTGTTAATTGCTCCACGAAGTACAAACGCGTTTTGCGGACAAGACGCAACGTCTCCAGCGATCGTTGCACCACTCTGCACTTCCGGATCGTCTGCCAGCGAAGAACAGTCGGCAGAACCGCGAAACTGTTGACAGATGAACACGAGCATTTTTTTGCTAGGAATGTGCGCTAGCAAATATAGTTTATATATATCTATATATATTTCTTTTTGTAGGGTAACTTTTTTTTAGGAGGCTTTAGGATTGTTTTTATGATCCTGATAACAACACCGGATACTATGCCGACACCTTTGCACATGCATCACGGAGGTATCAGGACAATCTACTAAAACTGCCTAATATTTACTTTTGTGCGAGTTTTGCAAAAGCGAAGGACTACAAATCTGCACTAAAAAGAAGTTAGCGTGGTGCAAGCGTAAACAATTTTTCGCTCCCTGGAACCGTAAAAGCAACATGACGCAACATGAATCAATTGCAAACTTTCCTGCAGCAAGTTCGGAGTCGCTTCGAGTTATTACTGTGAAATAACTAATAAACCACTTTGCAGGTCGAATGAATATTACGAATGCTTGCCTCGTCAGGTACGCACGAGAGGTGTGCGCACAAACGACACCCCTTGCATCTAAACTTTATGGAGCGTTCAACAGGGGGCATTGATAGTACTACGGGCCACACGGTGTAGTGTCCACACTCATATTGGGTACTTTCAGCCCACGCTCCGGAGGGTGAGAGTTTTGCGCTTCGTTCACTAAACGGACAGGAGAGCTGTCCAAGACTGACACTTGAGCGTGCTCTTTGTGCAGCGAGTATTTCTTGAAGCGCGAGTGACTACTTTGCGCTCCGTGACGTCACGTTCACGAGTAAAATGGCTGCACTGACAGAAACGTTGTTGAGACAGAGGGCACAGTGGACCGCTGCTGCTTTACAGTTGAATAGTGCATAATATAGCAGGTAAAAACAATTTGATTTGAAAGTCAAGACAGTAATGAGCATTCCAGGAAAGGTTTGTTTGAGCATCTCGCCTGAAAACGAATCCATCTATCGAACGGTAGTGTGCCGATAGCAGACCGACAGAAACATTGCCAAGATGAAAAAACAGGACCACTGCCCTTTCTAGAATGCTTAGCACAGCGAAAATCAATATACTTAGATTGGAAAGCCAAAACATCAGTTAGCGTTGCAGAAAAGGTTTGTTCATGCATCTTGCCTGAAAACAAATTGACATGATACCTATTGAATGACGGTGTGCCGGTATCAGCGAAGCACATCGACAGATTCTTTCCCGTGCTGCAAGACGGAACCATGGAACATCTGAGAAGTTTGACAGTTTCCTGCGTCGACAAGCGAGTTCAAGGATGCTGTCTTTCATTTAAATCTGAACAACATGCGTGGTCTAATCCGATTGGTCAAGGTAACTTTCCACATATGTGCTCGAAGTAAGTCTTCAAAGCTTTCAGGACCATGAAAATATTCGTAGAAACTTCCTAACGTCACCGTCTTTTTTACTTTACTCTGCTGCTCCACAACAGACTTAATGAATTTATCTTCGAAATAATTTCGGCGTCTGCCACCCATATCCGCGAGATGCTTAACCACGCGGTCGGAAGTGACTCATGCGGCTAGTCGACAGTTTTGGTGTGTCACGCTCCTGTATGCTATGTTCCGTTTAGTCGCTGCGCTCGGAGTATGAAAGTTGGAGCGTCGGAGAAGGAGTAAAGGAGCGCGGACTTAACGCTCCCAATGATCGCGATAGTACGGGCACAGGACCGTGGTACGGAGCGATGGCGGCTGATGCGACACCAATGCAAGCCATGTATTCATAATTAACTCCTTGAGACTTACTCCTCTCCATCGGAAACCTCGGCGTACTGGGCAAGTATGGCCTGCCGTAACTTTTGTTCTTCGACGGTCACGCTTTTTTCTGGAACCACCGATTTGGCCTGTTCCTCCATGAGACTCACTAGCTTCGCTTCGACGTTGTACTTCCCTGGGAAGAAAAAATAAATAAAACGCGCAGACATTTTGTGAGTAAGAACCAGCGACGCTAAGCAAAATAAACATCGGAGTTCACAAACTGACGATCGCGTTACCTTCGTCGTCCACCCGAACATTCCCTTCCGCTGGGCTCTGGGTGTACGCAGACCATTTGCTGAAGATTTCATCCTTAACCTCCGATATTCCGTCCTCCTGCGGAAGAGTAGCGAATAAAAAGGTCTACAAATCGGCGAGGCACCCGGCAAAAAACCACACAGCTTTTTCAGCCAACATGAGACAGTGGTTCGCCGAAAATAGGTTTTCTTACGCAAACTTCGCTAAGGATGCCTTGGAGGGCCTCGGACTTCTCTTCCTCCGTCTCGGTTCCTTCGAGGATGCCTGTGATGTAGCTTCCGAACACGTCGGGGTCAATACTGAGCGCGCGTAACTTGTCAGCAAGCCACAGTTCGAAATCACCACAGAGAGCCGCCATGCTGATTGCCCTGGAGCTGTCGTGTCAGTGTTGCCTACCGAAGGTACCAACGACGCCAGACCGTTCCAAAATCTAGCATTACAAAAATAGGTAGGTGGAGTGTTGAGAGATTACTCGCGGCACTCGCCTTACAAGGTTTACGACTCTCAGACGACCCCATTAATTTTGTGTATACTTTCGTATCTCCCTGGATATTTTATAGAATACGCCAGTATTTTAACCATAGAGTTATTACAATAAACGCTAGAGGCTCAGCTGGCGCTAGTGTCTATGGGACTTCCGGTTGCAAGTTGAAGCAGACAGCATGCAATCTGCTTTTCCAGCCTTCCTGTGTATTCCTATGGGAAAACGCGCGCGAATTTTGTCTCGTCGCCGGAAAACAACATTAATAACTTTTGTTATTTCGGTTGTACCGGGTAGTATGTATCTTTATTAATATTGTGAAAGTGTAATTGCTTTAGTTACAGCATTTTTCCTTTACCACTGAACGATGTTAAACTTCGCTATATTTCACGCCCAAACCTCTGTTCCATGGCAGGTATGTAGAAACGAGCGACGATTCTAAGCAAAATAACGATCGAAAGGAATGTAGAGTGTGTTCAAAGTTCGCCAGCATTCCGCTAATATGCCTGTCCTCTCACTATATGAAAATGACCCCGTCGTGCATCTCTACGAGCGGTTAAAAAAAAAAAAAAAAAAAACGTTTGAAACGTAAAGAATGAAGTACGTGGGCTACGAAAGGTGTGTTTTCTTATTATCTCCTATGTTGGGCAGTCTTTATCACGCACCTGTCCTCTGGCTTCCCCCTATTTGCAAAGATTTGGAGCGTGCGGGTGATGATTTGAACACAGAACAATTCATCTTCGCACATATTCATGAGCAGAAATAATAAAGCAGTACTTATTTATTGCAAATCGGACTATATATTACGTGACTTTCAAATTATTTTGATCGTCTGCAAGCACAAGGAGTTACTTACCCAGTGTTACTGCGTAGTTCTTGCCGTCTCTCTTGGTTTTCCACATGTCGTTCGTTCTTTTGGCACGTATAGACCTTTGTCCGGAAGTGCTCTTTTTAGCCTCGACCGCAAGGAGCAAAAGCGAACAATAATCTCGAACCCAGACGCTCACGGGGAGGGGGGGCTGTGTCGGCCTGCGCCGCCGGTTCCCGTTGAGGGCTTCTTCGCTGGTGTGCCGACTGCCGTTTCGCCGGCATCGGTCCTGTTTACCGCGGTATGTGAGTATAGTGCCCGTAATGTGAGAGCCGTGTGTCCATGCGCCACTTTACCGCTGTTGGTTTTCATCTAGCCGAGCCAGAAAACATCTCGCGACGAGTTGACCGCGCCGCGAGTGACGAAGAAGAAGCAAACATGGCGACGGTTTGTGCGATTGCTTTGGTGGCTCCGGTACGTGCTGAGTGTCTTCAACGTCCTCGTGAGAAGGTTCCCCTGCCCTTCGAAGTTATTGCAAGCACCACGAAAGATGTGGAATCATCGTCTCAACTTCAAATAAGCAGGCCTTCACGAGCAACAACGGTGCCGAGCAGGCGCTCGGCACAGTTGTGTCAGGCTCACGCAGCCAGCGGTACAGTTGTGTTGGTTGTGTCGTCAGATGTTCAACAACGCCGAGGTATTTTCATTTATCATTTGGAATGGCTTCAAGAGTGGGAAATTAATCTATTTCGCGGATTGTTAACGCCGAGGCGAGTGCCCTCCGTTGCAGTGCCGTCGTCGCGCAAAGTGCAGAGAAAACCGGGTGGCGATGGCGGCGGTGCTCTTTGATCTTGCGCCGTCGGGTTCATGAAGTCCGGAGTAAACGTACGTACGTGCGTCTGCTGGATCGGTGTTTTGGACTTCCTCAAAACTCTTTCTCACGCGCATTTTCCTTGTGAAGCTTAGTAGCTCATTACACCTCATCGTCGACTGCGCTCATTTGACTACGACGGACGAGCCTGCGTGATGTGAATTTCACTGCCTAAGATCCTTGGTGTGCTGTAACGAGGGCTAATAAAATATCACCGCGAACTTCCGAACAAACGAGTCGAAGTTTCGTCTGCTATCATAACTGATCGCCTGTCACAATATTAATCAGTAGCGTTCCTAGACTCCGCCCCCACAGGCACCGTGCTTCGTTGCCCGATAGTAAGTGTCTCCTGGTACCTCGTAGAATTCCAGCTCCCACTTCAAGTAAGTACCATCCTTTAGAACTGGCAATTAATAGTTTCGAACCCAGACGCTCGCAGTGTGTGTTTGTGTGTGGGGGGACGCGTGCTAACATACTCGGAGCCCTCGTTTACGCCGCTTCGCAGCGGCAGACAAGGCGCCACATTACAAAGGAAAGCTAATCCGAGCTGTCTATGTAACTAGACCCATTTGCTAGTCATTCGATGAAACGTCGTCGTCTCGTTTTCATTCGCTAAAACGGCGTTCGATCAAGTGAACGCCTCCCACTTATTTCGGCTCGGCAGAGCCGCGCTGCCGCAGAAAGGCAAGCAGATCGCGAAAATCGGTCTTAAACGTGCCACGAATGTAATGTCGTATACAAGAAGCCAACAATCAAGCATTTGAAAGCTACAAGAAAGCGGTAGCGAAATATTTACTACGCAATGAACCCGGACTGAAACGCGGATGTCAAGGGTCAGCAGACACCGAGAACATCTAAGACAAGAAAGGTTTTCCCTTATTTTCCTTGATCGAGATGGGTTCTCGAATGTTCACGACATCTTGCCTGTTGAAGAACGGGCCGCAGAGGCTTCTGGTGAAGACATCTTTCACGATGTGTCGGTGCATTCGGACAGCCTGCCGTGGGCGAGTCAGCACCCGAGGCATGCGGTCACAGGCTAACAAGCTCTTGCTCGCATTCCAGATCTTTGCATCGTGGATTGTGCAGCCGGCAAGCGACAATGTGACGACAAGTCTGGCTCAGCAGTTTCTTCACAACGCAGTTCCTATCACCAACTGCGCTGAAGCCACCGGTCTGCCGCTGACAAAGAGGAGTGCTGGACTGTGCCCGTTGGCTTGGCCGGCGCTTTTGCGCGAAATACCATCGTCATCGACACTGACCGAAGCTGCCTGCGCCGCCCCTTCAGCGGTCCCGCTTAGTGGGCGAGTCAGCACCCGAGGCATGCGGTCACAGGCTAACAAGCTCTTGCTCGCATTCCAGATCTTTGCATCGTGGATTGTGCAGCCGGCAAGCGACAATGTGACGACAAGTCTGGCTCAGCAGTTTCTTCACAACGCAGTTCCTATCACCAACTGCGCTGAAGCCACCGGTCTGCCGCTGACAAAGAGGAGTGCTGGACTGTGCCCGTTGGCTTGGCCGGCGCTTTTGCGCGAAATACCATCGTCATCGACACTGACCGAAGCTGCCTGCGCCCCTGCGCCGCCCCTTCAGCGGTCCCGCTTAGTGGGCGAGTCAGCACCCGAGGCATGCGGTCACAGGCTAACAAGCTCTTGCTCGCATTCCAGGTTGGTAAAAAACCTTCCTACTCGAAAGTAAAAAGTAACTATGTTTGCCTTGTGGTGCTGCCTCGCCCGGGAGCGTTGTGTGAATGTGTCGCTGCTTGTTTTGACTCGCTTTGCGTTCTTGTCCTTTTACTCAGCGGTGATGTAGAGGAGAACCCGGGTCCGCTAACTGAGGAGCAGTTAAAGGCGATTCTTGATGGCCAAAAAGCCCTGAACAGTAGTATGAACTCGATCAAAGAGAGACTAGAACAGCACATAACACAAACTAATGAGAGGCTCTCATCTATTGAAAGGAAAGTTGAAAAAATCGAAACTCAAGTTAAAGCTACCTCGGATTCAGTTCCCAAACTTGAAGCGTGCGAGAGGGTCGTTCACCACCTCAGTAACCAAGTCTTGACATTAGGTGACAGGATCACTGGACTGGAAAATTATAATAGACAAAATAACTTAATAGTGTATGGACTCGACGAGGACACGTCAGAAACAAACGATCTGCTAAAAGAAAAGGTGATAGTGGATATTTTTGAAAACAAACTTGGGGTGAAAGTGTCTTCTACAGAAAAAATACATCGGCTTGGGAAACAACATGAAACGAAAATTCGGCCAGTTATGATAAGATTTTCTTCACGCAATGAAAAAGCTGAGGTTATGAGGAACGCATACAAGCTTAAGGGTTCTATCTTATCGTTATCTGAAGACTACACTTTTGAAGTAAGGGAAAAGCGTCGTCATCTCTGGGCATACGCGAAGGCTCAAAAGAGTGATCCAAGCAATAAGGTCAGATTAACCTATGATAAACTTATAATAAACGGTCAAATGTTTACTTGGAATGCTGAAATAGAAAAAGTCGTTGCCGTGAAGCGTGCATGACGTCCAAGGGCTGTTAGAAAAATTGCGCGAAGGAATGTTATAATGTTGCTGGTGAATTGCAGAAGCGTTAAAAATAAAGTGGAAGACTTGTATGGACTGATTAGCTCTGTAAAAGCCGATATAGTCCTGGGAACAGAGTCCTGGTTAGATAGCTCTATATCAGATCACGAGGTGTTCCCTAGCGTATTTAACGCTTATAGAAAAGATAGGTCATCACATGGGGGAGGCGTCTTTATACTGGTTCATGATTCCTTGAAAAGCTGCCAGCTAGACGTGCCAGGCAATACTGTCGAATCAGTGTGGTGTAGTGTTGGGCTGCCTGATAACAAGAAATTCACTGCTGGAGTGTTCTATAGACCCCCTAACTCTGACTCAGCTGTCATAGAGGTACTTCACGACCTAGTATCCAGTGTTTCGAATGACTGTGTAGTGCTTGGAGGCGATTTTAATCTACCAGATATGATATGGGGCGAGGAATTTTGTGCATGTGGAACCATGGGCCAGTTGAATCTCGATCTCAAATGCATGGTAGACAGCTTAGCACTTAAACAACATGTTCTTGTACCTACACGGAATCAAAACACACTTGACTTGTTTCTCTGCAACTACCCTACCGTTGTTAAGCAAACTGATGTCATACCCGGTATCAGCGACCACAGTGCTGTTGTCTCAACTCTTGACTTTCGGGTTTCGCGCAAAAAAGTGAGTACGGGTA